CAACTGTTCTCTCTGAGGATGATCCTAGAAAAGACTATGGAGCATAAGGTAGTCACCCACCATTTATTACTAGACTTTAAAGCAGCATACGACAGCGTTGATAGAACGCAACTATACTGTGCCTTGGAGGAGCTAAGCATCCCTCAGAAGCTCGTACGCCTAATCAAGATGACCATGGACAGCTCGAGATGTAGAATACGCGTCGGTTCTGACGACTCCGAAGAGTTTAAAGTGAGCAGTGGGGTTAGGCAAGGGGATGCCCTCGCCCGTCTATTGTTCAACTTGGCAGAGGAGAAAGCTGTAAGAGACTCCGGTATTCAGACCAACGATATAATCTTCAATCGCCTGACACAGCTTCTTGGTTTTGCTGATGATATTGACATAATAGGTAGGTCTGAACAGGCTCTCAGAGAAGCGTTTATAGGCCTTGAAGCAGCTGCAAGACCACTTGGTCTAGAAGTCAACGAGAGGAAAACTAAGTATATGAGAGTTGGTGGTGAGGTGGATCTGAACTCTCCATTTGAGGTAGGTTCTTTTAAGTTTGAGAGAGTGAAAAGTTTTATATACCTTGGGTCTGAAATTAATAGCAAAAATGACATGGCTCAAGAAATACAAAGAAGGATCACGGCTGCCAATAGATTTGTCTTTGGACTTGGCCGACACTTAAGAAGTAGGTACCTCTCAAAGAAGACCAAGCTGATCATATACAAGACTCTCGTTCGGCCTGTTTTGACATATGGCTCAGAGGCTTGGACGATGACCAAAAACGATGAGATGAAGCTGAGTGTGTTTGAGCGAGGTGTCCTCAGAAGGATTTATGGTCCAGTAAAGGAGGGTGATGTCTGGAGGAAAAGAAAAAATAGGGAGCTCAGTTCTCTCTATGCAGACATCGACGTAGTCACCTATATTAAACTGGCCAGACTAAGGTGGGCAGGGCATGTGGCCAGAATGAGCACCGTTGAAATACCCAAGAAAGTAATGATGGAGGAGCTGCACCTCGTAAGACGGGTAGGAAGGCCGAGGACGAGGTGGTTGGACAACGTGGCCTATGATGCGAGAACCCTGCTTGGTGTACGGAACTGGAGAGCTGCAGCAGAAGACAGAGCCAACTGGCGGAGGCTCTTGGAGGAGGCCCAGTCTCGGTAACGGGATGTCGTGCCACACATGATGATGATGATTATAGCATACAAGAATATAACTTTTTACGAATTAAATTTATTTTTGTATTCAAAATTATTGGCAAAATATCTGGTTTGTTCACTCACACGAATTCTCTTACTACTTTGAGTGTTAAACTCATTACATAATCAATATTTTGTAAATTTTAATATAAAATTGTACCAGGTTTAAAAACTTGAATTATTTACCACGAATCACAACTTTTCCATTGATCTCAATAATAACCGTTTCCTTTTACGAATTATTGAATTCGAGGAATACATTTTTATTTATTGAATCATTGAACGTATATTGAATCAAAGAAAAGCTGTACTAAAAGGAACCTTAATGAATACACAATTAGGTAATTCTGTTCGAAGAAATGCTTTTAATTTATTTCTTATTCAGGTGCTTATTGATGTAATAAAATATGTATAAATTCACTTGATTGTTATTAAAACATTCGTTAGCATACTGTCCGAAATTATTCTTTGTTTATAATTTTAAAAGAAGTTTTATCTGAACATTTTTTTTTATAGCTTATTTATAAACATTATATATTTTTTTCGTTTCAGTTTCCATTCACCTCTACTAAAAAAAAATGATCACGAATTTAATACCTCTAATTAATTTATTAAAATAATAATCTTATTTTTATCTATATTAATTATTGTAAAACGAACAATATAACAGCATACATTAAAATAAATTTACGTTTTATTCAATACTTGACCTTTGTATTATTAAGGAAGGAGATGTCCGGGTTACGGTCATAAATAGACTAAATAGTGCCAAAACTATTTTATTAAAAGCCAACGTTTCAACCAGACTTTGTAGGTCTTCTTTAGGAAGGTGTGTTTAGCAAGGAGTTTCACTTAGACCTGCAAAGTTGGGTCAAACGTTGGTTTTTAATAAAATGAGTTCTAAGTGAAACTCCTAGCTCAACACACCTCCCTGAAGAACACCTGCATAGTCGGGTAGAAACGTTGGCTTTTAATAAAATAGTTTTGTCACTATTTAGTCTATTTGTGACCGCCACCCTGGACCATCTCCTTCCTTAAATTTAAGTTATTTATTCATTTTTTTACGTTCAGATATATTTGAAAATATGTTAACAAAGTAATTGAAAATATTATATTTATATTTTTTTTTATTTAAAGGTTTGAGGTAGTGAGATGAACTCATAAAATCCTAGGATATATTGCTACTCATAAAAGAATATCTTTGATTAAAATAATAGTTTAATAATAGGAATATAGGCCATGGTAAAGTACTTGTGTACTTACTTCTAGGTCTTTTAATACAAAAAAAATACATTTTGTCTCAATTAAGGGCATTGAGTATTTAGGATATATGAAACACAAACATACCATATATACAATAAAAGAAAAACAAAATTATAACAAAAGAAAAGAAAAGAGAACTTGGAATAACAGTATAAATCAAACATGAGACAACATTAAATATAAAAAAAAAAACACATTCATACTTATTCTAGATCTTAGCTTAGCCATATAGTCGGCTTTATTATTTAGCCATTTAGTCGTAGCTTATTCCCTTGATTGACTTTGGTTTTCATATTTGATTCATTTATTAATTGTTGTTGATTTCGATTTTGTTTTTGTTCTTCGAAATATTTTGGGGCGAAAGGATATTTTCGCCCCCTTTCTATTTTTTTGTGGAGGGGGAGCGATCGTCTCCTGGCCCCCCTTCACAAATTCTGCCTCTGATGATAGTACCCAACAGCACCTATTCCAATTCTTTATTTTTTTCTTTAATTCAGGAAAGATCTGGCCCAATCCAGATACCTATCCTTCCATAAGAAACTTCAGAATCATCCCAACCCTCTCGTTTCTAACCTTGCTTCCTCTTCAATTCCTGATAATCCTCCGAGGTGTCTGAAAAGAAGATGGCCCCGTGATCTGCTAATGTAGTCATATCATTAGAGTGCTACCATTGGGTAGTTACTCAGCAAGTGTATTCATGTCATTATATCTATTATGTCCACATTTACTAGATTTATTTATGTAATACAGTTGTAAATGTCATTAAGTAATAAAAAATAAAAAAAATTCAGAAAAGGATCTCTCATAAAGCTCCTTTTTAGTCTACTAACGCGCATGTCATTTCTGGCCATATCTTTTATAAGTATTTTGTTCTGTCCGTGTAGTTTAAAGTGTAATCGAGAAAAAAGAGTACTTATTTGTTGGTCGATAAATGGTAGTCGTAAACCAATATGTAGTGTTTTGTGGTTTACATACCAGAGTACTGCTTTTATTGCAGTTTTTGTAAGTGCGTCTTTTTTGCTGAACCGTAAATCCATATTGGTTTGAGTAAGCACAATTTATTTTTTTTGAGATTTTCAATTTTGATTAGAAAAAAGTGTAGTATAGTATTTTCAGTCGTATGTACAAAGACTTTATTTTCATTTTGACGTTTTGGCCCTTAGTCAACTTTCCGTCGAATATTAGTGCAAGAACTGCTTACAGAAACTGGTCAATTAATATCCCATGACATGAAGGCTCGGAGGTTAAGATGGGCGGGGCATGTAGCTCCTAGGAATCTGAAAACGTCTACGTAACAATGAATCCCTTAATAGAAGGCAAAAGACCAGATGGAAGGCCAAAAAGCAGATGGATAGATAGAATCAACAAAGATACAATAGAGCTGTGTGCAGATAATTTTAAAGAAAGAGCCCAAGACAGGCTGAGATTGGGCAGGCTTGTGAAGGCGGCAAAGGATCTACTTGGTCTGCAAAGACAACAGAAAAAAAAAAAGAAAATATATAACTGCAAGATATAACTGCAATTTCTTCGCAATCCTTCTGAGCAATTTAGGTATTGGCGATATAAACTGGTGGACATGTGTATCGTCGAAGTGTATATGTTATTTGTTGTGATTAATGATTTAATCTAATTTTCCAAAGTTACTACCAATTTTGAAATTTGTATTAAGTGATTCAGTTTTATTAAGTGATTCAGTGAAGCTTGTCCGAAATCATGATGTTTTGTCAATATTCTTGTATCTCCTGCTTAAGTTGTTTTGTGTTAAATTGTTTTATTGTTTTTAAAGGAATTTGGAGCATACTCCAAAATCTCGTATAGTTCCTTATGTATGTTGAAAACTATACCAGTCGATAACCATACAATTTAAAGCCAAAAATGTACCGTTTTCAAAATATATCGTAATTCTTGCCGAAAGCCTATTAAGTACTACGGTTGCCATAGAATCACATGCTCAATTTTTAGTAATTAAAATATTACTATTATTCGATGAACTAAATATATATTGAAAAGTAAAATGGATGAGAAGAGTTCTATAGCCCTTGGAAAGTTCGGATGAATTACAATAATCGGATAATATAGAGCACGTGTCTCTCATAAGAAAAAATAAATACAAATTTTAAGTTAAAATAAATAATTTTTCCTCGTCTATAATTTGAAGATAATTATCAATTATCAATTTATATTTGATTTTTTTTTTTTTTTTTTTTTTTGTTCGTTTACTAATACAATTTCAAGTGTCTAATAAAAATATGAATTTCAGATTCATTAATATGTTAAAGTCGCTCTCCGAACAAGTTTTATTGTAAATATTACATAAATCAGATTACCATTAAATCCCTGTATTGAGTACCGTAATCAAAAATGGTTCGAGTATTGGACGTAAAAGACGAAACAAGAACTCTCTAATCGAAGACACTCGACTTTGATAAGGCTGAGGAAATTGATTCCATATAAAAGGATTTTTTTTTAATCTTTCGAGTGTCGTTGCGTAATATGTACAATTAAAATTGGTATATATGTCTGCATCATATTCCATTCCTCTCCAACTGATCAAAGATGGTCAAGTTGTGGATATTGGGGTTCCTTCTGGTTTTTCACATCATCCAGATCGATGGATCTCTCAGGTATGTTTAATAAAATAATTATACATAGTGTTATGTTTAACTTTCCCTTCTATACAAGTTAAAAAAATTATTTATTTATAAGTTCTAGAGATCGTTAAAAAAAAGCGATATATATCTTGTTACCTTAAATGAATCAATAAAGATACGGTTAGTGCAAAATCGTTGAGATATCGGCCTCGTATCCCTAAAACGCAAGTAAACCGATTCTAATTTATTCAATATTTTATTAATACAAATAAATATTCGTATTTAACAATTTGTTTTTCCAGTTGGCATTACCGAACTTAACAAGCCTGCTCCATCTCTGCCTGTCTTGGGATATTTCTTTCCATTTATTTGTACGTAGCTCTGTTGCATCTTTGTTGATTCTGTCTATAGATCAGCTTTTTGGCCTTCCACGTGGTCTTTTGTCTTCTATTGAGGCATTCATTGTTGCGTAGAGGCTTCCAAATTGATTGCTACGAGCTACATGCCCTTAACCTCCTTGCCTTCACATCGTGGGTTATTTAATAATATATGGAAATATATTTACTAGATTTCTGTTTTATTTGTATCCTTAACGTTGAGGGACTCCGGATTTCTTCTTGAGACATTTCACTGTAAAAATTTTTTTTTTAATTTTACGGATCCAACAACTCCATATCCATTAACTAATATAAATACATTTTTTATACAAATTATTTACTTGCTATTTTAACATTTGTTGGTTCTTATTGTCCCTTTTATAATAATATTAATGTATATGTTGGTTGTTTTGATATTATAGGCGCAAATTATCTAGCTCGAAGATATAGGTCGACAGCGAAAAATGGTAAAAAAAAAAAAAAAATTAAATATTAACGTATAATAATATAGCCTGACTATTAACTTAATAATTTATTAATATAAATAATAATAATAATAACTGTAATAAATTAGTAATACTTAACTTATAAAAATAACTTATACGCAATAATATTAACTATTTTCGGTATTGAAAGATCACCATAATACATATGTGTATATGTAATACACAGATGTACATGCAATACAATATATACAGATATACATATTTGTATGTAAATAACTGCATACCTCCTCCCGCATACTCTCCTTCATACCAAGTTGGGAAGTTATCATTTATGGAGGCTTCCACCAAACTGTAATAACGATGTAAAAGCAGACGTTCAGACAAGATTATTTGCTGCTAACAAATGCTATTATGTCCTTCATAAACATTTATAAAGTAAAACGACCCAGGGACATATCATTAGAAAATTATGAAGATAATATTTAACAAGACACTAATCAGATCTATGCCTCACAACGTTGGACGTGAATGACCAAAGTATATTTCCTTAACCTTCAATTATTTCCTTCCCTTGCGTAGTAATGGAATATATAGGATCTAAACCAAAGTAGAGTGGAGAAACCTATGTAAAAACCCTGATATTGAGATAGTTTGAGGGTATGGTTGGATTGGACATATTGCAAGGCTAACAACAGACTCGATACCAAGAAAAACCATGGACGAAAAAATGTAAGTCACCAGAAGAGTAGGAGGAGACTTCGGTTCCAATGGTTGATGTGTCCAACGATAGAAGGCCTATATTAGGTCAGAAAGCATTAGAAGGCCATGAAAGAAGATACTCCAGTTAATGAATGCTTGAATAGGAAGTAATGAAGGAAACGACGGGGACACGATTTTTTACTTTGTGACATTGTTTGGACTAGGAAGGAGGTAAACATACTGGAAGTCCCCACTTCTAGTTGGTGAACCAAATGTGGAGGTAGGCGCCCAGGTCACTTTTTTCGGATTTTCACATATATCAGGAAAACTATTCATCGTATGGACAAAAATGCTCAATACAAAATTAAAGCTGATAAAATTTTCAGTATAATTGATGATCTACATTTTTTCGCTAGCTGGCTTAGTTTCCGAGATAACCGTCCTCAACTATAGCTAATGTGGAAAATAAAAATTCAGAGAATCCCATCGCATTTCATGGATTGCCTAACATAACAGAACATGAGATCATGATGATACGTATCTGTATTGAAGGAAAAAAAATAGAATGTAAAAATCATTGATGATTAGAATTCTGCTTCCATTATGAAATGCCTAGTCAGAATACACAGAATATCACTTACTTGATGAAACCCTTTTAACGAAGAGAAGAGACCTTGATAAGAGAGCGGTCAACGAGGGATGAGAGATGGAACCGTGTTGACAGATAATGAAACTATCCAGAGAGCTTCTCTACGCTCTACCTAACTCAGATCTCTCTATTGTAACTTGCAACTCCATAGTCAGAGAGTGAAGTTGCTATGTGTTGCTCTACTGGTCGAACTTTCCTTATGTTACAGAAGATAATATTTAAACTTTAACTGTTGTTGATACGGGAAATTCGCATATGAAAAGAATAAAGATATTTCTGTTTTTTTAGATGTTAGGCCCATATTTCCTCGAAACAACAAAACAAATTTAACTCTTTTTTTTAATTATTAAATGAAATTGATACTAAATAATTTCTATACTGTTCTCCGAAAAAAATTGATTGTTTTACAAGAGAGCATAAACACTAATTATTTCTTTATACTTTATTGTCCTCTGCTACTTTCCGTAGTAGCAGACTACACAATGTCACCTTTAGCACATATAGAATAAAAAATGAAAATTTTTGCATAAGACCTTTTGCACTAATAGTAGTGATATATACTTTATATGTTTGTTTTCACTCGTAAAATGAATGGAACTAGAAAATCCATATATATATTAATATATTATGTAATATGTTTCACACAGGAAATTTCAAAAGGTCATATCATGGGCACCCTAAAATATAATAGTATTTTATTGTGTTTGCCGAAATTTGAGATACGTTGTAGGTCTTCAACAGAGCTAAATAAAGGTACGAACTACAAATATTAATCGGTACAAGATAAAAAAAATTAATAAAATATCAATTTATATTAAACCGGTACATTACTAGTAATAATAAATGAAAAATTATATATAACAATAAGTGTATAATAATAAGTAGTAATAAATAAATATGGTAAAATAATATATAAATTTCTCAAATAAAAGGATATTTAAAAATAAATTATAATAACAACATTGTAGATAAAAAAGTAAATTAAAGTTGAATACAAATAAAAAAATTTCAACCGAAATCCATTCATACGCATATAAAATATTTACATTCGCCAAAGAAACTGAGAACCGTATATGAAAGACAAAGCAAGATCCCACGAGATCCCAACGCTTCCTTTTAGGCTGTGAACACAGGCGGATCTACGAGGGTGATTTCGGGTTGGAGCCACCTCAAAATGGTAAAATTTAACCATGTTTTATGAAAAAAAAAAATTACAAAATTATCTCTTAAAGTATTATTGTTCGTGTAATTACGTTTAGTAAGACTTCAACACCATTTCATATAGGTAGTTAGTATCTTTATGTTTTTTCCAAAGTAATTATCGTTATATATAAAAAAAATGTTTCGGGTTAAATTCTGGATCCACTATTGGTTGTGACACACGACATTGTAACGAACTGAGACAACGATATTATTATAATTTAGATGATCAAAAGCCACTTGAAATAGTTATGCTTTTAAAAAGAATTTTGTCTAGTTTACTTGTGAGTGTAAACTATCCAACTTAAATATGTTTTATCGCTTCCATCCCTACATATAAAAAAGGTTAAATTTATTATTGCATTATATCCTATATTGAATTATAAAAAAAAAACCGAAATGTCTCAAATATTTCAACGAAATTTGTGTTACCATTAATTGTTACCTATTTCTTAAGTGGGAGACATAATTTACTTTATGTCCATTATTTAATTAAAGAAACACGTTTTAAAATCAACAATTGACCTTGAGAATTCACCAATTTTTTTTTTTTTACATCAATTAACATTGGCAATGACGATTTATTTTTTAATAAAAAGAAAACGTTTCAGAGCACGATTCTTATCAAAGTTTTGAAGAGTCAATTAGGTGACAATTTGCTTTTGTTTATTTTATTTCTAACGATTTTTTAAAGTATTGTTATTATTATTTTTTGCGAGATATTATTTTTCTTATATGCTTATAGGAAATAAAAAGTTTTCACATTTTTTATGAGCATTAACAGCAATAAAAAACAGAACCTAATGGTGATTTTTTTATAAATATTGTGTTTTGTTTAAAAAGTTAATATTAATATTAATATATATATATATATATATATATATATATATATATATATATATATATATATATTTAAATTATGTGTAATCAAAATAGATGGACTATTAAGCTAACAGTGAACTATAGGAAGCTTTATATTGACAGAGTAGATCAAATGAAGAGAGATCGGAAAAAAGTCGGGTCTTCTGTTTTCACAGTTTCTATTTAACAATAACCATAATTCCCCCTTTAATTAATTATCAAATTCAATCAAATAGTTTATATTTAACCATTTTTTATTACTTGTTATCGTGTAAAATGATTATTTATTTTAGATTAATAAAATTTAACCTACTTTAGAATAAGAAATTTCGAAAATTCTGCATTTAAACCCTGTCAAACTATTTTAATAAATTTAACACCTATCTGATATAAAAGTAATTAATTAATTTTTATTATTTTGTTTCTTGGTATGGTTTTGAACCTAAATCGTTTTCTGTAAGGCTTAGAAAAATGTGTGATATGTGATAATATATTCTTATTTCAGAGTTCCATTGCGAAGGATCACTAAAGAAAGGAAGAGTTTCACTGAATTTAAACAGAACTTGAAGGAATACAGAGTCCAGTTGGAAAAGTTCATATCTTTCAGCAAGAGAGGAATCCCAGTATCAATAAAAAACAACAAAAATGTGAGATCTTTTAGTTTTTTTTTTTTTTTGTTATTTACAAAATATTTTTACATAACAATATTGTTTCCTTCTGTACAAAAGTTGGTTTGTTTTATTTTTATTTCTGTTTTACAAGCTATAAGGAAAACAATTCTTTTAAAGTTTCTTTTATTATCTTGTAGTTTATTACATTAGACAACGTTTCTCATCTTTCATGATAAATAGATATCTTATAAATTTGTCCAAATAGGTAATGATACTTTACATTCTTTTAAATTTTATAAAACGTAAAATAAACCTTCGAAGGAGTGAATACAAAAATAAATAAATAACTTTATTTAATAATTTCCAAATTTGAAATTGTGGAAACATGCTATTGCTTGTGTTTTATTGTCATAATATTTCACAATACATGTAGGAAAAGTGTTTTAAAACCTTGGGAGTAAATTTTTACAGCAAGAAAACCGGAAAAAAAAGCACAATACAAATATAAAATAAATACTTAAAACTGAAATGAATTATAAACAGGAAGTAAATAATAATAATTTACGATCATATACTAAAATAATCACATATATTACAAATCTAATCGAATAAGATACCTGAGAGTAAAAGAATATTTATTATTTTATATTACTATAATTTTATCGATGATGATTAATTTATTGTTCAAAAGAATGTAGTTCGTACGTCTATATTTATATCTCCGTAATATTTCTTTTTTTTTTTTTTTGTATGCCAAGCGTTTGCATGATGGGATTTTCGCAATTATTTATACTAAGGAAAACATTACTGGTATAGGTATGAATGTATGTATTTAAATACATAGATTTAGAACTTCAAACAATTAGACATATAAATATATATATATATATATATATATATATATATATATATTTATAAATAAATAAATAAATATATATATATAAATAAATAAATATATATATATATATATATATATATATATATATATATATATATATATATTCTAAGTTTCTGAGCATATTTGTTATTCTTGTGTAATTGGAGTCATTAATGACATATCAAATGATCCTCATGCAAAGTTTTGGATTCTTTCTAATTAAATGCATATAAATCCTATGGGTGATAAATATTCAGGACGCAGGCTTTAAAAAAAAAATTTAATTTTTTATTTGTGCCAACGTTCCAACCCAAACATGTGGGTCATCTTCAGTGCGTGGTTCGAGCACTGAAGGCTTTCAAGTACTCACCACGCCCAGAAGATGACCCACATGTTTGGGTTGAAACGTTGACACCAATAAAAAATTATTTTTTTTTTTAAAAGCTGATTCCTGAATGTTTTATCACCGACAATATTTAACAGTCGACTAGCTTCCATCAATAATTCTTATAAATCCTAGTAATAATCTCGAGTCCAATTTTTAATATTACACTATATGTTGATTTTAATAATTATTTATTTTAAAAAAAATAACGTGACTTTTAGATGGACTATTATGGCGTAATAGGTCTGGGTACTCCTCCACAAGAACTGAAGGTAGTCTTCGACACAGGTTCTTCGGATTTGTGGGTTCCTTCTAGCCATTGCTGGTTCAGTTTTTCTTGCTGTGAGTAGAACATAAGTTATAATTCATGGTTGATATTACATAGTTTATAGTTAACTAACCGTTAAAAAATAAATAAATAAATTTGGATCATAATTGCCTTTTTCAAAGCTGATGTAGATTACTTTGACAATTAATATTAATTTAATAATCTGTTGTGAGCTTAAAGCCCCCTTTTGGCCTTCGAATAAAAATTACATTAACATTTAAAAATTACATGTAGTTTTTCTTGTGCATGCGCATGCGCTTAAACATGTATAATGTTTTAATCACATTCATTTTTAGAGACATTTTTAAAACATTTATCCAGAGTCGGAACGAGCCAAACTCCAATGGATTGAACACAGGAAAATAATTTTGAAAAATTCATATCTTCTAATCTGATTTTCCTTTTTTTGGATGTTATTTAATTGCAAGTATACAAAATTTAACAAATAAATAATATTTGATTCACGTATTAGCATTTCGGTTATCGAATTCTTATTTTAATAAATTTTCGGAAATAACACCACTTTGCCGGTGTTATTTTTTTTTAACGAAATTGGGTAAATAGTTTCATCACATCGTAACCTACAAATATTTTATTTACGAAAATTCTCGGAATTGTGTAGTTTTCAATCTAGAGGTCGGCAAACTTTGTCTATTTCATTAGGTACTAAGAACTCGTAAATACCCAATTTCCACTTTAACCGTAAGATAAATTGAGCACAAAGTCAAGAAAAAAGGTGGCCTTAAAAATAATCGAGCTGTTTGACGTAACCAACACCCCCAAGTTTCCAAAATAACGAGATTATATAGGCCAAACGGCTCAATATTTTTGAAGGCCTCCATTTTTCTCGACTTTGTGCTCAAGATATCTTATGATTAAAGTGAAAAGCAAATGGGTATTTACGATTTTTTAGTACCTGATTAAATAGACAAAGTTTGCCGACCTCCAGATTGAAAACGCCCCAACGAGAATTTTCGAAAATAAAATATTTGTAGGTGACGATGAGATGAAGTTATTTACGAAATTTTAGCCGGATGATATTCATTCGATAAAAATGGGTCTCAACCACGGACTAATTGTCTTATAAATATTTCTGGCTCTCTCTTCGAAAGACGACGGTTGCCCGTCATATTGTTTATTGTTTTATATACTTCTTTAATGACATTTTTAGTGCATCTCGAATTTCTACTTTTAGTTTTTATACTTCATCTTTGAACCAGTTCCATAAAGGATAATCTAGTATAGTCAATTCTGATAATTCTGATTGAACCTTTCATCCGAATTTTGCTTCATCTACCAAGTGAAATGATGTCTAAGGTGCCTCCATGATGTTTAAACCTCCATGATGTTTAAAGTGCTTTTGCATTCAGAAATCTAGTGAGACATTTTATAAGAGTCCCTGTTATTCAAATCGTAAAAAAAAAAAAAAAAAAATCTTTAGTAATCAATGGTTGTATTTTCGAAAATCTATTAAAATAAGAATTTGATAACCGAAATGCTTATATATAAATGAAATATTCTTTACTTATAATCAGCCAATAAAAATTAAACAAATGAATATAGAATAAGAGTTATGAGTTTTAATTATTTTCCTGTATGCAATCCACTCTTGCAGTTTTGCCTGTTGCTCTTCACCCATCCTGTATAATTTAGAAAGTTTTTAATCCAAATCAGATTAAAAACTGTTGTTTTCTTTTTTTCATCAAAAGCAGGGTATTTCTACTTCTAATAATATTGCCACTCGAAAACCATCATTTGCAGATTCATAAACTTTTTTTACACTTAAATCAAAATATCTTTTATTTAATACTTGAATACACTTATCAATGTATAACTATTCTTATATAACTCTTTATTATGAAAACCTTCAAAAGCATTTATTTTGTTATAATTTGACTTCTAGTTAAGCAGCTATACAATTACAGTGTTTGTTTTATTTATTATGTTTGTTAAAAGAAATCTTAATATTTTTTTAACAGATAACCATAAATATTTCAAGGATTCTAAATCATCAACATTCAAAAATATAGGAAAAAGTGTTTCCATCGAATATGGCACCGGATCAATCTCAGGAACAACCGTACAAGACAAACTAACGGTAAGGTTTTTTTTGTTATTTTTTTATACTGGTTAAAGAAAACATTAAAAAAATAATAAACATTTATATGTTGCTTTAATTTAAGAAAACAGAACAAAATTTTAAATCGATTCGAACGTGTTAAGATGTTAATTCTCCAAGGGTTTTCATCACCAATCACAGATAATATTAAAAAAACATTTTTACAAAATAATCCGTAAATCGGACACGGTTCCTCAATCAAGATCCATATTAATTCTGATTAACTATTGTATGTACTATTATATTTATCTTTTTTTCTAACAACGTCATTTTAATCTATTTAAAAGTTTACAAATTGTAATGAATTAAATGAATGAAGCCTGAATGAAAATGCCTACATTGGTACGGTACTCTCACAGTCAGCCACATTCTCCAAGAATGCCCTCATTACGTATCGATTCTAACCAAATTGGGACTCGTACCAAAATTATCAGTAGTTTTAAATAATGACAAAGTTAAAATAAAATCAGTGATAGATTTTCGTAAAGATAATGATTTACTAAACGAAATTTAAATCCCATAACAATTTACTGTTGAAATGATTTAAATAGAGATTAGATAGGCGTTGATGATTTGGGGGTTTTACGCCTTGAAGCCCTAAACAACAACAACAACCTCCTTGCACAACCGTTGACAAAGAAACAGTGCTTTCCTTAGATGGTACTGAACCTATAAGACCTATGGTTGTAGTGGTACGGGTTTTTTTTATCTATTTTTTTCTTAGTTGTTTACATATTACTATTTAAATTACTGTTCATATTTTTAGAATTTTTCTTTTTTTTAAACTTTTATTATGATATTTACGACTGTATTATACTAATGTATGAATACATCAAGTAAATGTGTTCAGAGGAATATAGTCACATGAAACACTCTTGTTGAGAAACTATCCATTGGTAGCACTCTAATAATTTGTCTACATGAGGAGATTTGTCTACAAGAAGATCACGAGGCCATCTTCTTTTCAGACGCCTCGGAGGGTTATCAGGAATCGAAGAGGAAGCAAGGTTAGAAACAAGAGGATTCGGATGGTTATGAAGCTTATTATGGAAGGATAGGTATCTGGATTTGGCCAAATCGGAAACATATATAACATTGAAGTCTTTATGGATTATTTTATTTGTGACAAAGTAAGGAGCTTTGAGGATTTTACGAAGGATTTTGGATTGTAAAGATTGGATACGAGAGGAATTTGATGGTTTAGTGAAGCCCCATAGCTCAACTCCATAAGTCCAAATAGGTCTTATAATAGTCATGTATGTGAGTCGTTTGTAATTAATTGGAAGTTTAGAGCGTTTGTTCAGTAAGTGTTGGAGTAAGCGGAAACGTCGAGCAGTTTCTTGTCGTTCCAGTCTTGTATAAGGATTCCAAGTGAAACGTTTGTCCAGCTGGTATCGGGTATCGGATTTGTTCTACAGGGATAAATGGGGTGTTATTAAAGGATACTATAGGACAGCAAGTCATTGTTTTACGACGAAGGGTAAAGGTGATTTAATGGGATTTATTGGAATTTATTTTAATCCTCCAGTTTTGATACCATTTTTCGAGATTTGTGATGTGTGATTGAAGAGTTTGGGATGCAATTGTTGGATCATTATTAACTGACAGGATATAGGTGTCATCAGCATACGTAGTGATGACAGTGTTAGGATGGGTTGGAATATCGGCTGTATAGACTGTGTAAAGGATAGGATCAAGGATACTACCTTGAGGAACTCCGGCGGATTGAGAAAAGAGGGTGGGATAGGTATTATTGTGATTTACTTAGGATTGTCTACCAGTAAGATAGGAAGAATTTTTATTAAATTAGTTTTTGGCCAGATATGTATTTTTTTTTTCATTATTTAAGGGCCTTTGTCACAGAATAAAGTTTATTTTTCTATTATATTCTATTTTATTATATATATATATAGTGAGATATAGTATTTTAAATACTTCTTCCGTAAAAGTAAACTTAATTTTATTTTTACAGGTCGGCAATATTTCAGTTCCTGAACAAGTATTCATAGCTGCCACATCTATCTCCAAAGACCCCTTCTACAAAGCCAAGACTGACGGGATCTTCGGCCTAGGGTTCCCGGAGATAGCCGAAACCAAAGCCACTCCTCCTCTCTACACCATGGTCTACGACGGAGCTATCCCCAAGCCCATTGTATCCTTCTATTTAAATCGGTGGGTACCAAAGATAAACAGACTCTTATGCAGTATTATGCAATACAAATAGATTTTGGACGTTTCGGAGCATATGAATATGCAGTTCTAACGCAATACATATTCCGTCCAATCGGTATTGATACTCAATTCAATACATATTCCTCCAACCAATTGGAACATGCGATTTCTTGGATTAGGAAATCCAATAACTAAACCACACTTCAATGGTTATCCTCCTGGTGCTATTTCGAAGTACTAATTTATAAGAAAAATTTAAACTATTTTCAATAGTGTATTATAGATCCCTATCTCGGCTCTCAGTAGCGATGGATTTTGTTGAATGAGGTGTTTTGAAATTTTACGGCAACTACAATCTCTTTGAAAAAATTATTAGGTCTTTAAACTCAGCTAGTTTCGAAAGCTAACGGATAAAAACGGTTCAAAAGGACCGATATTCTTCGATTGACAAAAAAAAATTGATTTGAAAAGTAAATTTAGGAGAATAGTTCTACCATCTCTTGGAAAATTGAGATAATATAGAAAGAAACTTTTTAATATTTTTTTATAAATAAAAAATGCATATTAGTGTTTCAATAATAGATTAGAAAAATTGTTTTTATTTCCTAATGATATTTACAACTGTATTAAATAAATACATGTAGTAAGTTTGAACATATGGATATAATGACGTGAAAAGTCTTGTTGAGAAACTACCTAATAGGAGCACTCTAGTGATATGTTTACATTAGGAGATCACGGGGCCATCTTCTTTTCAGACGCCTCGTAGGATTATCAGGAATTTAAGAGGAAGCAAGGCTAGAAACGAGAGGGTTGGAATAATTCTGTAGTTTATTATGAAAGATGGGTATGTGGATTAGGCCAGATCTGAAACTTAAGAAATACTAAGATCATTATGGATGATTTGATTTGTGACAAAGTAGGGAGCATTGAGGATTTTGGATTATTGGATTGGATACGAGAGGAATTCGATGGTTTAATGGAGCTCAACTCCATAAGTCCAAATAGACCTTATTATAGTCATATATATGAGTCTTTTGTAATTAATTCGAAGTTTAGAGCGTTTGTCTAGTAAGTGCTGAATTAATCGGAAACGTCGAGCGGTTTCTTATCGTTTCAGTCTGGTATAACATAGAAAATGTAAATGCAAAAAAAATAATAATAAATTGAGTCATAGCATGTACTAGTCTAGGAACTATTACTAAAGCATTTGGTTCGAAAATAAAGATCTGTTTTCTAAAACCTATAGAAGATCCTTCCCATTCTATGCTCAAATGAGAGAAAGAGTTAATATACACTGAGACAACAGATAGTAATATTTGGGTCGTGGTAACGGACTAAAAGAGTGAGATTCTAGAAAGAAAAATCGCACCACACTGCCGAGAGCTATCAGAAATATTCTTTGGAAAAGGGAAAGGAAATAATGTTCTTCTGAATCCTTTCACACTGTGGAATCGTTGGAAATGAAGAGGCAGACAAAGCAGCCAATATGGCGGGAAGACGAGGAAGAAATCCAACAATTATCATTAACAAAATCCTCATACAAGATTTTTTACAGCATATAAAGAAAAAATACGGATAATGTAACAGAACACAGATGGCAACAAAAATAAGCCAAATTAAAAGAAATAAAAATCCACTGTTCCAAATGGAAAAAATGTAACCGGCTCTCTAGGAAAGAAGAGACAGTCCTCTGACGCTTAAGAATTGGGCATTGTGAATTTTCACATGCCTATCTACTAAGAGACCCATCGACACATCATTCAAGACTGCCCAGTATTTAAGAATATAAGAAAAAATTGGATATGGCTAAGAGCCTAAAAGAAAATTTCATTGACAACGAAAAAGGCTGTACAAAAAATCTTGATTTTTTTTTAAATTAAAAAATTCTACAACAGAATACGAGCAAAATGTTTTGCCAATGACCCTACAGGGTAGAGGTAACAATAAAAACAAATAAATAAATTAATATTCTATGCTAAATTCACGACTGATAAAACAAAATTTTACCTGACTCTAACTTTGGTATAAGAATTACTAAAGCTACCTTATCTTCTGCTTAGTATGCAACTTGAATAATGTTAACTAGAGTACTTAAAAAAGTTATATAAAATAACAATTTTTTTTTAATGAAATATTTCTCTACTTAATTTTCAGAGACATCCAGGACAGCAACGGTGGAGAAGTTAACTTCGGAGGAAAAAACAAAGACTTATACGATGAAAATTCTGGACACCCGATTCCTGTCACGCAACGAGGCTTCTGGCAGTTCGTTTTAGATTCGTAAGTTGTTAAGCGTTTTAACTTTTAACAAGATGGTGGCATTGTACCTTATTTTATATATTACCTAATTTATTTAACGTCGTCTGGTACCCAGAGGTGTCCAGGTAGCAACAACAGGTTATTCTGCAGATTATCGCTCGGAAACTATTAAATAAAAGGCAATCTATCTAGGCTGGATTCGAACATGATCTGATTAGTAACAATAATTAAGTGAAAACCATATGGACATAATTATCTTAAATATGTTTTGATATTAACTCCATAATTCATGTTCACAGATAATTATTTTTTCCATAAAATCATGTAATAATTATTTTATTTGATTTTTAACTTAATCAAGCCTGATATGTAAATAAAAATTTAAATCTTTCTTTGATGATTGATTCGATTAAAAATAATGATCACTCACTAATTGATACGGTTTTACATAAATGATAATGAAGAGAAGGATAGTTGGGGTGATCAGTCAAAAAAAAAATAATAATATTTATTTTAACATTTTCCGACGTTTCAACCCGAAGTTCAGGCCTTCATCAGGGCTGAGAAAAGAACCAGATAACAATTTGTATGAGAAATATAAACAATGTAGGTAAAAAAAAACTTTAAGTAAAATGAAGTAGATAACAATTACAAAGTGTGGACTAATAAAGTAAACATAATCAAAATAAGATAAGATATCAACTAAAATGTTAATCTTAGAATAAAATATAAAACAGAGAAAAGGAATATGAAGTTATGTAAGAAATAAATATAATTAGAAAAGTTGAGATAGATAATAGACTTTAACTATTCTATTTACAATATCTCAACTTTTCTTTTTATATTTATTTCCTACATAACTTCATATTCCTTTTCTCTGTTTAACATTTTCTTTTAAGATTACCATTTTAGTACTTATCTTATCTTATTTTGATTATGTTTACTTTATTAGTCCAGATTTTGTAACCTTTATTATTATTTATTTCTTAGTTCTTGTTATTGTCATTATTCTACCTACTTTATTTTACTTTAATGTTCACTTATCTACTTCATTTTACTTAAAGTTTTTTTCTACATTGTTTATGTTTCTCATATCAATTATTATCTGGTTCTTTTCTCAGCCCTGATGAAGACCTATACTTCTGGTTGAAACGTCAGCAAATGTTAAAATAAATATTATTATTTATTTTGCCATTTTTATTTTCACTGATCAACACACCTATTCTTTTCTTCATTATTCACTACAGTCAACCATCAACCCACAATTATAAATGATAATGATTAATGTGATAAAAAAATGTTGATCAAAAAATAATAATAACCTTTTACGTTATTAATGAACACATTGTTAAATGTTATATTTCTTAATTAAAGGGACTTCTTTAATTGTGCACGCGGTTTCTGCACAATATATATTTTTTTCGTAATAAAATTTCAGAAATAAAGATATTCTGTTGCTAATGGTTGACAACAACATAAACCATCTGCTACCACCGACTCAAAATATATCATAGAGATTATAAAAAGTTTATATTGCTGATTTAAAAAAGTATTACTCAAGAATTATTGTTTTTGTTAATTGAAAAAGTGTTGTTCGAAAATCAGGATATGATTTTAATCACTCTTGATTAAAAATAAAAATCATCAAATGATTTTTTTTTTTAATTTTAGACAAAAATTTTGATCGCATTTATTTTTTTAAATTATAGATTTCAAACCCCATCATAAAATATTTCCAAAATTTTCTTTTGCCTGTATTTTTCTCTTTTTGTTGAATATGAATATTCTCAAAATCAAAACTACGTTCATTATTGAAAACATGTACCATGTTGTTTTGGGGGGTCTTTTTCGATGTTTTTTCTATCATTCTTATGCTGGTACGTTCTTCCATTTATGTATCGTTTCGTTTCCGCTATGTAGATTGCCGGAAAATTTAAACATGGAACCTTATATTACTTATTGTTTTACTATATATACCACCTCATTTTATTTTAGGATAAACGTGAATGATAAGAAAATAACATCAAGGTACGGTTTCGAAGCTATCGCTGATACTGGAACTTCTCTAGTGTACCTTCCTGCCGGATCTTCGGCTAAGATCTATGAAGAAGTTGGAGCAAAAATCGTTGACGGCATCGGAGTTGTGAGTATTTAAATATTTATAATAATATAATAATTTAATTTATTTCAGCTCTATGAATATTGTATCTTTATTTATATATTATTTCTTTGACACCTTTGCGTAGTGTTTTAAGTGCGAAAATCATAGCTAAATTTTCGAATTCCAACCCATTTTATTCTACCTACATTTATAAGTCTATACATTTCACCTTTTTAATTTTAGTTCTTTATTATTCAATGTTTATAGTTTCTTATACCTATTGTTATATGGTTTTTTCTTAGCTCTGATGAAGGCCTGAACTTCGGGCCGAAAAGTCGGCAAATATAAAGATAAATATAATTATTTATTTTTTATTTTGACTGATCACTAGTGTTGCCCAAATGCGAGACCGAGACGAGACTTGGTCTTGCAAACTCAGTCTTGGTCATGGTCTTCGTCTTGCGCAAGAGCCTCGCAACAGTCTTGCAGTTACTTATTAGCTTATTACTGTAGAGATATTACTGTATTTTTTTAGATATGAGAAACCTAACTAAGCCCGAATGAAAAATTAGAGTAGTTGAATGCAAAAGTACATAGGTTATACCAATTATTAACATATAGTAATTAAAATTGTCTAGTATTAGTGACTATTTTTCCTTAATTTTTATCCTGTAAAAAGAGTCCTGGTCTTGGTCTTGCAAAGTACAAAGTGCTAAGTGCAAGACCAAGACCGATTTTGGGCAACACTACTGATCAGCCCAACCATCCTTCTCTTTGATAAAAAAATCAGTTTTTTGGTGTTTTCCATAATAATAAAATAAATTACAAAATCACACTTGACAGATTTTTCACTGGTACCAAGATACGTTACATTAAACATATACACATTTTTTTATTTATATTAAGGGAGTTTTCATTGTTTTTTTTTTCTGATACTAAATTTAAAAAAAAAAAAATTACCGGAATCATTTATATCTTTTAAATATTTTTAGCAGCGTTAGTACGCAATGGAAAGTTAAGTGAATTAAATTTATAAAAAGATAAATTATACATCAGGATTATGGATCAGACGTAGATGAATTAATGGTATCCATATTAATAACTTGTGGATTGCTTTTACCATTTGGATATCCGAGACGGTATGAATTATTCATAAAGTCGGATAACTGTGAATTTATATGAGAAGTTTTGAAACCGAAGTTATGGGATATAGAAATATCCCTCTCCGATTTAATAGTCAACATATATGTCAAAAATGATAAAGTGAATCCATGTTGTTAGTTAGAAAACAACATATCATTCTGCATATATATGTATATATATTTAAAAAAAGAAAAATTATTTAATAATAAAAAAATTAAGCTATAGATGACTGAAAAATATATTAAAGAAAAAAATGCGTTGATTTTAAAGTTTTGCTAGCAAGAAAGCCTTCTTAGAATTACTAAAAAAATATAAATAAACAGTAAATTATATCGAGTTTTTGTTATTTTTAAGTGACTATCCATGATTAAATGATATAAAATAAAGTTTCCAGGTTTAAATTACTTGTTCAATGTATATTCGAATATAGCATATTTAAATTTTTTTTTATTTTAAACATTTTAACTTTTTTTTAATCAATTTATGCTCTTGTCCTTATAAATTATATGACTTTATTATATTTTCTCCGATTTCTTATTTTTAAAAAATCGATGAATTTTCAATGACAATACTTACTAGAAATTCTCAGACAGAAAAAAAAAATTTTAATTTGAATTTTGAAATTCTATACTTACATAAATTATTTACAACACGAAATCGAGAAAATTATTTCAGTAACGTTTTTGCTTGGTTGTTTGTTTTGATATTGTAGGCCGAAAACATCTAGGTGATCAAGTTGGTAGGGTATAACCAAATATATGTAAAAAAATAATAAAGAAAATCAATGATTAACAAACATTAAAAAATATAAATAAACAAGCCTATAAACAAAAAATATTTGTGTATGTAAAAAATATTAAATACAAATAAATTTAAAACGATTTAAAGAAGAAAAAAGACCTAAATATATAAAGAAATAATATTATATTAGTACTCTTTTTTTTTATAATCTATCAACAAGTAGAAGGTCCATACTTTATTAACAAACATAAATTTTATGTTTGATTTGGTATTATAAATTATTTACATAAATTAAGGGATTGCATATTTTTTATAAAAAACAAATGTTTTAATTTTAAGTCATTTTTAAAAATTTTGTTATTTTACATAGTACTAATATTTCTTGGATTTCTTTAAAAATAAAACAACCATTTAAATCAATTATAAATTTTTTTAAATTAATTTCGTAAAAAACAACCCAAGAATCTTTGTTTAAATTTTTTTGTAATTATTTTTTATCATAATAGAAAAGTCCACTTGATATACATTAATCACAAAATAATGTACCGGTTAACTTACGCAACTTGACGATACTAACTGAGCTTAAACAAATAATAATTTTTATTTCTTCTTATTTTTTTCATTTTTCTGTAAGTTTCCTTTTCTGCAGGTGAGTATGGCAATTGCAACATCCTTGTAAAAAACTGCAATTACAACTACAAATATTTTTTTATCTTTCTTATGTGGGAATAACATTTTTCTAAACGTCAAACAAATTTAATCATTAAAAAATTTAACAATCGCAAGGAACTTATAATTGCCAATTCACTTTAAAATTTCTGAAATATTATAATTCTTTCGATTTTATTAATAAATCTGTTTACTGAGATGTTATGTGATGTGCAGTAAAAAAATATTTATTATTTATTACGCCTTTTATTTATTTTTATTTCTATTTAGGTGGACTGTGATAAAATCAACAGCTTGCCATCTGTGAACTTCGTAATCAATAATTACTATTATGAACTTGAAGGAAAGGACTATATTCTAAAAGTAAGTCGTAGAGATAAAATGGTACTATTTAACAAGTTTTGCTCCACTTTGATGGGTACGTACAAGATCTGTTGATCACAGTATAAATGGAATTCCGAGAATGACCTGAGGTGGGCGTTACTACAATTATTAAAAAAACGTAAATAAATTGTTTGTTGACAAAAAAAAGTTCTTCAGTATTGTTAAAGAAAAATAATTCATAGAACAACTAGATGATTCCGTCATTATTTAATAACAAGAAAAAATAACATCTGAAATATGTCATAAATGAAGCCATGCATTATTCAAGTTTGAAATGGATATTTTTTTTAATATATATTTAATAATATTACATAGACGATTTAGTCAAACATGTGATACAAGGGAAAATTTAGAAAATTGCCCAAATAATATAAACTGTAGCTGTAAGCTTCATAATTTGAAATATGTACCCATTGGAATTAAACCAAAAAGTTACAAAACAATATTTCCGGTCTGTAAGACACAATTATATATAGGAACATTTAACAAATAAGTTGATTTTATTAAAATCGGATTTTGTTTGAAATTTTAAGGCCATAAAAAAAAGTAATTATGTTGTAACATCTAAAAATAGTAGTTGTTTGTGCCAAAAAGGGTTCGATTTTCCCGCGTTACGGCGAGTGATGGGGGCAGATCAGAGGATCTAAAAGATAACACTTAATCCTTAAGAACTGCTGGTTTGCTCGCGCCACTTCTCGACTGGCAGCTACTCTGGTCACACCAACGGCACCTGAGGACCCTCAAGGTAATGAAGAGATGTAAGCTGGCATAAAGATGGTAAGCTATTTTCGCACAATCAGCATAACCTACCAATCCATTAAGATACAGTCCACTGAATAAAAGTAGAATGTTGCCCATAATTTTGAATGTTGCCTTATTGAAACTCATGACAGTTATTTTCCTTAATTAGAAAAGTTCAAGAACCAGATTGATCGTGTAATGGTTGTTAGCCAAAGTGATATTGAAGATGTGAGGAGTTATAGGGGGAGGATTGCTCAACAGATCATTATTTGGTACGGATAAGATACAAATAGAGACTAGCAATCAAACCAAGAGGGAAAACAGAGAAATCAAGGAATATATATAAGGTTGGAGATCTGAAAAATCTCGAGAAACAACGGCTGTTCAATAGAAAAGTGGAAGAGAAAATATGCGAACTCGGGACAGCAGAAGAGGATGCAGAGCTGGAACCACTTGACCATGAGGAAGTAGAAGAAGTCACTATGTTCTTAAAAAATAATAAAGCCTCAGGAATTGATGAGATCCCACCAGAAGCAGTTAAATCAGGAGGTGAGGCACTCCATAGAGAAATATATGAATCGGTATTACTGGTATGGACGAAAGAGTAAATGCTAGTAAGTGGTAGGTAATACGTTGCCAATCCAAAAAAAGAGACAAATTGGATTGTAGTAATCTCATTACTGTCCATAGTCTAAAAGGTGATGTCAACTTTGCTAATGAAGCGAGTTGTCAAGAGAGCAGAAGAGGTTTTGGGCTATATCAGTGTGGATTCCGCTCTGGAATCTACATTGAATCACATTTTTTTGCATAATGATGGCGTTAGAAAAATGCTGGGGATGGAATGTTGAACAGCACCATGTTTATAGATTACAAGCAAGCATACAAATGCATAAACAGAAGTGGAATGCATGAAGTATGAAAAGTTAAAATATCTAGGATGTCCTTTGAAGTTTATCGGGCTTATCAAGATGATCCTACAGGACAGCAAAGAAGAATCTTTAAAAGAATTTGATATTCAGAAACGTGAAAAACAGGGAGATCCTCTTTCTAAAGATTTATTCAATATGGCATTAGAAGTGGCCATGAGGTTGACCAGGACAAGACCTAGACGATGTATCTACCACAGACACAACATTTAGCGTTTGCAGATGATATTGAGATTTCCGGAAGAACAGTCAGTGCATTATTTGGAGCATTCCAGGAGTGCGAAGTAGCCGCTAGTAGAACGGGGCTGGTAATTAATAGGGGGAAAAACTAAATATATGGGGACCAGCAAGGAATAAGGAGGGAACATGAATATCGAGGGGGCTGGATATCGTTTCGAGAGAGTACCGTAGGTTAAGTATTTGTTATAACTGAGGATAATAAGATTAGAGAAGAAATTAAGGCAAGGATAACAGCTGGCAATCGAAATAAAAATAACTGTTCTTATCTTTTTGAAAGAACACCTCAAGTGAAAAGATCCTATAATGGATTCTTTTCTCCTGTTTAATCGAGCATAGCAAGGAATATTGTAGCAAAAGCTAATTAATAGCCTGTTTTAACTGAAAAAGAATCTAAAATAAGGGAGATTAGACTCGTTGACAATACTCACTCATTTTCATAATTATATTTATCATGTGTTCGTGTGCCTATCCATCAAAGTGGTGAAACATTTTCAAAGTCCCGAAAAATTTTATTTGCTTACACTTAACCTGAGAAATGCTGTAATTATGTTCTATACAACTTTAATAATTCCAGATGCAAGACCATTCTAAGGACGTGTGTGTTGTCGGTTTCCTGGATACAACTCAAGAAGTCATGATTCTTGGAGACGTTTTTCTTGGAAAATTTTACACAACCTTCGACATTGGACAGAACACGGTGACGTTTGCTTCTTTGAAGAAACGCTAGATTTTAGGTTTTTTTACAATTTTTTTGTTGTAAATGTATCGAAGCTGTTTTTTATTGATTAAATTATAAACGCTAGTACGGTTTTTAATTTTTTCATCCAAAAAATTATGCTTTGATTTCTGAATCAATATAGTCTGAAACCATTTTAGTAAGAACAAGTGTTATTTTTTTTTACCAGTCAGCGAAATATATTTTATATGTAATAAGATGTAAAAATGAAAATGTATTGTTTATCGAATCAATTATAAATATTGATTCATAATTGGTAATTGGTTGACTGTCGTGGATAATGAAGAGAAGAAAAGAAGTTTCTTCTCTTCATAAATATTGATTGCATATATATTACTATGAAACGAGGTAAAATCGAGAAAAAAAAACTGTGATGAGAGAAGCAGAGGGAATCAGTCTACAAGTAAATGAAGATAAAACCAAATAGTACTGAGCTGAATAAATATTCCTGTAACAGTTTTGATCTACAAAGTTTGTTTGATTTTATCTTAACTTTTCCTTCGATTTTCTTGGATGGAAAGGAATAAATTATATAAGGTAAACATTTATTTATATATTGGACTTATCTGACCCGATTTTACAGCATTCTCGACTAAATTTTTCAGATAATTACAAAATCCGCAAGTTACCGCAACTGATTTCTATATTCATCGTTAGCATAGGGCTTATAAAACATTTTAGGAACAGTAAGACTGTGGCGATCCTTGGCTCAAGACACTTATTCTATGAAAAGTCAGCGTGTATCATATTTTATTTCACATACACAAAGCAGGACGGATCGTAACGAAAACACCACCCTTTTTATTGCTAGAATTATTTCTCGCTTGTTATGGTTACAAATTGACAATAAGAGTAATTATAATTATATAATGATATAAGTTGACAATAAGGCGAGATGTATAATATAGATTTTTTAAAAAATTAAAGTTTGCTTGAAATGTGGTTTCGTTACGTTTATTTTATGTTGTTAAAAAATTATACAATATGAACTACAGAATACATGAAAATTACAGTTATACGATTTGAGCCACGAGTAGTACGATTAAATGAACGTTTGTATAATTTGAAAAATGGAGATTGGTCCCCCATTAGTTGGACAGAGGGTACCCTCATAGTAATAAAAAAAAAAAATAAATTCTAGTCAATTTTAAACTAAAAAATAGCAAACTACAGATGAATGAATCGAAATTTCATCTCCCAATGAAAAGTACTAAAGAAACCTTCCTGAAACAAACACATAGTTTTTTTATTGTTAAGTCAACACCCTGTTACCTATAGTGGCATGATATCACTTGAGATTCAGGAATCACCCTTCGAAGTGTTTAAGCTGGTAATCTACTCCTATCTGCACTCTCTATAGGGTATAAATAGTCTATTATTAGTGATGACTTGAAAACTGTCCACTTCTAGTAAATTATCTATTGGTATTATATCCTCAATATATGTTCCACGAAGCTATGAAGCAACGGAAAAAAACTTTGGAAATAATTAGGTTAAGTAAATAAAAACTTTAAAGTTGGCCGAATACCTTGAAAGGAGCTATCGAGGAGGACTAGGGGCTTAGGACGAAAACCTGAGTTGAGGGGGGAGTATTGTTGTTGGTTGAAAAGGAACTGAGGAGCAACTTCTCGCGGTTGGGTCTCTGTTGATAAGCCGCAAGGCCAACTTCACTTCTATCCCTTTGATAGCTCTTATCGATCACAGCTCATAGTCGAATTAAAAAACGTTACTTTAAAATTCTATATTTAAACATCGCGCCTTATTGCCAACTTATATTAGTATATATTTATAATTATTATTGCCAATAACCATTATAAGAGAGAAATAATTCTGTGAATAAGAAGAGTGGTGTTTTCCTTATGGTCTGTCTCGTTTTTTATGAGTGAAATTAAATATGACACAGTGACTAAATACTTTTGATGTGATTATTTTTTTTAAATTAAAAAGAAACAATATTAAGTTTTTTTTATCATTGCAGTAATTTTGGAATGATTTTTCAAGGCTATTTCGGAAAAGATGTTGGTCCCTAAGAGATTGGAATGCATAAAATTCGGTCAAGATATGGCTCACTGTGAGGGGTACCCCGAAGGAAATACATCGTGTTGGAGAATCTTTCCTCATTAAATTAACCACTGATATGGTTTATATAAAGATATGAACCAGGAGTTTCAGTAACTGTTCGGTAGACTGAATCATACAATCGTTTGTCCGGTAGTAATTTCTAGAAATGACATCGGCGCAGACGATAACATCTCTTCTCTTGAGAATTTGAAACTTCCAGAATAAGTATTGGAGAAATCAGTTCTCCTCAGCACAACGAACATCTAGAAAGGTCTTAAGCACAGTTTAATATCTGATAATAACCTTTTCCTTGGGTAAATGAAAATTTCTGGTGAAACCCCCCCAAAAAAAATTACAAACTAGTGATATTTTTTTTTGTGGGTTGATGGTTGTCTGTCGTGAATAATGAAGAGAAGGAAGGTTGGGGTGATCAGACAGAAATAAAAACGGCAAAAATAAATAATAATAATTTTAAATAAATATAAATATAATACAATATAAATATTTTTAATAAATAATAATAATTTTAATTCTAGCTGATCACCCTAACCATCCTTCTCTTCATCAATTTTTTGTTTTAATTTATTTTTTAATTCGCATCTGTTATTGTCCATATGTTGGATTTGGAGCGTTTCAATCTGAAAGGGGACAAACTTTGTCTATTTAATTAGGTACTAAAAACTCGTAAATACATATTTGCCTTCTACTTGGATCATAAGATCATTTGATCACAAAGTCGAGGAAAAAGGTGGCCATCAAAAGTATTGAGCCGTTTGGCGTGACCTACAACCCCAACTTTTCAAAATTACAAGGTTATATAGAATAAACGTTCTAATATTTTTGTAGGCCACCTTTTTCATCGATTTTATGATCAATTTATCTTACGATCCAAGTAGAAAGCAAATGGGTATCTACGAGTTTTTAGTACCTAATTAAATAAAGTTTGTCTCCCTACAGATTGAAAATGGCCCAATTCCTAGAATTTTCGTAAATGAATTAATTGTAGGTTACGATGAGATGAAATGATTTACGAAATTTTAGGCGTATGTTAATAATTCGATAAAAAGGGGTCTGTACCATGGACAAATATAAAAATAAACTAGGAGAAACAGCATGGCAGGCATGAGGAAGAGAAACACTCAGTGGCTAATCATCGATCATGTTCATGGTTAAGGAGATCTCTCATCCAACTCTTTTTAGCCTTCTGTGAATATTATCGGGCATGTTTTTATTGGCTATGCCCTGAATGAGTCTATTGTGGTGACCGTAAAGCTTGTAGTGAAACCTTTTCTAATAAGTTTGTATTTGTTCAGTGACTGTTTGCATGCGTAAGTCTTTTTGGAGAGTTATGTTTCTGATATACCAAGGTGCTTGAGTAATTGTCTTGAAAGTTTTGGCATGAAATATTTGTAGTTTCGGGATGTGTATTTTTTTAGCTATTCCTTATATTTGTGACGCGTAAGTCCAAATTGGTTTTAATAAGTAGGTGTAAGTGCTAAGTTTTTGTCTTAGGTTTAGTTTTGATCGATGTACCAGGTGAGAAAATAATAGCCGGATTCGTGGATTTGGTCTCTTTCGCTTAGCGAGGGGAAGGGGGGAGAGGAAATGTCATGTTGTCAAATTTTAAACCTAGGTAATGTACTTTCTCAGTTTGAGGGATGTGTCTGTTATCGAGATAGATAGGAGGGCAGTCCTTGCATCGAAGTGAAAATGTTATTTGTTGGAATTTAGGTTTATTTGCCAAGGTTTGTACATGTCGTGTAGAATCTGTAGGTGATTTTGTAGAGTATATGATGTCATCAGCATAGGTGGCTATAAAAGTGTCAATGGAGAGGAGTATGTCAAGTGTGTATATTATGTAATCCAGTGGTGCAAGAATTGATCCCTGGGGTACTCCGGCCAGAATAGGTCTAATAGATGAGACTTCAGAGCCTTGTCGAACAGAGAAAAATCTATCTTAGAGGAATGATTGTAATATGAGATTGTATGTGAAGGGGATTATTTTCTTGAGTTTATAAAGAAGTCCCTGGTGCCAAATCATATCAAATACCTCTTCAACATCCAAAAACAGACTATTAATATAAAAAATAAAATAAAATAAACCCACTGTTCAGTGCTTTTATACTGATAATTCTTCATTTTTTCCCGAACAGAGGCGTTTAAGATATTTTTAAATCTGTCATTATTTCACTATCTCTTATAATAGTACTAAATAACTCGATAGAAATTTTCGCCGAGACTTGTTTGAAAGCTTCCATTTTAGCAGAAAATGCCATATAACTTCATGAAATAAACACTCTGCCAGTCCAGAAATACACTTAACTACACTTTATATCTTGAAATTGCCAAATCATCAACCTATATTTACATGCTAAACTAAACCTGAAAATATTATTGGATAATATTTTACTATAGAAATGTACAATAACAGATAGTTGAAATATTAAAGCTTTTGACTAGCTCAAAAAAAAAGAAGTCAAAAATATAACTTACTTTGGTATACTGTTATAACAAATTTTAGAAAACAGATTTTAGAATAATAAAAGGTTGTAAAAAAAAAAAAAAAAAAAACGAGTTCACAGGAATAACAATGTGTTTTTGTTTTTTTTTCTTTATACCTGCTTATATTTAATAACTGCATTTACATTATAATTTAAAAAGAGTACATACCGAGAATGTTCAAGTATTCATCTCAGATCACTGACAGAAACAAATATGGACCGATTAAAAAAATATATTTATTTTTATAATTTGGTTTGGCTTCAACCTGTATAAAGTCTGTCCTAGAAATCATGTCCATATTTTTAATATTTTATACGTAATCAAATCACAAATACCGAACAAATATTTCTTTGTTTCAATTGCAGCTCTTTTTCCATCCAATATTCTTTCATTTCTTTTCCATGATTTCCGGATATTTTCAGAGCTAATAAAACCAGATTAGATATTATATTCTGTAAAGTACAGAATATGGATTCTTATATAATGTTTATTCTCAAAATATGATATCATGCACTATAAACAATTTATGCTTTGATTTAAAATATTTTTACACGTGAATAGTCGTAAATTATACGTTTTGTTGTCGGACGTCATGTTTTCTAAATTAAAAATTAAAAAACAATATTTCAAGGTATAGAAATATTTTCAAAAAAATAATAATAATAGCGGATTGATGGTTGACAGAAGTGAATGATTGACGAGAAGAATGGAAGAATGCTCAGTCAAAAAAAAAAAAAATAAAAATAAAAATGAATAATTATTTTTATTTTTGCCGATGTTTCGGTCCAAAGTTCAGGCCTTCATCAGAGATGAGATAAGAAAACTTTTTTTTTCCTTAGTCCTGATGAAGGCCTGAACTTCGGACCGAAATGACGGCAAAAATAGAAATAAATATGATTATTTATTTTTACTTTTTTTTTTAAATCATCACCCCAACCATTCTTCTCTTCAATAATAATAATAAACTTGAAAAAAATATACCTATATAAGTACAATAAGTAAGTACAATAAGTAACAAATATATAAATATAAGTATATAATAGAACATACGTAACAGAATTTCGTTATTTGCATAATAACGAAAATTCTTCGAAAAGTCGCTCACCTTGATTTAGTTTCAATCACACAATGCACAGCAACATAAACATTCCAACAGTAAAATCCTAAATATACACGATAAATATATATATAAATGGTTTCTCTTCAACACCATATATATCTCTTCAACACTTAATCAACCGCTTGTTTCTACCTCTCCTGTTAAGACAAGAGATCATCTGCTCATAGATAGCTCATTATAAAGAATAAAATCATACCTCCACAGCTAATTATTAAATTCTTTGAATCATGTATTTAGTTTATTATATAAAGTATTTGCACATTAAGATTTCTAAGTTATTTCTATATTATTTTTTATTAAACATAGAAATAAATTAAGTTTTTTAGTAAAAATTATTTTAATTCTGCCACTTATTTATATCATGATGATCACAGGTAAAGTTGGTAATTAGAAATCATCTTAAACACAAACAAGCCTTTGAGAAAAGAAATTCAATTAATTAATCCTGGACCAGATATATTATGGATCCAAATTTGTTTTACTAATTTTTTATTATTAATGTTTATCGAACGTTTCTGGGTAATTATCATCAATAATTATCCAGTGGTATCCCTAATAAATTTTAAGCCCCCAAAAAATAACATTTCAGTGTAGATATCGACATTGTGTAGACACCTTCACAAAAGCCAAAATATAAATTAACAAATGTCTTTTAAAAAATCCAAAATTAAAAGCAAAAAAAGACGATTAAAAGTAAATAATAATAAAACCTTGACAGGACTAATATCAAATAATTCTCGTTGCAGCCATAGTGATAAGTAAAATCGTTTGAGTAGGCACATCAGAGATCTTATTGGTTCAAATCGCAACGTTTCTGATTTCCAAGATTAAGGAAAAAATAAATATAATTTACACCTCATCAAATCAATCACCTTATCTCTGTGATAACAGGCTGATATATCAAGTATCTATGATATCTCGCACTCAACGTTCCGAAAACCAGCCGAATTCACCAACACCATGTTACTCTCTGCGTTCGTATTAGCTACGTGTTGTAGATTGGCTAGTGGATATTACACGTATGTTGAGCAAAGTAATAATATAAATTATTTTATTCTACAACTATTTATTTTGATTATTAATCATGTATCGAATAATAATTTCAGCTAATAAATAAGTGCATGTGATAGATATAATAAATAATATTATGCCACAATTGAAATTAAATAATTTATTAATATTAGCTTAAATACCATGCAAATATATATTAAGTCGCTTATATCTGCTTTGTCTTAATGGTAAAGTAACGGATTACAAAACTGAGTTGATGCGACTTATCAGAGCAGTTCTACTTCAAATATTTTCTCTTTAATATGAATACTTTAAATACTACGATCTTGATGTCGAATGTCATATTGCGAAATTATAAGCATTTACATCTGATTAACTGAATAATATCTAAAATTAATATGCGAAAACAAAAACAAATCGACAAATCACTAACAAACTTTACTTGACAAAAAGCTCTTCAGTTGGTGTATATATACATTTTTTTTTCTTTATATCATAATTTATATTTTTCAAACAGGTTACATTCGAAACATTTAAAGAAAACTTACAGAATTGGCCTTTTTTTTTTGGTTTTTCACCATATCAACTATTTTTGCGATTTTCAAAATTATCCTATTTAGTGCTTTTCGCCGTTTTAACAGTTTCAGTGTTTTTACCATTTTAGAAAGTTTTGTCCTTTTTGCGGTTTTGGACATAATTGCGGTTTTTGTAATTTGGAGTATTCGAAGTTTTCACTATTTTCGTATTGCTCGTTTTTCTAAGTTATAAACGGTTTTGCCATTCTCAAACTTTTCCGCCGTTTTCGCATTTTTTAATTTTGCGCTTTTCACCGTTGTCGTTCTTGTTTTTGTTTTGTTTCCAATTTTAGCTATTGCCGTCCCAGTTTTGGCGATTTCAAAGTTTTCATGGTTTTAGGTTGTTTTTTTTTTTGCAATTTTCTCGTTTTTTCAATTTTCGCCAATTTCACGCTTTCACTATTTACTGTAATTTGGGCGCTTTTTACTGCCTTACTGTTTTATTACTACCACATATTCTAACTATATCTTTATATTATTTTTATATATTATTTATTTTTTTTTTTTACAGAATACTGCTGAAAAAACATTTCAGTCTAGAATGGACTACTTTTTCAATGTTCCAAAGTAACGTAGATTATTATAAGGACAGTTTGGAGTCCTATCTACGAGGGCTTGGTGAAGCTAAATTCGACAAAAATGTGAGTATGTAATTATGAATTATAATATTTTATACAGTGGAAAAATGCATTTAATGTAATGTTTCTCCTTAATTTTTTGGTGTTAAACCAAGAAAAAGTATACATATTTTTTTCCTTTTAAGTTAACTTCGATTTGATACACATAGATATCAAATCGAATACACATAGATATCAAATATATATATATATATATATATATATATATATATATATATATATATATATATATATATATAATGGGGTTGGGGTAGCTGTGCGGGCTAACCCCATCTGGTTTGTGAGGCCCGTCAGTCTACTGGAGGCAACTCACACCGACCGGGTCTAGAAGACCACACATAGCGGTCAGTGGGCGGGGTGGCCGAATAGGCTAAAGCACCGCCGTTGCCCGACAACCTGACATATAAATCAAAGATAAAAATAGTCACGAGTTCGCATCCCGGTGCCGGGGGAGTCTTTTAAAATCCCCGCTCACATCCCCTGGCCCGAGAAAATCCCGTATAGCCTTAACGGCGAGGAAGGGAAGGACACAAAAAAAAAAAAAACACATAGCGGCCAAAAAAGATCAACAAGGTATTTGGCGCCAACTGAAAAAAAATAATAATATATTTATATTATCCTTTATGTATATTTTATACATATTATCCTTATACTTCAAAAAACTTCCTTTTCAATTCATACAGGAAGTTATAAAATTATAAACCAAAGAAAAGCGTGAAGAAAATGAGAAGAATTAAAACAAAATTCGAGCAGATAACAATAAAACTTTTACTTCCGCCATATTTTGTTTATAGTGGCTTAAACTTTTCTTTTTTTATTTTTATTTAGTCCATAACTAACTTAATTTTAATTTTAAATGTTTTGTTTTGTTTTTGTTAAATATTTCTTTTGTACTCCTTACTTTGTTATTTTTTAATATATGTATATATATATATATATATATATATATATATATATATATATATATATATATATATATATATATATATATAATTTAGAAAATAATATTTCTACTAAAAGATAAAAAACGAATAATATACAAGCAATATACTTTGTATATTGAAATATGTCAAATTTTTAAATACTCATTTACTATAGAAGAAAAAATTCATCGAATCTTTTGTGCAGCTTTGGAATGTTGTGCGTATTGAATATGTCATTCATCCTTGTAATTTCATTAATATAATCTAAATTCACAAACTTAAGTCTTGGATACCCGAATTACCTAATTGCAGAAAACTTTCTTTTCCACCTATTTGGACGTATTAAAAATTCATGTCAAGATGAAGAAAGAAAGAAAAAAATCAGAGAACCGAAAAATATCAGATTATTCCAATGGTCTCAGCGACTTTGATTAAACGATGTTAAAAATTTATCCACTAAAAGGGTTAGCATTTAATTGAAGATTTTTTTTATTTTGAATTCATATTAAACAAAGTTTAATATTTTCAAGAAAGAAGATTTATCATAAATAATTGGGTCTCAGAAAGAGGTTGGCCTGATTCTCGTTCATGGAGAAAATTCTTATTGGATAAAACGTGGGTGGATTTAAATGAAAACTGTTTTGAAAATACAAACAGTTTTTAAAAGTCATACTCCAGTCACACATCAAAAAAACATTTTTTTAAATTATTCGATGCATTTTTAAAAATTTTCATCATATATTTTACTATTAATTCCATTTTTCCTTTAATTTAAATAAAATATACATTTAAATGTTTTAATCAAAATTAAAACTGGGACGATTAAAATGTAACTTGAGAAAGTGTTTTATATATTTTTATAGGTGATAAATAGTCGGGACTGGGTCATTTTTAAAGTTTTTATTTTTGCCGACGTTTCAACCTTAGCATGTGGGTCATCATTTGGGCGTGCTTCGAGTACTGAAGATGTAAGATCAAGTACGGTTGTTCAGAGTACACCTTCAGTGCTCGAAACACGCCCTGATGATGACCCACATGGTTGGGTTGAAACGTCGGCACCAATAAAAATCTTAAAAATGACTGGGTCTTGACTATTTATCACCTATGATATTTAGAAAAGTCGACTAACTTATTTCTATATATATATATATATATATATATATATATATATATATATATATATATAAGTTTCAAACTTGACCTTTGCTTCAGGTAGAATATAGTGGTTTTATCGGCTTGGGTGAGCCTCAGCAAGTCTTCATAATGTATTTCGACACGAGTTTTTCTGGACTCTGGGTGGTATCAAATGATTGCAACTGGAGCTACTACGTTTGTTGTACGTAAAATACTCTTAAATATTTTTTTTATCCATTTTTTTATATTTATTTTTCATACAGAATAAACCTTATAGCTTTGATGAACTTAATAAGCCTTCTAGATCTCTGTCCATATTGGTGATATCATACTAGACTGAAACGACAAGGAACCGCTTGACGTTTCCGATTACTTCAACACTTACTAGACAAACGCTCTAAACTTCCAATTAATTACAAAAGACTCATATACATGAATATAATAAGGTCTATTTTGACTTACGGAGTTGAGCTATGGGGCTCCACTAAATCATCGAATTCCTTTCTTATCCAATCTTTACTATCCAAAATCCTTCGTAAAATCCTTAATACTTCTTATTTTATAATGAATGTTCCATATGTTTGCGATTTGGCCCAATCCAGATATCTATCTTTCTATAATAAACTTCAGAACCATCCTAATCCTCTCGTTTCTAACCTTGCTTCCTCCTCGTTCCCTGATAACTCTCCTAGACGTCTGAAAAGAAAATGGCCTCGTGAACGCCTAATTTAGATACTTTATTAGAGTGCTACAAATGGGTAGATTCTCTACAAGCCTTGTCATGTATTTCTTTGTATCACATTTGCTGAATGTATATTAATTTGTGCAGTTGTAAATTTCATAAATAATAATAAATAAAAAAATTCGCCTCTGACTTATCCCCAACTATACCCATCATAGTATGTATCTTAATTTTTTTCTTATTTATTTATGATATTTGCAACTATATTAGAATTTAAATACATCAAGTAAATGTGTACACAGGAATATGATCACATAAAGCGCTTGTTAAGAAACTATCCACTGATCGCATTCTAATAAAAAATAAAGAATAAATTACTAAGTAAAGGTATTTATTTCACCATATTTATTTTCCTTTTTCTACATCGGCCAACTTTTGGCTTTGACGCCATTTTCAAGCCATGTATATGACTCAATTCACAATTAATTTCATGCAAAACTACATTTAACATGATATAATAGTGATGTTCAATGAGGTACAGTCAATAAGTTAATTAACATAAAATAACGATATATATAACCTCCTAACTACGCACTATCATAGAGAATAATACAATTAAGGACTGTACATATGGAGTATTATTAAATTAAGCGAGAATATTAAAATTCTCTAAGAACTGTTATCTCATTGGCCTTCTCTATATATATGCAATTTTATTTAAAGAATATTCTTATTCTATCTTCTATTTTAATTAAATTTATTTGTAAATTAGCTTATTGGCTCAACCCAATTAAGGTTATAACCTATACAATGTTGTATTTTAAGAGATTACTTGGATCACTATTATATCACGTTAAATGTAGTTTTACATGAAAATAATTGTGAATTGCGTCTTACAGATGCCTTGAAAATGGCTTCATAGCCGACGAAGAAAAAGGGAAACAAACATGATGAAATAAATAAAGCCTTTTCTTTATAATTATTACAAACAATTTTAACTAAAACAAGAAACATACATGAGAATAATATATATTTTTTTTAATTTTTAGATATGAAGAAACACAAATATGAAAAAGAAAGATCCTCTTCATACAAACCAGATAGTTTTAGAAATGGTTCTGGACGCATTACAGGAAACAACTTAAATATTGAAGGAAAATACGTTTTGGACACTCTGTGGGTGGTAATTCAAATTTTATTATTTATTAAGGCATCGCATGCGAACCTTTGGGTTTCCTAAGCCGTTATTATCATTTATAACAAATATTTATAGATAGTGTTTAATTTAATTATTAATATTAATTTTTTTTAATTAATCATTAATCTAGTTAAGAATAATTTTTAAAATTATGTAGAGATGGTTGACCGTGATATTATATGAGAAGGAGTTAGTCAGAGGATGAGGTCAAATAAATACTTAACTTTTAAAAAATAGTATTTTTAATTGTAACGCCGACGTTTCGACCCAACTTGCAGATCTTCATCTGATGAACACCTGTAAGGTGGATCGAAACGTCGGTGAAACAATTAAAAATACTATTTTTTTTTTTTTAATTTACTATTTATTTGACAGCACACCCCGACCAACTCCTTCTCATAAATTTCAAAAGCTCAGGATTTCAAATCTTTCGCCGTATTTACCTTCTAATCTGAATCGAAATACAATACAAAACGTCAAAGTGATTGTGTGTTGAAATGACGACAATATATATAAAAGAGACCTTGTTTTTTGCAATAAAATATAAAGATCAGTTGGTAGAATAAACCCTTTTATTCAATCAAGGAAGAAAACAGAGATAATACAAGCACTTATAATGATTAGAACGAATTTCCTTGGAAGAAAAAATATATCTGAGACAAATATTTCCTGAAGAACGGAAGAATATACAGTATATTTGTAAGGTACACTCAGAGCAGAAGAGAGTGTATATATAAAATTGTATATATTGATTATCTATTTTTTTTATTTTTTATTTTAAATACATAAAGTAATACCTAAATAAAGAAAACGCTATTGAACCATTATATTTACACATTATTGCTTTGTGAAAAACTATAAGTTCATAAAAAAAAATTAAATAAAATAAAAAACTAATGAATAATAAAAAAATTAAAATATTCTTCATATTTAAAAAAAATTATATTGTCTATGTTTAACTGTTGATATAACTGCCCATGGATTAGATGAAAGAAGTGATGATTGGATATCAGAAATAAAATATACTATTATTTTTTTTTTACTTTCACTTATCTATAGTTATACTACACACTATACATGTATGAAATACCATAAGCGGCACTCTTGTCGAACTAAAGATATTTCGACGCACATAATTATTAATTATAATAAAATAAATTATTAAACTATACAGTCGTAAAAGGATATGTTAGTAACAAAAACTAAGATGTGTTCTTTAGGCCACACGATAGAAGTACAAATATCTATTGATAATAACATGAAATTTAAATTATAAATAATAACTGATTATAAAGAGGATGAAATGATGAACATTTCTCTCGCTTACATTATGCAGGTTCGATTTTAACTTTCTGAGATATTTTAATCCAAATCTTCCATAAAACTCGTTATCATTTGGATTTAAACACTTTTTCCCCCTTTTCGCCTCTCCAACACGGCGTCACGTTAAGATACAATTTTGAATAATAGCTCATTACAAAGAGAATGAAATGATGAACATTGCCCTCGCTAATAATATGCAAGTCCGATGTTTAGTTTTTGAGATATTTTAATCCATGTGCAAAAACACTTCAATTAGTCGACTCCAGCTAACTTTACCAGAGCGTTACACATAGGAGATCTGACGGCTCAGTCTAATTCACTCTCTACAAAAAAAAGTGCAAAAAACTCCTAAAGTTGATTTTTTCACTTAAAAAAAAATATAAATTTAATACGTTAGACGGCTATGAAAAACATATAGCAATTTGTTGTTTTAATTAATATTTCGTACCGTCTATAATTTTTACTTGCAGTTCTCTTTGTCTGAAACTTCTTATTTCTGGAAAAAAAAGTGGTAAATAGAAGTTGTGTGATGCACGCACCGCATCAGATTTTTTATTTCATTAATGTAACCTATTTTGAGAATTTATTTTTGTATTAATTTTTTTTTTTTTTTTTTTAATGAAATTTACAACTGTATTACATCAAAAATACAACAAGTAAAAGTGACATTGACAACATGGCATGTACATCATGAAGAGAAACTACCCATTAGTAGAACTCAAATTAAAGTTCTATCTTAGAAGATCCAGAGGCCATCTTCTTTTCAGACTCCTCGGAGGGTTATCAGGGATCGAGGAGGAAGCAAGGTTTGAAACGAGAGGATTCGGATGGTTCTGCAGTTTGTTATGAAAGGATAGGTATCTGGATTGGGCCAAATCGGAAACATATGGAACATTAAGGTCTTTATAGATGATTTTATTTGTGACAAAGTAAGGAGCGTTGAGGATTTTACGAAGGATTTTGGATTGTAAGGATTGGATACGAGAGGAATTCGATGGTTTAGTGGAGCCCCAAAGCTCAATTCCGTAAGTCCAAATAGGTCTTATTATTGTCATATATATGAGTCGTTTGTAATTGATTGAAAGCTTAGAGCTTTTGTCTAGTAAGTGCTGCAGTAGTCGAAAACGTCGGGCAGTTTCTAGTCGTTTCAGTCTGGTATGGGGATTCTAAGAAAAAAAAATTAATAAAAAAAGTTCACTGTTCAATATATATCTCCAACCATTTTCAAGTTGTTACATAATTTATATTGATACCATTTTTTTTATTTTCTTTCAGGACAATTCTAACGATGCTACTGATCAACAGTTTTTGGCGGTCACGACGTTTTGTACAAATTCCTTACTTTGCATGCTGGACGCAAGTTTGGTCCCAGACGGGTCTTTTGGGCTAGGATTCCCTTCAAGTGACCTGATGATGGGCCCTCCTTTTCTTACAATGTTAGACAGAGGGCTTATAGCGAATCCTGTATTTTCGCTCTACATTAACAGGTACTATTATAATGTTTCGGATATATATTGTAGTTAATTATTATAGATTAAAGTTGATGCAATATTGGTTTCTTCAAGTTCAATGTTCTTAAGTAAAAAGAAAAAGAATAGCCAGTCTTATCCCATTTCTATTCCATTTGATCTATCTATATGATAAAAAGTTATATATACACTTTATATAATAATTGAGGAGTAATCGTGTTTAATAAAAGATTTAATTTATTATAGAATTTCATTATCATTATATAAATAGGCAAACACAAATCGGTTCAGCACCTTTTACTCCTCTATTATTCAACCGATTTTCATCCTTCTTTTTTTTTTTTTTTTTTTTGATAGATATTGACGAGCTTTAATGTTATCAATAAATAAAAATATGAAATAGTATGTAAATAAAATATAAATGGCAGTTTGTTCAAACTGGCTTATCTCCGAAAGTTCTTCACCGATTCATTTTACATTTTGATACAACGTTGCAATAATATTTAGAAGTTTTTTTGTATACGTTTCCTTGGGCCTTTCCTTTCGAAATGGCGGCCGAAAAACGTGATCCGCTTTAGACTGTAGAGCCAGTACGGCTTCAATGAAACTTGGCTAAAGTCTTCCCCTTGAAACCTTTATAATTTATGTATTTAATTTGTATTTTCCCGAAAACAAGTATACAACTTACATTTTTATGATGAATTCAGTATTTCATTTGCAAATAACTCAAAAAGTACACATTTGTTATTGATAATACCATATTTGTTTGAAAGCTTCCAGAATTCCCTACAAAATAAAAAAAAATCATCGAAATCGGACTTTTTGTTGCTGAGATATATTTTTAAACATTTAGTACTTTTTCTTTTACAAAAAAAGTGAATTGAAATTGCTAATTTAAATTCATTTTTTACTTGCTTAATCATAACATTAATTTATTGTGATAATAATACACATAAATTAAAATGAAAATTAAATATTTTTGAATGAGTCTATTTTGTATTACTTATAAATAATTTTAAATGACTTAAGCTCGATTTTTAATTTAAATTGAAATTTTGTGTGATTAATAAATGAGAATTTTTGAATCTTGATTCATTCTTAATTTATTTTTTATTTAATTATATTTTTTTCTCAAAATTTTAATGGTCGAAAAGACCACTGGAAAACACTAGTATCACTAAATGTTTCAATACCTACGAAATAAAAACAGTTTAAATACACCTCCTCTATTTCATAGTATAGATATGTACACTAGAGATGGGAAATTAGATTATTTTAACTGAATCTATTCTCAATGATTCAATCACTGTGATGAATCGACTCTTATGAACGATTCTCCAATTGATTCTTTTCATCTTCTCTTTTCCTTTTTAAAAAAAAAAAAATTATGATAAAAAAAAAATTAAAAAAGTTGTATACTATGCTCATTGTTAATACTATATAATTGTATATTACTTTTGGAAAATTGTCTGTAGCGCTTAATAAGTATGCAGTGTTTAAAGCGACCCAATGTAATTGGGCAGCACCCTTATATGATAATAAAGTGATTCTCTCTCTAAAAAACTTTTTATTGAAAAAAAAAAAAAAAAAACAGTAAGTAACATTCTCAAACCTTGTGGTTATTCAAACAAAAACATTTTTATTTTTAACTGATTGAAATTAAATGTCCTGTTTCAAATATATACAAATAAAAAGTCAAGAATCTTATAAATAGGAAGGAAATTTAAATTGGACAGAAATTTTTTTTTTAATTTTGCATATTACATATTATTTTGGTAAATGTAAATTGTAAATGATATGAAATAAAATGAAATATAATTTTATTATCCTGGGACTGATGGCCCTGTAGAACAAATTGTAAATACTTAATACATAAAACATGACGGTATGGCCATACATTAAATTAAATATTTACATAATAATAGGTAATTAAAAATAAAGTACAAGAGAGAGAAAACTGTAAATATATAGAAATAAAACAAACAGAAAAAAATATAAACAAAACAGTAATGTAAATAACCGTAGGTTATAAATTAGGAAGTGCGAAATGCTAGCGGAAGAATAGATTCGGAAAGTAAACAGAACAACCTAACAAACAATGGAATACGACTAAGAGATTTCCTAGAACAAAACTGGTGAATCGACCGATTCCTTGTGAATTGGGGAGTTGACTGACTCAACTGAATCGGTAAATCGGTCGATTTCGGCTGAATGTGTCAATTCACCGGGTTAGTTCTTGGAAATTTTCCAGCCGTATTGCATTGTTTTGTTGCATTTTGTCCCTGGGTTGTTTTGTTGGCTCCAACATTCATGCTCAAAGATTTATAAAAAAATATTTCACAATTAATTAGTTTATAATTTATAAGTGTATATATATATTGCTTTAATTATTTATTTGTTCAGGACAAATGGTTTCGGAGAGCTTATAATTGGAGGGATAAAGAAGAGTTATTACAACAGTGACTCTCTCAATTTCGTAGACGTTCATAACAAAACAAAAACTTGGACAATCGATTTTAAATCGTGAGTATGAGATCTAAAATACTTTTTTTTATAAAATAAATTTCATTGTAAAATTCAGTGTACTTCTTTAGAGATTTCTTACTTTCTATCTGGTCGCGCATACCCGGTTTTAAAATATGGAATTGATATTAATTTCTTATCAATCTTCCCAGACTGGACGGACCATATGACTTGCTTGTTCTCAATTTTCTTTCTTTATCTTATTGAAGTTAGGTTGTTTGTTTTTTGTTTTGTTTTTTTCAAAACAAATTCAGACTAATATTTAATACAATTAGTCTTCCAAGTTTGAGACGGGAAATTTAAAGAAAATAATGGGTGGAGTCAAGTCACCGATGGTCATGGATTTAGAACACAGTGCTGCAGGTCTAGACCACGACCGATTCCGAGAAGTTCCTTCTTGTGGGACGATTTGGTGAGCTAGACTTTTCTTATAATTTCCTTTATTTGAACTGAGGAGGAATTCATCATAGTTGAGTTTTTGTTGTATATTTCTTTTAATCGTTGCTCACTGCCCAATTATTGGTACTATCAGGGGTGCCCAACCCCCCCTAAGATCGATGGCGCATGAACCTTCCCTCACCCCTCCCAATATATTTTATTGCTATCCTCTTCTTAAAAACAACGCAAACAAAAGTATAATTTAAAAAATCATAGGTTATATACCATTACACATCCTACAGTTAATTTCATGCTTTCATTTGTTTTGTTTTTTATTTCAAATATTCACAACAGAGTTGAAATGGGCCCCTCTCAAAAATTCAAAAGCCCCTCAAAAATTTAGATAGCGCAATTAGCGTCATGAAACCTCCTTCTGGGCACCCCTGGATATTATCAATATCTTCTTGAAGCCTTCGGATCGCCTAAAGCATCTAGGCAGGATGGAATGAAAGGTAGATTTGGAGGTCGTCAGCTTGTAACTGATATTGTGAATGATGGATTGAATCAGGAAAATCGTTGATGTAGATGGAGAAAAGATCCCTGAGGAACACCGCGAGTTAGTAAGATGGAGCAGGAAGGAGTTTTATTAGGTATGATGACTGTTTGGGATCTTTGATACAAGAAGGAATGGAACCACATTAGAGCACTATTTGATAATGAAAAGTTTTGGATTTTGGAAAGGAGAATTGATTAACTGAATCAAATGCTTTTGAGAAATCAAAGAGCACCAGGATAGAAATTGTATTAGAAGAATTTGATACCTTTGCTAGTAAATGTCTGGTTTTTGGATGAATTATTTTTCTTTATAATTTATTCGGTATTTCTCGAATATCTGGGGGGATGGTCTGCTATCTGCCAATGTTTCTAATTCGATAATTCCTATCTTCATATTCATATCTATTGTATTATCTTCATATTATTGAAAGTGCAAATAAAAACAAACAAAAAATTATTGATAAAAAATACCTTTATTTTACAACATATATATTAAATAGTAACAAAAAATAAACAATAAATAAAAAATAAATAATGGAATAACTCACAGCTTACAAGAGATAAGAAGGGAGGTTATGTGATGTAACATTAGATAACAAGGAAGGTTTTTTCCTGTCCAGCTATTTAAGAAGTACCATTTATTTAATTTAATTGTGATTTTTAATTGAAAAAATATACAAGGTCAATGGGTAAAAGATCTGTTTGCATCCGTTCATACAATATTAAATGCTGGAAAAAATAAATATAATCATAAAAAAAAATCATACTATTGATAAATAACAAAAAAAAGAATAATGACTAAAATAAGTGAAATGATATTTACATCACTAACAAAAGTATATAGAGAAATAAGTTAATACAAGAAAAATAAATAAACAACAAATAAAGAAAGTTAAAAGTAAAATAAAATAAATCATCTTGAACACATAACTATATGCAATATTTATATTCTACTATGGAACTGAGCTCTTTCTCTCGCTTGTACAAGACAACATAAAACTCAGAGAGATCTCTATACTTCTTCCCCAGCTGCATCACTGGTATCAGAAGCCAACAGTGACTAAATAATGACATTAAAACCAGATATGATCAGGACTTAAGACAAAAATCTTGAGGTTACTCTTTTTTCAACATTCAGAATGGTTACAGGGTTATAGAATGGTTGTATGGGGTATAGGATTCATGGTAAAGAAAAGATTCTGGCATAAGTTTGAGAATTAGGATGTAATCTTATGGGATGTTGAAATAATGATGTAAGATCTTGTTTGTACAATAATATAAATTGAATATTATTTGAATGGCTTTAGACTAAAATTATTGGATACAATAAAAAAAGTCAGCTTTCCATTTAGTTTAAGAGCGTTTGTCCGAATAGGTTTTCATTTTTTAGGTTAAAAGTGAAGTGTTCTGTTGAGTGGACTGTATACCTAACTGAATCCTCAGTCAACCTCCTGTCTTTTAACTCTATTAAATGCATTAAATGTTTTTCTTTTGTGCAGAAGGAAGCAAATATACCGAATTGTTTCTTTTTCAACTGTGATACAGAATTAAAATAATGGTGGACCGGATCTGGTTCAGAGGGTGAAAGTTATATATTTAAATTTAATTTGAATAATTAACCAATTAATTGTGATTTGTTTAAAATTCATATTTAATATTTTTGTGCAGAGTAACACTGGATGAACAAGAACTATGCCATCATAAATGCACAGTTGTTATAGATACCGGCACTTCCTTAATAGCAGCTCCTCTGGATGTGTTAAAGAGAATCTATGAAATCCTTAAAATAAAAGTATCAAATCCTGAACGTGTTGTTGCAGTAAGTAATTATTATAAAGTAAAACAGTTATTAATAAAAATAAGTAAAGGTAGGTAAAAGTTCAGAAATACTGAATAATTATACAAACATATAGCATTGAGCAGGGCACTAAAATTTGACTTCCCTAACAATTGAAGTTTCAACTTATTCATTATTAATATTAATTGATTTTAATAAATATTCCATTTATATTTTCTCTAGATCCCCTGTGAAAATATTGTATCTTTGCCATCTTTAAGTTTTCATATAAATGAGAACGTCTACACTATATCAGGAAAAGATTATACGATCAAGGTAATTTTATTACAGTTTTGATTAACTAGTTCTAATTAATGTTTTATTTTTAAAATTTGTTACCCTATCAGAGAGTAGTATTAATAGTATGTTCTCCTGAATTAATCAATCATCATTAATTTTTATTTATTACATGGAAAAACATTAATTATTTTTTTTAGTTAATATCATTGTTCTCCAAATACTAAGAAATTCATATTTATGAATAAAAAGAGAAACAACAGGTTATTATTTCTTATTTTCTATGCAGGTTAGTGTCAACATGATACTTCCATATTTTTATATTAAAATTTAAATTTATTTCTAGCTAACAGATAGATGTGTGCTCGGTTTTATGGAAAATAGAAATTCTCATAGTTGGGTACTTGGTTATCTATTCTTGAAAAACTTCTATACAATTTTCAACTATGGAACAAGACAAATAGGACTTGCCAACATGAAATAAAACAGGTAATTATAAAACCTCTAATAATATATTTCCTTAGGTTATTTTATTTTTGTATTAGGTTATTTTATTTTTTTATTGTATATAGTTTTTATTTTGTTATTATTTTACTTTTGTTAATTTTATTTCTTTTTTGTATATACGGTGTGAATGTGTTCATTTATCAATATAATTATTTTCCCTGTGACAGAATATTATATGTCTAAATAAATAAATAAAATAAATAATATATTTAAACCAGGGGTGCCAATCTTCTCAATGAGTGCCACAACCAAGAGTTCTTCAAAGTGAGCTATACCAAACTGAATCGTCCTCCTTCCTAAATTCTGCCACCTTCATAATTATTAAATCTAAATAGTATAGGCGCTTGTTATCAAACTATTTTTTTTTTCCCTTCTTTGTAAATATGACCACATAATAAAAACAGTGAAGAATTAATATCTAAACAATAAAATAATGACAAGATACTATATATTATACAATGTACTAGGATAGTAATTATGTTGTCTATATTAAATATACCATTTATTTCATCCCACAAAAAACTATGATTTAAAAAAAATAAAGTGAAGAACAAAAACTTAAAACCTACAGGCTGGTCACTGCCAATTCCAAACCCACATTAAGCCACATTTTTGAATGGATCATTTTGGTTGGGTATCACTGATGTGTATAATAATTGTTGTACAATCTCATCTTGTATGAGAATTTTTTTTTATACTTATTCTAAGATTAAAATAAAGGATTCATTTATCTTCTGTTGACTAATTTTTTTTTTTTTTTTTTTTGTAATTTGAATTCATTTCCAATGTCAGCCTGGTCAAACCATCTCATTGAATAATCATATCAAAGAAACGGTACTTTTCCCAATTACTGAATACTGAATTCTTCTGAGTGTGTTGTGGTATACAAATTTTTTACTACTAAGTAAAGCTAAAATTTGAAGTTTTTTGTAATTATTTTCCCATGGTAGTTTTAAGATAGAAAAAGCTGTGCACTACAGTGAGTTTTCAAAGTATTTTTTTCGTTATCATCACTCCCAAAATTCAACCTATGCATCCATTAAAATCTTTATTTAAAAAAAAAGTAGTTAGGGAAATTAATGTCACAATATATATTTTAATTTAATATGCAACAGCCATGCTACAAACACATGTTAAATTAATGTGTATTTCTTCATTGTGCACTGTTTTTTTTATTTTTATGGTTCTGAAAATTTGGTTATATTTGCAAATAGTTGTCAATCTGTAACAAGATATGATGAAACAAAAAAAGACCTGTGGGATGTCATACAAATCCAAAAAGGTTTGTCATTATCCTGTTTTTTTTTTCACAAAATATAAGAAATTGAAATATAATAAGGACATGTATACAAGATTTTCTATATTTGTTTATATTTAAAACTGACTTAAATATATCAGATAACAGACTTCAATCATTAACTACATAATTTTATTCAAATCTACCAATTTTAAAATATTCAATCTAAATTTAAAATATTAATGATAATAATTTAAGTAAGATTATTAAGTGATTTATTTAAGTTTAATTTATTTTTTAAGATTGCTGAAGCAGAGGAGCAGTTGTTTGAAATTGCGCGATTGGTTGGAGTGGATATCGAAGAAAGCACATTGAGGTTGCTCATTCTCCTTTTAGAAGAAGGGTTTACACCCGAATCTGTTTTTACAATGTATCATGACTCTATCAAATAAACATCAACATGTAGCAATAATAAAAATGTATACGAAATCCATCAATGTATTGGACAAAGTGACTATAGAGTACATTAAGTATTGCGTTATAGAATAACATACTAAATATAATTGTAACACAAAAACATGTTATATCTAAAGCTTGCCCAAACAATTGATATGACCACAATGTATAAAACATATATACATATTTTGTTTTCATTTTTCTAATAAATGTTTTGCAGCCTCCCTTAATTCTGTGAATCAAAGGCAATTGCTTTCCAGTTTAAGCAGCTCTGCCGTATATTTGTTGATTTAATCATATAACACATGCGAATCTACTTTCTGGATGAAACCCCTCTCCAAAATGTTAAAATATAATCAAAAAATGATTTCCAAAAGTATTAGATTGACATATAAGTACTTTCGGTTTTTCTGTTTATTTTTATGTCACTTCTTATCTAATGAATTATCCGATATACACTCTATCAATCATCTGATATTCTTATCTGATGAATCCATCCTAAGTTGGATTGTTTATTCTGTTTTTAATACATCAGCAACTATATCTGTTAACTCTTGTTGAAAATAAATTAGTATTATGTTTGCTATTGCACTGTGAATATGGAAGAAAATACCATTCATTATCGGTATATTTTGTTATATTATTTTAAAAAAGATAACCGTGCTGCAGAAATTCATAGAAAAATTTGCATTGTTCATGGGGATGAAAATTGGTTTGCCAAATTTCATTCAGGAAATTTTTACAACAATGATGCCCAACGGTCTGGTCGCCCATGTGAAATTGAAACGAGCAATGTTAAGGCTATTATTGATCAAAATCCCACACAATCAGTGCGAGAGATTGCTATGGCCCTAAATGTGTCGAACACAAGTGTAGAAAACCATTTGCACAACCTTGGCTATGTTTCCAGGGTTAATGTCTGGATCCCTCACTCTCTAATCGAAGTCAACTTGGCAACAAACATTTCTGTTTGTGAATCACTACGGAAATGGCAACAAAACGACCCATTTTCGAAGAGCCTGGTAACAGGAGATGAAAAATGGATATTTTATGATTATATTGTCCTTAGAAAATCTTGGGGATCTAGTAGTGAGGCTCCTAGAAGAATGACAAAACACGGATTGCATCCAAAGAAGATAATGTTTTCCACATGGTGAAATTTCAAGGGTGTTATCTTCTAGAGTTATTGCCATCAGGCCAAACAATTGATTTAACTCTATACTGTTCACAATTAACAAAATTGGATGAATCAATTAAAAATAAATGCCCAGAACTGACAAATCGTAAGGGTGTTGTGTTCCACCAAGACAACGCTAGGCCCCACACCTCATTGGTCATATGCAATAAATTGTTGAGCCTTGGATGGGACCTCTTTCCCACATCCTTCCTTTTCACCAGAGCCAGCTCCAAGTGACTTTCATCTATTTTCGGGTCTCTGCAGAACTCTATGAATGGAAAGAAATTCCAAAAGGAAGAGGACATCAAAAACCACTTGGATCAGTTTTTTAACAATAAACTCCAGAAATTCTATGAACATGGCATTATAAATTAGTGGGAAGATGGGAAAAAGTCATTAAATAATGGCCAATATATTGTTGATTCAAATAAATTTTATGTCTATAGTACATTGAGTTTTATTTAAACCCGAAAAAAACCGAAAGGACTTGTTTTTCAACCCAATATTATTGTTCGTGTGATTAATTAAATAAATAGATAAAATAGGAATTTAAGAATCACTTAACCACCATTTCATATAAGTAGTTAGTTTCTTTCTTTGAAAGTAAGTTTTCGGACTGAAGCCCCTCAAAATTAAACCCTTGATCCGCTAGTTCCTCTAATTATTGTTTTCAGAATTATACATTCTTTATAGGTGAGTATAAAAAAGTTTTGTTTTAAGAAAAAGATTGTGAGCGACTAAATATGAATGATAGTGAGTCATTTATAATTTTTTATCTTCCTTTTCTTCGCCTTATAGGCTATACGGGTTTTCCCGTGTTGGGGAAGAGGGTGGGGGATTAACTTCACATTTAAGAAACCTTCGGCACTGGCACGCGAATTCGTAATTATTTTATTATCTTATAAAATATAGAACAGTTTATCCGATTGCCAGGCAATGCACGTATTACCCCTTACGCGTTACCCCTTTCGACAACCCTGCCCTTGAATCATTTATAGCTGAAGATATGATGCAAATGTTGAGTACCATTTAGAAGATAGAATTTTGAAACATAGTTCTGTTCGAAATGGATATATGGATCCGTCTCATGGACGATTGCCACAAAGGAAGAGGAAAAGAGGACTTTTGATAATACTGCCCGATTCCAGTCCTGTTGTTCTCAACAAAACAATTCGGCAGAATGCACAAAAAAAAAAAAATAACCCTGTACAACACAGAAACAAAAAGATTAAAATGGAATGGCTATTTACAAAGTATGTCAGAGGAGCAATTGCCAAAATCAATCTTTCAGTATCAACCGATAGCAAGGGGAAAAACATAGGCAAAGATGGTTGCAGGAAACAGTAAATTATTATGTGGAGAAAGGTGGCCACCAGAGGTCTTCTAGACAGACTTGCAAGATCGAATGAAGTGGCTGGAACTTTTAGCACGATAAACGACTAATTTTTTTTGTTATATTAAAAAATAAATAAATCATAGTTTTTTGTTACATAAATCATATAGGTTTAAATATATATATATATATATATATATATATATATATATATATATATATATATTGGGTGACCTTAGAGTCAAGCTATTACAAGTAATCCAGAAAAGATGGTAGGAGAAATCAACACAAGTCTTAAATTACGGATCAATGCTCAATCCAGAAGGCCTTCATGTATGAGCGTAGTAATAACAGAGTCATGTCTTTCATTCCTGTTTCTTACAAGATAATGGCAAACAACTCCAACTGTATCAAGAAAATATAACCATCAGACATGATTCAGAAGTGGTTACAAGAACAAATCTAATGTAAAAAAACAGAAAGTAGCTCAGATTTTACATCTTTTCTTTTTCTATTTCAAAACAGCCTATGACTCCGACGGTAGATACCGTCTTCGGAAGATGACATAGCTGAGAGTTACTGGGAAATTGGTGATTGAAGTACTCTTCTTCGTAAATAAACATTGAATCCTGATTAGAACTATCTGAAGCATTCAATGTTCGATCTGGTTTGCAAGAAGATAGATCTTGGTCAATGCTATTGAACTTAACGCTAGAGAATGTGATAACGACATCCCGTGAAAATTAGAGGGTTTACTTTTTACTGATTTTGGTATTATGTTTATTTATGTATTGCTGATTTATGAACTAATTTTAGTGAATTAATTTATGTACTGAGGGGTTCGCCGTTAAAAAGGAGGGTTATGAAGGAATCATTAAATCCTAGTATATACAGATGATATAGCTGTAATTGAAAGAAATGAAGAGAATATTGACAGACTAACTTAGAGTCTCGTAAGAGAAGCAAACCGTACAGGTAAATTAAGTAAAAAAAAAAAGTAGTACATGTTACTAAGGTATATGTAGGATGAGGACCAATAAATAACTTCTAACGGAGACCTGTCAATAAATATCTCATGATATAAAAGTAAAGAGAGGTTAAGTTGTGCGAGACATTTAGCTCTAAGCCAACTATCAGAAGCCACAAAACAACAATGAATGACTTATCAGTTGGGAATAAACCACGTGGAAGGCGAAAAAATTAAATGGATAAATAGAATCTACAAAGCTGCTGCAGATCTGCATGCAGCAAAGTGGATAGCAAAAGCCCTACATAGGCAGAGGTGAAGAAAGCCATTTCAAGCACCCAAAGTTATAAAAAGCAAGAGAAAAAGATAATGTCTATTTAAATAATTGTGACTACAAAAATTAATGAGCTTAATTTTCTACAAAATTTAATTATAAAGATATCAAATTTAAATGAACACTAAACAACTATCATATGTTATTATATTGTTTGATTAAGTTGTATTCAAACTTTTTTTTTTTATTTAAGCGGATTATTGTTCTATCAGTAACTGATATTTTTAAAATAATTTATTTTGTTCAACTTTATCCAGTAATATGCCGCGAACGGGTCCTAAGATTCTAGTGACCGAGCCCGAAGATGATACCGAAGAGCGAATGAGCATCATCAGAACTTCCAGGCAGCTGATGGTGCCAGAATTAAGGGCTTCCGTTCGAGAGCGCGTATCCAATCTCCGACCAGGTGGTCTTCCACTTCCTGGTAAGACAACTCAAGGTTTCAGAGGTAGCCGTAGCTCTTCTTCGAGGGAATCGGCCAGGCCGCAGTCATTCAGGACGGTTCGCAACTTCTGGAGGCGCCTCGAAGGAGCCGAAGACACTCCTCCTCCTCCTCCTCGCAGATTCGGACCTTTAAAGAAGCCAATGAGAGCTGAAGAGCCCGATAAACCAAAGACAGGTGGTTGGAAAATGCCAGTACTAAGAAAAGTTTCAAATGCAAGAGAAAGTGCAAGGAGAATATCAATAAAAAGACCATCGTTGAAATCCAACAATGAAAGTAGAAAATCTGTAAGCACAGAAGTAATAAAAAGACCTTCGATAAGCAGTCAATCTAAGAGAGCGTCATTATTTAATGAAGAAATTAAGAGACAATCAATAAAATCTACGAAAAGACCAAGTGTAAAGAGCTTAAGCAGTAGAAAGGGTTCAGGGGTAAGCCAATATATCGATAAACTCCCTAACATTCCGAAACGAGCCTCCAAAGCTGAATCTATGAACTCAAAACGACCGAGTCTTTTGCCAGTACCGATCGATTACGACCCCAGTAGACGAGCTTCCAGGCTCAGTAAGCAGGTTAGTAGGAACTATATAGTGTTAAATTAGTAGAAAATTATCTATAGCAAGTGAATTAAAAACTAAACTTTATTTTCTATTTTTTTTATTCCACTCACCCATGCCACTATCTCAATACGAGTAAAAACTGTGCCTGTGTTTGGTCAGAACTTTTTTTTTTTCGTCCTCCCCTTCCTCGACTTTAAGGCTATACGGGGTATTCCCCGGCCAGGGGATGTGGGCGAGGATTAAGATTAAGAGCCGTACCGAGACGCGAACTCGTGACTATTTTAAATCCATTGTATCATAGATCAGGTTGCCGGGCAACGTTGGTGCTGTGCACACACGTTAGCCCGTTCGGCCCACTGTTTGGTCAGAACTGTTTCAACTAAAGGATCCCATTGATTATTGAAGAAAAATTAACAAGATTGTGAAACTATTACTCCTCTTCTCCCCCTCTCCCTCCACCTCCAGCCCTGACTACATACATGTGGGTATTCACAATTTTTATTAAAATGATTTAGAGTTTATTAAAGAGATCTAGTAAGGAGTTAAGGTAAATAAAATCTCATTAAATACAAATTTTATTACTTTACTTCCAATGGCAATACAACTCGTTGAGAGCCTTAACCTCTTCAACTTTGATTACAGTTATTCGTTGTTTTTTTAAAACTAAATTGTGTAAATATTGAAATAAAATCTTTATTCCTAATTATATATTTACTACAATAAATACAATATGAAAAATAAATATCTCATTCCTCTATCTGTATAAATTGCAATTTCTTATAATCATAGAATAAAATATTGCAACCAAGAAGTAATATTCAAAATTATTGATATGCATTATATCAATGGTGGTCATTATATCTACTACACTTGCAGTTGGCTAAATATCCTACTATACAAAGGAACTTAGCTAACATGTACCATTAACCGCTGCCTATCCAAAAAATACAAATAAACGCCTCTCGAAAACTGATGTTGGGTTTGATTCCTGAATGAGTCCTGATTTTTGACTTTGCAAGCTCTGTGACTGCGTAACAAATTTGGCTGTCCGACAAGCTTCATAACATTTAGTCTTCTCTGAAAAATATACCTCCGTGTCCTTAACCTGTTAGTAGCTTTTACTCAGGAATGGCTAAGTCCATGAACTGCGTCACACACATCCTTTTGGCGCTGTTTGCGTAAATAGATCCTTGCTAGTGATGTAGTGAGAATAAAATTCGAAAGCTATAATAGCATCTATTAGCGACAACGAGTTTTTGCGTCACCTATCGGTTCATGTCATTATCCGCTGTTACTGCTGTTCCTAAATATTTGGAGCTTTGAAGTTTTTCAACCAACTTGGACGGTTGCACCAGTTTGACGGTTGTCAGTTGTCATATACTTGTTCTTTTCCTCGTTGATTTCAAGCAAGCTTCATTCTTATCGTTTTTCCAGACTACTCAAGTTCTTTCTATGTTATTTTCTTCAGCATGTACTAGTTTTTGCACGTGTCTATCAAGAGTGCGATTAAAAGCTTCTAAGCATGTTGGGTCTTGGCACTGTACCTGTTACTCTTTTAGTACTCACTTTTCTTTCTTGCAGTTGATATATGTTGAGATATGTTTTAATACTATTAATCAATAAACATTTGCCAAGTCCAGCAATCCAGCCTCTGCATGATGAAACCAATGATAACGGAACGGATTAAGATTGACCAACTTGTTTGCATCTCTAGGATTGATTGTTGTTATCACACTATCCAATTCAAAACAAATTATAAGAATGCATGGATCTCTCCCGATGGCAGTACTGCAGATCTGATTATCTCTAGGCATAAAAGTAATCTCCTTAACGTTAAAACTTGGCTAAAAAACGTTAAAAAGTTTAAACTATTGGCGCCTCTAAAAGTTTTAACGTTAAGGAGATTACTTTTATGCCTAGAGATAATCAGATCTGCAGTACTGCCATCGGGAGAGATCCATGCATCCTTATAATTTGTTTTGACTTGGATAGTGTGATAACCACAATCAATCCTAGAGATGCAACAAGTTGGTCAATCTTTAGTATTATTTTTCCAAAATAGCCTACTAAAGATATATATTATCTTTTTGGTGACTACAATCTATTTTAATAGTCAGTGAAGACGAAAGCATCGGGTAGCTTCACAGTACCGTCGCCCATGATCGACTTCGACAACAGACGAGGCTCCAATCTCAGTAAGCAGGTTAGTAAAAACAATATACATGTTTAGTAAATCAGTACAACTTTGTCTAGTAAGTAGAGAACTATACTTGTGTTTGGTCAGAAGGAACTATTTTAATTAAAGTAACTGCTCTAATTTGTAATATCAGTTGATCTGCAAGAATAATGTTACGTAATACAAAGGGAATGATAAATAGATAGTTTATTTTATTTGTCTAAGGAAATTCCTGTACAAATAAATATAATGGTAAAATTAACAATGTTAGATCTTGAGTGTAGTACTGCATTCAAACATAACATTAACAATGTCCACAGCATTAAATATGACTAATATAATAACAGATTAGTAAACGATAAATATATATATATATATATATATATAACAATTAGTAAAACATTTTTTTATTTTATTTTATTTTTTTTAATATTCGAGAGGTATAAGACAAATGACAATATAAATAAGAATTAATATATATTATATGATTAACTTTACCACTTAACAGTTCAATGAACAGCCCTGTATGAAATAATACAGTTGGTTTATTTTTTTTGTAGTGTCTATTTTCAGTATCTCCTCCACACTAGCATCTTTTCTGGATTCAGTGATAAATGCCTTCAAGTACTTATTTTTCGGCTCGTTGAACTTGATACATTGGATCAGAAAATGAGTTACCGGGTCAGTTACAAGGCAGTTGCATGCACCTCACACCTCATTGGATTTAATAGTCGAAGTAGCATCTTTTAAGTATATTTTCATAAAATCCTTATTTGCTACTCTGAGACGACTAACGGCTCTTAATTTTTTTAAATTCAGAGCCCTGAACTAAAGATAATAAGGTTTGGTAACATTAAAGGAGCAGATTTTTCTATATCTTGGGTTTGATTTAGAGTTTAACACTCTGTCGATGTCCTTGGATGCGTGATGGTTTCTTATTTTTTCCATGATTTCATCTTTGAACCTCATCAGACCTTGAGAGAAAACACAAGAAAACAGCCCCTGACATCCGAGTTCCGCCACAATCATCTTTACTTGGGTAACCCAGTTATAAGTTGGATCAGGTTTTCCAATGGATGAGTCTAGAGCTCTAAGCCTATTAAAGCATTGTCTAGGTAGTCTTTCATCACTCATTAAGCTTAGCTTTGTCCAATAGTTGATCACTTTTTTCAACACTTCAAAACTTAATGGAGATATCTCACTTTCAAGGCGAGCCACATAGTTCGGTGTATTTCTTGGCCAATGGAGCAATGATTTGATAAATCGAACTTGCGTCTTTTCCAAAACCTCCAGGTATCTCGTCCCCCAGATCTCTGCAGCATAGAGCATTCTTGACGAGACCATCAAGTCAAAGAGGCTGGTTTTTGTCTCCCAAGAGTCGCTTTTTCCATTTCTTAGGATTGCCATCACTTTGGTCGCTGCAACAGATGGTCTATGTAAGAAATGCTCCGCGGCTCTCTCAAATTTTCCAGAAGAAGAAAAGGGTACACCCAGATATGTGTAGCTTCTGGTATACTCCAAACTTGTGTCTCGCCAAGCCAAAGTCTTAAGTTTCCTCATCCTTGGAGATTTATGGAACACCAACACCTTAGACTTAGATGGATTTAGGGTCAAAGATTTGCTTTTACAGTATTCGCTCAGTATATTGATGTTTCTTTGTGCACCATGCCACGAATTACTGAGGAGCATAATATCATCCGCTAACAGAAGCATAACTACTTCATGGTTGTGGTCTATACTAATACCAACAACTCCTCGGTCACGGAAGTACTCAACTATATCCGACACAAACAGGATAAACAATGCAGGACTAAGGCTGTCCCCCTGAAGCAGGCCCAGACTGATACAAATCTCTTCTGACAGCTCGTGTTTCAACTTTATCCGCATCGATGAAGCATCATATAGTTTCTTGAGAAGCCTAATTAGTTTTCCTCCCATTCCAAGAGAAAAGAGCCTTTCCCACAACAAATGTTGGTTGATAGAGTCGAAGGCCTTCCTAAGGTCGACAAACACTGCGTAAACATAGCTGCCCTTTGACCTCAAATTAATGTTGACCACTGACATCAATGTGAATAGGTGATCAATGCATCCCCTGCCCGTTCTAAAATCAGCCTGTTCCTCGGGTATTAATTTTTCTAATTCAGCCCATTTCATGATTCTGTTCCTTAGAATGCTAGTGAATAACTTTGCTAGAGTATTAAGTAAGGATATGCCTCTGTAGTTGTTCGGATCCTTTTTATCACCTTTCTTATACAGAAGATGCAATTTAGATTCTGTCCACATTCCTGGAATTTATTCAGAATTCAATACGTTATTAAATAAATTTAATATGTAGTGCTCCCAAGAGGGGTTGAGACATTTAAGAACTTCATAAGTTATATTATCAGGTCCTGGAGATTTATGTTTTTTACAGGTACCTATGCTTTGTTGCAGTTCTTCCAATGATATATTGATATCCAGGAGTGGATGAGTTACGGAGAAAAAGTATGTTTCATGTATCGTTTTTTGGCCGTATAGATTCGTGTAATATTGAAACCAATCGTTCAGACTTATTTCGTTATTTTGATTGTGAAATGGTCTCAATATATTCACCGTCTTCCAAAACTCTCCACTGTTTTTTACAGTTCTCAAATTTGTAATTGCTGATGCTCTAAACTCCATTTTTTTCCTTTTTATTAGTTTTCTATATTCATCTCGGGCTTGAAGGTAGTCTCTGATAAATCCTGTCAATAAACTGTTCTTTTGCATTATTCTTTGCAACTTCTTGAGATTTCGTTTACCTCTCCTGCATTCCTGATCAAACCATCTGTGCTTAGGTTGCGAAGTGTTATTCGCGATCATCTTCCTCGTAAATATCAAAGCTGACTCCAACAAGTTCTCCTGCATTGCCTGTTTAAAGTTATCATACAGCTGGTTCACATCTTCAGAATAGAAATAAATTTTTTCAGAGTTGGAAATATTTTCACAAAATAAATTAATTTGTCTTCATCCCACGGTGAATAGTTGGTAACTAAGTATTCTATTGGCGAAGCTATTCTGTTCATAGGAGGATTTTGTGCTCTAATGGTCTTCAAGGAGGTAATACAAGCCATGTGATCCAAAAGCCCTGATATGCTAACGACTTCCATGTCTATAAATCTGTCCAGACAATTTTCATTTATACATACCAGATCGATCACCGATCTCCCCCTTGGTTGTAACGAAAGTATATTTTCCTGGTCTATCCGAAACACTACGACCATTGCATATTATCATCCCCAAATACTCCAGAGTTTCTACCAGAATTTTTCCTCGCCGGTTCACATGTTTGTGATATGACTTTTTTTGTAAAATCGTGAGCCCACCAAAAATTCTTTCTCTAAGTCATTTAAACTTCCCACGTGTCCATTAAAATCACCGGTTAAGATAATTCGGCTATGTGGATAGTTAGACATTATGCGAGTCATGACACTATGAAGCTCGTCCATGCTAGAAACAATATCATTATTTGGAGGGAGATAGATATTTTCCAATGTTAAAAACGTGTTATTTAATTTTAAATTCAAAAAAATCCAAAAGCGTTTGATTTCCAAGACGGTAACTCCGTGAGCTATGCTGTTATGAATCAGTATTGCCAACTCAAGTGTCTGCATAAAACGCACCCCTTGTTGGATTTCCGCTATGATCCTCCAAAGGGAAATAATGGCTACCCGGCTATGGTAGACTTTAGTATTATTTTTCCAAAATAGCCTACAAAGATATATATTACCTTTTTGGTGACTAGAACCTATTTTAATAGTCTGTGAAGACGAAAGCATCGGGTAGCTTCACAGTACCGTCGCCCATGATCGACTTCGACAACAGACGAGGCTCCAATCTCAGTAAGCAGGTTAGTAAAAACAATATACATGTTTGGTAAATCAGTACAACTTTGTCTAGTAAGTAGAGAACTATACCTGTGTTTGGTCAGAAGGAACTATTTTGATTAAAGTAACTACTCTTATTCGTAATACCAGATGATCTGCAAGAATAACTGTTACGTAATACAAAGGGAATGTTTTATCTGAAAAGATGGTTTTGATAAATAATTACAATAGAAATATGTGACTTAGTGGTTAGACTTGAGAGGGAATATTTCCCACAAGGTAGGGAATTTTATCAATACATCCACTCCCTATTTGGAAACCATACTACACTGTCCACAGCGATTTGACGATCAAGTGTTCATGGACTCATAGAATGCTATAATCCGCAGCGATACAGACAAAGGAATCGCAGAACGCCGAGATATATCACGTTCTGCGTGCGAAAGCCTTCACTGTTTGTATAATGTACAAAATAACAGAACTGAAATAGATAACATTTGAACAAACACAGAATTACAAGCAGTGCTGTATTGAATGTCACTCCCTCCACCAAACCGAGATTACTCGGTTGAATTGGACGTTATACTTCAATTAGTATTATTATGATTAGAGAGATCCCAAACCTGAGCCACGTTATTTTGAGTATTACTGTCATCTCGTATTATCCGGATAAATTATATGAGATTTAGTTATTATTTTCAAACGATTGGTAGGAGCATTTCGAATAAATATTACTGACTTGCCCAAATTTAAAATAAATGAACAAAGAGTGAGTTACTTGCACTAACGCATTCAGGATTTAATTTTTTTGGGGGGTCTTCACCCGAAATATATTTTTTCTATATATATTACGATAATTACTTCGGAAGAAAGAAAAAAAGTAACTACCTATACGAAATGGGGTTTAAGTGATTTTTTAAGTCCTATTAAATGTAATTAGACGAACAATAATACTTTGAGAGATAATTTTTTTCATAGAATATAGTTATATTTTACCATTTTGGGAGGGCTTCAGCCCGAAAGTCTTCCCCCCTGTAGATCTGCCTGTGGTTATGAGTGACTATTCGGTTGCAGTTTAATAAGCCATGTTGCAGAATTGACGCCTCCCAATAATTCCATTATTAAAGTAGGAATAGAAAGTGTTCTTTCATGCTTTGTTGTCTAAAATTAGCAACAGCACAGATATAGATTATATATTTTAATACACCTCAGTAATTTGCAATTACTAACATTAGATAATTAAAAAATAAACGAAAAGTTGAGACTGAAGATTGATTACCCGGTCAATACTCAATCTCGAAAATGACTGTCGATCATTCATCAGATTACAACTTAATTACTGATGGTATTGATTAGCGAGCGATGGCAATTAATTACCATAGCAAGTCTACCTCTCGTTGTCGTGATGGAAGGGATGGTCGAGCACGTTAGGGCGAGGTTTCTAAAGTGCCCGATTCGAAACGTCGTCCGTTGATTTTCATCTGAGCGCTAGTGGATCCAGGATTTAATTTTTGGGGAGGGGGGCTTCAGCCCGAAAACTTTTTTAATATATATATAACAATAATTAATTTGAAAAAAAATGTAAAGAAATTAACTACCTATATGAAGTGGTTCTTGAAGTCCTATTAAATGTAATTACATGATCAAAAATACTTTAATAGATAGTTTTTAATATTTTTTTTCTTTAAAATATGGTTATGATTTACCATTTTGGAAAGGGGGGCTTCAGCCCGAAAGCTTTTTTAATATATATATATATATATATATATATATATATATATATATATATATATATATATATATATATATATATATATATGAACAGCCTTATGTATTCCTTATTATTCATATAACACCAGCCAAGGTTATTTACAAAATCTCTCCCATTGGGATTCCCCAATCGTCTGAATATGCTTCCCTGAAATTACAAAAAAATTACTTTCACATACTTATTTTTTCCTTTTTATAAATATTTGTTTATTTTTTATTCTAGTAAATTATGTATTTTTTTGCATTGAAAACCAAAACTACATCATATTTTTTACTATTATAATTATTTTCAGAGAACAAGTTTTTCACCAAGCGAGAGAAGAAGTGTAAATCTATCACCCAGAGGATCTTATCTCGAGCAAATAGAAGAAGAAGGAAATAGAATAGCTAAAGGAGAGGTTCTTGATGAAGCAATGGAAGAAGAGGAAGAAGTAGCAACTGAAATAAAGGTTAGACCAAAAAAAATTTCTGTTGCAGTTGCTTTACTTCTAACCACTGTTTAGGGGTTCTTCCAACATGTCCTTCTGTTTGAGGATCTTTTTCCAGGTTTTTCAGTGAAGAGATTTTGAATTATATCTGAATATTCTATGAATTACCTTTAATATTGGCTCATATAAAACATGTTTTTGGTCTTGTATTTTCTTCAAGACAATTTTCCTTTGTGTTTTTTTATTCCAAGCCTTAGATAAAAATTACTCTATAGATCATAGACAACTTTCCATTTTACTTTCCTTATCCAAGGTGGATCCTTAATGCTGCTGGCTTTATACACAGGAATATCCGATTGTTTTTTATTTATTTTTTCTTCTTCTAGAATAAATTTTAATTTTTCATGAAAATTATTTCTAGCACTTATCACGTCTTTCTTATTCATAAAGCAGAGGACATCATCTACACATTTAAAACATATTGTAAATTAAGTTTTTTTTTTCTCCAAATATTAATAATCTATTCATAATAATAATAGTAAGGCTTATTGACGAAATCCCCCTCAACTGTCCGAATATGTTTCTCTGAAATAAGAAAACATTACTTCCACATAACACTACCTGAAGATACTCTCTATAAATATTTCTTTATCTTTATTTTAGTAAATTGTTATATTTATTTGCATTAAAACCAAAACTACACCATGTTTTTTTTTTTATATTTATGATTATTTTTCAGAGACCGAGCGTTTCAGTAAGCGAGAGAAGAGCTTCAAAGCAATCAGCTAGAGGATCTTATCTCGAACAATTAGAAGAACGAAGAGAGGCAGAAAAGGGAATGGACGGAGAGGCAGTAGACGAAGAGGAAGAAGTGGTTCTTGACGAAGAAATGGTAGAAGAGGAAGAAGAGTACGAACCCTCCGCAAAGTTTAGATCAAGCCAAAGATTATCTCTTTCACCACCAACCGCTGGTTTGAGGCCATCTTCTCTTTGGGGACATCTACCACGGTTTTTTAGTGAAGAGGTTTGTACATATATATATATATATATATATATATATATATATATATATATATGTGTGTGTGTGTGTGTGTGTGTGTGTGTGTATGTATGTGTCCTATCAGGTCAGTTTGTCTAGAATTTCGTTTCTCAACAAATCTATTAGAATACAGCCTTTGATTATATGACTAAATATATGATTGTTAAAAATGTAAAAAGAAGAGGTAATAACATATATGTGTGTGTGTGTGTGTGTGTGTGTGTGTGTGTGTGTGTGAGTGTGAGTGTGAGTGTGTGTAGATTAAATATGTTTCATGTTAATACTAAATATTTTTATAAAGGAAGGAGATGGTCCGGAGTGGCGGTCATAAATAGGCTAAGTAGTGGTAAAACTACTTTTATTAAAAGCCAACGTTTCGACCCGCCTTTGCAGGTCTTCTTCAGGGAGGTGTGTTGAGCTAGGAGTTTCACTTAAAACTCAAGAACTCGAATTCGAAAATAGGTCGAAACTATTTTATACTAGGTCGAACTATAAAATAAAAAATAATATTAACTATAAAATAAAATAGTATTAATCCTTATGTGTCCAATAGTTTTTATGCAGTTAGGGATAAAAGGCCATATTAGTATTCTATCTAATCCATCTCTTAAACAAAGCGTTTGCGGACATACTTTCACTTTGAGCAACATTGCATATGAATGTTAATGCTTACATGTAATTATTAAAATAGTTAGAACAAATAAATAGGTTTTATTACGTAATAATTATTATAACGTAAATAATTCAAAACAACGAAAATCTCTAGGTGTGAATATGTCCTAAACAAAGCTTTTGCAGACATACCTTCACAGGAATTTTTTTTATTGTTTTGAGGTCCTTAAATAATTAATGCATGAATAATACATAAAGCTAGCTATCATCACATAAGATAATACTGTTTTTGGATATTTCTAGAACTGGTAAGTCTGAAGCAAAATGTCACAGTTGTGACGAAGATATAGACCACACATTTTGAACTTTCGATACTGCCTGAAACTCTTCTTTATTTCTAGAGTATGAGTCGACCAAGTGTAATTTTGCCAGTGCTTCTTGAGGAAGAAAAACTCTTTCACGAGTTAGTAGCAGGAGGTGACGTCAGTGCGGTTAGTGACTTCATCAACAAACGTCCCGATTTCAATATCAATTGTGAAAATTATCAAGTAATTGTTTATTTTAATATATATATAATTTTATATTACAACAGTATTTAAATATTTTCATTAGGATTCTTGTACTTCGAGTTACCTTTAGCTACATTCAACTGCCAAACGAACGAATATTTTTCAGAAGGATGAACAATTTTACAAACCATTAAGGTTTTATTTATTAAAAACGATCAGTTTCATACTCAGATCCTTTAAAGTTTCACAAAGAAAGATGTTTTTAGAAGAAAATTGGAAAGGATGGATCTTAATGATAGGCCATTAAACCGGACATGAATCTGAATCGTGAAGTTTATAATAAAAAAATCCATTAAATTCATCATATTTTAAGTTTGATAGTCTGCCCATCAAACTGTAATAAAAAAAACCTTCCTTCTAAGTGGCTGATTCTTAAAAAATCAATCGGAATTCAGTCATTGTCAGAATTATAAGTAGCACATAATAAATAATCTTATGAATTATAAAGAACCCGAAGATTTCGCTTATTATACACCTCCCTCCACCGTTCACCGTCCAAATCCGGTATCTCCACATCTGCTTTAAGCAATCATCTCACCTTCGCTTCGGTCTACCCCTCGGACGTTTACCATTCGCTACAGCAAATATCAACCTTTTAGGAATTATTTCATTACTAAGCCTAACAATTTTACAAGCCTCTCGAAAAGAGGAGACAGCCCTTTGCTGAATGCGAATTGGACATTGTGAGTTCTTGCGCTCCTACCTACTAAGAGAGTGCAGTTAAAAAAACTTTAAGGCTTTTAAAAGTGATAAACCTCTACAACAGAGTGTAATTCAAAGGTGCTGCCAATGACCCTACCGGCAGCACGCCGGTAGAGCAACAAAACATCAAATAAATAAATTTTTTTCAAGCCCATTTGATTCGCAGCGATGTAATCAACTTAATTATATTAAAGGGATACAATTCACGCAATTTGGCGTTGTGTAACATTCTGAACTCTCCGGTTAACTCATCCTTCTTCGGTCGGAATATTCTACTCAATACTTTATTTTCAAAAACCTTAAGACGTTGCTCATCCCTTAATGTAAGTGATCACATTTCACATCTATAAAGAACTATAGGTAGGTTAATAGTTTTATAGATTCTAGTATTTAAATGGCAGGACAAGATCCATTAAACTAAATTAGGGTCCCGTTGCTAATAAGTATCACATCCATGAGTAATTTCATCTAGTTGTTCCCCATTATAAACAGTGTTTCCATTGTATTTCGTTTAGTTTCGGTTGTATTTTAAGAAATGGAGCGATAATGGAATGAGTCTACCGATATCTGGGTACACTTGTAAGCAGAGAAATTTGAATTGACCCAGAAATTTCAAACAGAGTGAGGAAAGATAACGGGGTCTTCTACCAAATCAATAATACATTAATCGGCAAGAAGGAAATTAATAGTAATTCCAAACTGATGACCAATAAAATAATATTTATGCTGGTATTATTATTACTGGAGAGTTTTGGAGAAGCAAATTTCAACAATGACCGCCGCAGAAATGATGTTCCTCAGAAGAATTGCAGGAAAAAATGCTCTACAGTTGCAAAGGATTGTATATAGGTATAACTTTATTTTAAAACATCATAGTTTATTAATTACTGTTTCTATTACTCGTTTATGTAGCAATTTGGTGTACACAGAATAATTATTAATCATAATATCCTTTTCTTTTTTTTTAAGTTTACGGTCTTTTAACTCCCCTTATATTACAAGACTGGGTTTGGAAAAAATCGTATTCCTAAGCGGTTGAAAAAAATCATTTCAAAATCCTAATAATAAAAATTGTTCTTAGAATAAATAAAAAAATATAAAACTCCTAAAACATTTTCTACAAAATTAAAGGAATGTCATCTGAAATTTCTTTTGCATGTTTTTCTAGAACCCGATCAACTCAAGTCTTTATAGTCATTATAGCAATCATTGTAATTAAGACTCTGATTTGGGTAAATTTAATTATAAGGGTGGAAAAGAAATATTTGCATAGCTACTTAGCGAACTGCACTGTAAAATAAAATTCCGAATGAAAAAAAAAAACGCTGCAAATTATTCCACAATGGTTTATTATTTCCTGACAATTATACATCTAAATTAACATTACCTTCATAGTTACAAAGAAAAATAAACAAAAGGTGATTCCAATTATTGGACTAAACTTTTTTTTTTTAATCATTGGTAATATGCTAAAAAAAATAGAATTACATCAGTAACATATTCAAAATTTAAAAACCAAACAAAAGATATAACATTTGAAGTAGAACATATTAAAAGAACCGGAGACCATATCTTTGCTCCTAATTTTCCGATTTCACCGATTGTTTTTTTGATTTTTAGGAAATTTCGTAAACTTTTAAAAAACCATTATCTGCAAAACAGTGTAAACTTTTTGAGTTATTCGGAATTTAATTTTACAATCTCTGATTATTGAAAATTATAAACCAAAAATATTGAAAAACCGCGATATCTCTACTAACAGTGCTTTAATTTCGATGAAATTTCCTTCATTTTGTAGGAAATTTAAATACCTTTGAAACATCTTCTCACATTATCGACAAAAAAGTGTAAACTTTTTGAGTTATTCGGAATTTAATTTTACCATCCCTCGTAACTTTTTTTCCAGCTTCTTTTCGTTGAATTATGTTACATGGATAAATTTAGAGGGTGTCAAGAAAATGACTTTAGCGAAGTTTCATTGAAATCGGTACATTCGTTAAGGAGCTACAGTCTATAGCAACGCAGGTTTTTCGGCCGCCATTTTGAAAGAAAAAGGCGGATGCTAATGTCGATGAAGGAGGATCATCTTCGGGTGACCTCTGATTTTATATACAAATTTGAAAAAAATCGGTCCACTAATTTCGGAGAAAATGCGCGGACGGCGGACGGCGGACGGACAAAAAAATTTTTATTCGTTTTTCGAATTCTACGCATTCTGAAACGTGAAACCTCAAATTTTGTGAGGGGGTCAAGTTTTTTAATTTTTTGGTCGATCACAATGGTTGATTATTGAAAATAATAAACCAATACAGGGAACCTCAGCACTCCACATCGCTGTAAAAGACGACAACGAAGACATGGTACAGTATCTTCTGTCTCTACCCGGGATCGAAGTGCGTGACTCACATCTCTTCGCAATCCGAGACAACCACCCCGGGATCCTCGTCATGATCTTGGACAAGTTGCAATCAATAAACCCGGCCCTCGAGTTCATGGCTTGCTCTAACTCGCCGGAATTCGCAGAGAACGTGACCCCGCTGATCCTGGCCGCCGAAGCAGGGCACTTTGAAATAGTCGGACTCCTCATCAGTAGGGGACATGTCATCCCTCGGCCACACAAGCCCAGGTGCTTCTGCAAGGAAGAGTGTCAGTGAGTATTAAAATTTAATTTGTTGATCAATGGAGTTCATAGGTTAGGTTTTCATACGTTGTATAGTTGGAAAATTTGGTTGAGTGCGTACATCGGCTAATTTTCACTTACCACTTAAAAGTTCTGCGGAGTCAAAGCCTCCTACAGCTTGGTACGCCAGATTTCTTAATTAATTGCCGTCGCTCTCCAGTTGGGAATTTCAAAGATGTGACAATCCAAGTTGGGGAAACAATTACTCCAACCAATACACCACAATAGACACACCCACGTACTATGCAGACAAAGGTAACTAGGAATGCATATCCCAGGGCTGTGTATCTCTAGGTAGTCACCATAGATATTTGGGGAGCAAGTCAGAAAGCTCCAAGGAGAACTCCCTCTCCCACCAATTGATTGGATTTTAAAAGGATAAGCTTTTGGACATTAAACAAACTATGGCCAACACAGTTACTCAAATCTGTTGTTTCTCTTGGTTACTTTTTTTGTTTCTTGTTTGTGACCGTCACATCTGCTATAAATTATTTCTGAGAAGTCAAAGAGAATTTGGATAAGCGCTAGTATCGCTTTGAGACATTTACTGTTTGTATTGCTTGATAGGTGTTGAATTTGATGGTTCATAATGTGATTTAAATGAATTTTCTCCATCTCCTTTGACGATTTTTACCTCTTCTCTCACTTAAATTTGTTTCCTTTTTTTAAACTTGTTACAAGTTATAGGGAATGCTATTCACAACGTCCATCTTTTTTATTCTTCTGAAAATATAGAAATGTCTAAGCATCTTTTTTCTTGTGTTATAGTGTTTTTGAAATGTCCAAATCTTTCTTAAAATACTTATAAATCTCATTATTATTTATTTTAAAAATATACAAATGTTATTATAAAGTATGACAATTTCCTGCAATATATATTTTTAGTTTGTCTCATCAAAATAATTGTGATATTTTTAAAGACAATTCCATTTAATTTTCATGGAAACGTATATTTTCTATTCATTAATAATAAACACAGACATTTTAACCACAACAATTAAAAGACATTATTTTTTCGTCACTCTCTCATATTTTCTAATTTTGTCTCTGTTTTTAAAGTTAAGCGCGCCTCCAAACACTGTTGAAGGTTTGAAATTTTGTATTTAAATTAATTTGGTGTTGAAGAAGGGATTTTTGGTAACTTCGATTTCCTCTACCCCATCCACGCGCCATTTTGACAGTGGATTTTATAATTTTTAAAAGTTTTTGTACCTCCACAGCCTCTTGAGTGTTGAAAATGTGTAGGTAGGAGTTGTTTTTTTTTTCAAATTTAGAAACCTACTGACTGGGGAACTACCTCGTTCCTTACGTCGTTAATGAGTACTAAATAAATTTAATTAGTTGTGCATAACTAACAGATCCTGGTTATCTTGTTCTTTAAGTTTATTCAAAATAAATTATTTATAATAATATATAATTATAGCCGTATGCTTATGTCAATAGGGCCATAATGAAAAGTCAAGACATGTTGAGCATCTCATCTGGAAAACTTCACATCTACAGAGCACTTTGCAACCCTGCATATATCTGCCAGAATTCCTCCGATCCTCTTATGGTAGCTTTCAAGCTATCTAAGGAATTATTGACTTGCGGCCATGTCGACGCGATCTACCTGAGGCAATATGAGGCTTTAGCTGAATCTTTGAGAAGATTTGCGGTTGAAATAATTGGTAATTTGATAATCAATAAGAGTCAAAACTCTCACTTTTTTGAAAAACTTAAATTCAAACCTAAAACGAGTTTGTTGCTCTAAAAATAGGTACTAGTTCCCTTTCGCTACACTTTTCTAAAACTTCCAAGATTTATGATAAATGCCGAATATAGCCAGTTATGAGAGTACCAATATTTTTTCATTATTCATAAATTTAAAATAGATTTAGATGATCATCTCTTAGTTTTGTATTGAATTAATGCATTATTATATAGACATAAGTGCATATAAAAAAAATTGTAGACATTTTTAGTTATTTGTAAATATTTCTTCTTTTCCTTCATAACTAATTGAAATGTAATTTTGGGGAAATATGGATATGGTTCCTCACGTTTCCATGATATTCCCTTTCATTTGATAAGTCATTCGTATAAATCCATCGTCATTAAATATTTTGTTATTTTCGATTTAAAAAAACGGGGCTAATTTTTTGTTATTTTTTTAAAAAATCCAATGATATAACCTTGGCGAAAATTCGAAGTAAAAAAGTTTTATTTATCTATTGCTATGAAAATTTCGTATTTGAGGATTCGTCAAGATGCTAAATAGGAATCTCGACTCTGTTTCTCCTTAAAAAAATACCTCAGATATTTGCAAATAAAAATTTTTCTCTTTCTTTCATAACTTTTCCCGCTGATTTTTCGAGAGGATGTGACTATGGTTTTTCACTTCTCCATCAAATACCCTTTCATTTAATATGTTATTTGTAAAGATCCATGGTTATTAAATTTTCGTGATTTTTGACAAAAATCCAAGGCTGTATTTGTTATATTTTGAACCAAAAAAGTTTTATTTTTCGATTGCTATTAAAATTCGTATTTGGGGATTCTTCAAGGTGCTATATACGAATCTCAACTCTGTTCCTCTTTAAAAAAATGTTTGAGAAATCTGATGATAAAAATTTTCTATATCTTTTATAACTTTTTCCACTGAACTTTCGGGAATAACCTTGAATTTGATACACCATTTATCAAAATCCGTGGGTATCAAAATTTTTGTTATTTTCAACAAAAATACGAGGGCAAATTTAATAAAATTTTAAAAAGAACATAAAAAACATTCTTAGTTAAATTTTGAAGCAAAAAAGTTTGTTTTTTTTTGGATTAGTATGAAAATTCGTATTTAAGGGTTATTCGAAGTGCAAAGAATTCTGTTTCTCCATAAAAAAAATGTGTCAGACTTTTGCAAATAAATATTCTCCTTTTTCTTTCAAAACTGTTTCCACCGATCTTTCGGGAGGATTTGACAATGGTTATTTACGCCTACATCAAATACCCTTTCATTTGATACTTCATTCAATGATCCGTGGTTATGAAATTTTTTGTGATTTTCGAAAAAATCCAAGGCAAAATTTCAAAGCAAAGAAATTTTGTTTTCTCGATTTTCGAGTTTTATCATTCGTCTAAATTCATCGTCATTAAATATTACGTGATTTTTAAAAAAAAAAAAACTGAGGCTTGGTAAAAATTTGAAGCAAAAAAAGTTTTATTTTTTATTGCTATGAAAATTTGTATTGAGGGATTTTCGGGGTGCTAAATAGAAATATGATCTCTATTTCTCTCTAAAAATTTATTTAAATCCACTTTTCTCTATCAGTACGTACAATTAAATTTCTTAGATTATTTTCATGTGTGTAACAGTGGAATAAGAGTTGTTAGAATATATTAGGACTCGGTCTGAATTAATATAATAGCGATTGAGACTTATCAAACCCTATCATTGTGTCTGTCAACAATTTTTTTTTTCGTGTTTTTAAAATCATTTTTTCTCATTTTACAGCTGAATGCCGAACTTTAGAGGAAGTGGAGACAATATTATCTGAATCTAAGGACAGCGACCTAACAGGTAACTGGACCTATCCTAGATTGATTATGGCTATGGATTATAAGCAAAAGGAGTTTATTGCGCACCCCAATGTTCAGCAGGTAAATTCAGTTGTTAAACGTTTAAAAAAAAATACCTTTAAAGGATTATTTTTAAATATAAAATCATTTTTATTTTATTTTATTTATTTATTTATATGATATTTACAACTGTATACAAAAAATTCATCTGGTAAATTTGCACATGGATATTATGACATGGAACACATGTTGAGAAACTAACCATTGTTAGCACTCTATTAATATGTCTATATTAGAAGATCACGTGGCCATCTTCTTTTCAGACGTCTCGGAGGGTTATCAGGAATTGAAGCAAGGTTAGAAACAAGAGGGTTGGGATGGTTATGAAGTTTATTATGGAAGGACAGATATCTGGATTGGACCAAATCTGATATATAAGGAACATTAAGGTCATTATGGATAATTTTATTTTTAACAAAGTAAGGAGCATTGAGGATTTTACGAAGGATTTTGGATTGTAAGGATTGGATGCGAGAGGAATTTGAAGGTTTGGTGGAGCCCCATAGCTCAACTCCGTAAGTCCAAATAGGCCTTATTATAGTCATGTAAATGAGTCTTTTATAATTGATTGGAAGGTTAGAGCGTTTGTCTAGTAAGTGTTGAAGTTGCCGGAAACGTCGAGCTGTTTCTTGTTGTTTCAGTCTGGTATGAGGATTCCAAGTTAGACGTTTGTCCAGATGTAGTCCTAGGTAACCAAATATAAAATCATAAAAAATAAAATCAAAGTTGCAGTATTTGTGACTGATATCCGCCAATGTTAATAACCTGAACACTGATAATTCTGATACTGATACTGATAAAACCTATCTTCGTATTCATATTTATGGAAATTGAAATAAACAAAACGAAATATAATAATAAAAGAAATACACCTTATATTATTAGAAAAACCGTGTATTTACACAGATATTGTGTCCAAACACAAGGTCGGATTAGTAACTTAGAAGTGAATGGCTAGTCCTCCGCATCCGGTGGTCAATTTTTTTTTCTAAGATTACATGAATCCATTTTTTCTAACTAAATTTTATAAATTATCATTTTAATTTATTAATTAGTGATATTTAATTATTATAGTAGGTTCTTGAGCGTACCTGGATGGGCGACTGGATCGCTTGGAGAGGATACAGGGTTTACATCAAAGCTCTCTACATATTCCCAAGACTCGTAACCTTGCCTGTAGTACTTGGAGTTCTGATGTTCACGCCAACATCAAAATGGGCGAAGCATTTTTCTTTGCCTGTGAACAAACTGCTGAGTAACGTAGCGTCTTATTGCATTTTTCTTCTTCTCGTTTTCATTCAGTCCAACGTTAACAAGAAGAATCAAACCCGAGACACGAAGCCAACCGGTACGTAGTAAAATATTTTATTTATATAATATTTTAATTTTGATTCAATCGTGAAAAAAAATCATTTGAAAATTCACAGGACTACTTAAAACTTTAAAAATCTATATTGAACAGATATTACAGCTACAAGATGGACTAAATACATAACAAATGGCAATGATAACATTAATTGCACCCTTATTTAATGGAACGGGGTAGTTCAGTGGGTAAGGTACTAACTTCCAAATCTGAAGGCTCGAATTCAGCTGACGGTAGGTTATAATTATTCTGTTTCAGCCGCGGATCTACCCTGGGGGAAGGGGCAGACCCTTCTGGGACACACTTCTAGGTTCTATAAAAAAAAAAGAAGAAGAAAATTAAATCTGCACCACTACAACCCATGAAGGGTCTTGAGTTCAATAATATTTAGTCTGGTATAATCTTGTCTTGTCTGATCTTGTGTTGTGTTGTCTGGTCTGGTCTGTTCTGGTCTATTCTTGTCTGGTCTGCTATGATCTGGTCTAGTCTAGTCTAGTCTTGTTTTGTTATGTTTATGTGAGCAGTCTTGCTGCCTTTTCTTGTCTTGTTTGGTCTGGTCTGTTCTGGTCTAGTCTGGTCTGGTGTAGCCTAGTCTTGTTTTGTTATGTTTATGTGAACAGTCTTGCTGTCTTTTTTTTTGTCTTGTCTTGTCTGATCTGGTATGGTTCTGTCTTGTCTTGTCTGGTCTAGTCTAGTCGAATCTTGTTATGTTGTATTTTTGTGAACAGTCATGCTCAAAAGCAAAGAGTCATACGAAACTGAAATTGCGAATTTAAGGTGCCTATATACCCGGAATGTTACAGCAACTTTTTCGTCAAAATCGGCTCACCGGAATTGTTTCTTTATATCATAGATTTTACAATTTTTTTTTTTTAAACCTTGGCTTATTAAAGGGGCCAATTGGTGATATAATTAATATATTGACAATCACCAGAACCCTAAAGGACAAGACAATCTCTGATGGGTTCGGGCTAGTTATCTAAAAACACTCAAGAAACAGCAGACCTCTTAATAAGACAATGAATACTAATAGATTTCGCTAAAAGACTCCTTTTTCACAAAACTATTATGAATATTAATGATAAAACTTTTTTTTTCTTCCCTTCCCCGCCTTTTTGGCTACACTTTTTTTTTCCCGAGCAAGGAGAATGGACGAGGGATCAATGCCAAAGTTAAAAGTCACCGGCACCGGTATTCGAACCCGTAATCTTTGTTTTGTCAGGTGCCCGGGCAAAGCGTATTTTGCACACTCTTTAGTCATCTTGGCCTCACCGCTCCCTATTAATGGATAATAATATCAATTATTAATAATTTCGTTTAAAGTCCTTTTCCGGCTTCCTTCATCCTCTTCTCCTACACTCCATCATCATAACACTTTTGTCAAGAGACCTAGATTCATAATCCTGTTGTCGTGCTCTTGTAAGAGACCTGGAATTAACTTTTGATGTCAACTCATACAGTTATTGTTCAATTCAGTATATGTAAATGAACCAATATAAGCAATATGTAACAGCCATATTACTTCTAAAGTCCTAACTATCTATAATTTTTTAACTTCACTACATAATCCTGATCTTCAGCTAGGAGGAAACATGTGTAAATTGGTGAACTCATTAGAGTTAGACCAGCGGATTATGAGATTATGGTATATAACATAAAATAATAGATACGGTTCAATTAAAAAAAAAGGTCATGGTCAAATAAAATTTAAATGAAATTTACATAATCAATGAGGTGTTAGTTGCAAGTGCGCAGGAATGTCATAACAGGTGGAGCAAGCGATGTCAACTCCCTCTTTCCCCTCCTGTGTTTTCCCCTCCAATAATTTGAAATTCAAAATGTGAAATTTGAGTTTTGAGAAGATACTTTAAACTTCGAAAGTTGTGAAAACGGTTTTACCCGAAGAGTTACTAGAATTAAAAAAAAAAAAAAAAATTGCGTTGAACAATTTGGATTTTAACGATATTATCTTTAGCTTGGCTAGGGAAAAAAAATCATACTTTTTATCTGGAGAAATTCGGAATAGATAAGAGAGAATATGAGCTTAGACTAGTTTTCCTCTTTTTTATGATTTTATTTTATATATTGGAAATATAGAGAAGTTTTATGATCTATATATCATCCTCAAAAAAAAAATGTTTGTAGCGTAACTTGTAATTCGAGTTGATGTTTAGACTTAATTAATATTTTTTCCTCAGAATAAGTTCAGAATATTTTTTACTAAATATTTTTTCTTATTCTGCACAAAAAAAAAAAAAAAAAAAAAAAAAAAATGGTATATAGCATCGCTTCCGCCATCTCCTACATCAACATACGTGTAGACTTCAGGTTTCCTCTCTCATCTTCCCCCACTTTGACTACAGCTGTGTGGTGTACGATGTACTCTCGGTGGAGCTCCGTGACAGACTGAAAAGATTAATGAACAGTTGCGTAAGATTTTTAATTGGTGCCCCGAGATACTCCCATGCCTCTCCACACTACACTGAATCAAAGTGGCTCTTCCCCTCCATTCGAAGACAATATTTCCTGGGTACGTTTCTCTATCAAATAAACAATTATCGTCCTTCTTACGCCTTCAACCTTCTCCAATTCAATTCCTCAGTCCATTCCCTTTCCACAAGATCTCGACCTTCCGACATTTACATCCCTTCTCACAGATCTGCCTCATTCCAAAACTCCTTTATTGCTCGCTCTTTTAATTCCTGAAATTCCCTTCCTATCAAAATTAGCCATTCTCCCTCCCTATCTACATTTAAAACCTTCTATTCCAATTCCTGTCTAAAAAATAGTCAGGTGCCAGCTAACCTTATATGTAAAATTACATATTATTTATAATGATTTACATAATGATGTATTTACATATAATTCATCACTTAAATACTCTGACAAATTTTAATATCAGATTCAGCTTTCTTTTTTTTCCACAGAAACACAGTATTTATTTTTTTTTTTTTCTTAACGTGTATATTTATGTTTTACCACTGTACATAGTTTTTAGTGTCTTGGCATAGTTTCAAGTGTTTTGAATATAGATTTTTTTTTTTAATTTTGTATATTGTTTGTTTAACTAATGTTTTCTTTACATATTTATCTTTCTTTTTACTTTTTGTGTTTGTTACTATTTAGGCCAGATATAATATTTTAATTTTGTACTTTTTTGTCGTTCTTAAGGGACTTTGTCCCAGAATAAAATTATTTTCTATTCCATAGCAACATAAAAATCCGGGCGAAGCAAAGGCAAAAAACAAAATAAAATAAATTTAAAATCCCACTGGCTGTTATCCCTCCTTGTTATTTACATGTTGTCGTCTTGACGAGGGATGCCTGAATGTAACTATCATTAGGAACGGTATGTGACGATTTTTTGAGCTAATGGCTAGACCGATTTTTAAGTTTTATAGCTCAAATTATAAGGTGGAATCTCATGAAATAATTAGGGCTCAGAACACAAACAAATTTTATAACATTTATTTAATCTGCTTGAATATAAAAAGTAATGTAACGAAAGGAATTATCACACTAGAGTCCAATGTTGGATCTACGAGGGGGCTTTTGGGTTGAAGACCCTTCTAAATAGAATTTTTTTTAGATAGGTCCATATTTGTTACTGTCAGAGATCTGAGGTTAATGCTTAAACAATTATATAATTATAATATATATATATATATATATATATATATATATATATATATATATATATATATATATATATATATATACTATTTTAAAATGATATTGTTTATATAGTTTTTTTTTTTTTACAAGACCTTAGCCATAATCACAAAATGAATAGTCGTAAGATTTCTGTTCATTAATGTTACTTTGTTTAGGATTGTAGTCCTAAAAAATATGCCTGAATTCTCTAAATAACGTTTACTTGTTAATAATTTAATGTCATTTGTAAGTCTGAAAGCTTTTGTTCCTGAAATCTTCGGATGACTTGGTAGAAATGAAGTGTTAAATGAGTACAGAGTGATTAAAAAATTTTACTCAACTAAAGTTGTTTTCAGCTTTGTTTGAAAGGACAGCTAAAGAAGATAATCTAATATTCTTGCTAAGTTGAATTAAGGATCGGTTCATAATGAAGAAGAGGAGGGCCTGGCCTCGAGCTATTTAATTTTTTAAATAATCAAGAGCAGCTTAAGATTTATACTGACAAATAAATAAAATCTTTATCTTCAAGAGTGGAAAAGTTGAAAGTCTGCCACCAGCAGTTTGCGAATTAAAACATTTCACACAAAAGTATTCTACTTTGAATATTTCCAATGCGTTAAATTATCAGAAAATGAAAATTACAAAATAATTTTTTTCCTACCTATACTAGGTAAGAAAAGTATTGCGATCGGGTCAAATTTCCGATATGAGGTTTTGACGGATCTCTACGTTTCAGACCAACTGAGTGCGAAAAAAAACATTTTTTTTTTCAAAAATATTTTTTAAAGGTAAAAAAATTCCCTAGAAATCTATCTAAAAATCGTTCATTTCGGACGATTAACGAAGTTACATCTATTCAATTTCCGATGTAAGATTACGGGTAAATATCCTGGTATCAGAAAGGGATGAATGAGAGAAAAAAGATAACTAAGTAAAAGTTTAAAAAATCTGTAGCCCGCATCATACAAGCTTCACTATTTCCTCTAACAGAAATTATTGTTTGACAAAATTAGGCTATGGCAAAAAGTTTTTGATCAGCAATATTAGAGGGTATTCAAATTTTTACACTTGTCTGTCTACCTTAAGCCGGTTTACATTGCTTTATTTTATCAAATGAATCGTACTCAAATCTTTTCTTTGATCAGGAAAATAAATCTAATTATTTTTTTTTTGTTTCTTTATTGACATATCTAAAGATATAAAAACTTTTCTGAAATAGATAGGTAGGTCGTGTGAGTGGGCACATCAAATTTTTGGTTTTCATTATCAATGCTTTACACAATACGATATTATAGATTTATTTTCTGGTCCTCAGGGGCGATGGATCTTGATGAATGAGGTATTCAAAGGAAGGGGAATTTCATGGAGAAGAGACGAATCAAGATATCAAAACTTAACATTTTACTTAAACTTAAAACTTAAATTTATAAGTTCAGGCCTTCATCAGGGCTAAGAAAAAAACAGATAACAGCGGATATGAGAAACTATTAACATTAAAAAAGAAATAATAAAATGTAGGTGAAAGGTATATTCTAAAAACAATTTTTCATTTCTTATGTTACTGGACGGAGAGGGCAAACTTTGTCTATTTAATTAGATACTAAAAACTCGTTAATACTCATTTGCTTTCTATTTCGATCTAAGATAATTTGATCACAAAATCGGGAAAAAAAGGTGGCCAAAATATTGAGCCGTTTGGTGTGACCTATACCCCCAAATTTTAAAAAACGAGGATATATAGGACAAGCGGTCCAATATTTGTGTAGGCCACCTTTTTTTTCGATTTTGTGATCAAATTATCTTACGATCCAAGTAGAAATCAAATGAGTATTTACGAGTTTTTAGTACCTAATTAAATAGACCAATTTTGCAACTCTCTTGATTGAAAACGCCCCAATTCCAAGAGTTTTCGTAAATAAAATAGTGGTAGGTCACGATGAGATGAAACTATTTACTAAGTTTCAGACGGATGTTAATAATTCAATAAAAAGGGGTCTGTAACACAGACTATTATCTCCAAAAAAATTAGGAAACAATTATTGAAGAAAGGAAACTTTTTTGCATATAATGCAAAAAGTATACAATTAATGGTTGGTTTTACCAAGTATTTTGAATGTGTTTTTAATTGCCTACAAAATTAAAAAATCAAAATCAGACCATATTTAGGAAAGTTAATGCTAATTGTAATTTTCACTCAGGTTTTAGTAATTATTTTAAATTAAAATTAATTATTCCCTAAATAAGTACTATTATATTATTATATTATTTACATTTGTTTACAGACCAATATACCAAGCGAATTATTCCTATAGGCCAACTAGTAATAATTAATTTTTATTCCAGGTGTCGAGATATTTTTGGTGATTTACGTCCTTACATTTATTTACAATTCAATCAGAAGCCTATTGAAACAGGGAGTTCACAGATTTTTCAAATTCATGTGGAACATGTAATTTTTAATAGAAGCAATCATTTGAAATATTTAATTGTTTACTTGTAATAATAATTTAACTGTTTAAGAATAGAAAAAAAAATATATATATATATACATTTTTTTCAGATACGAGTTAGTAATGGAGCTTTTCTTTATAATAGCGTTCGTATTTCTGATAGCGGCTGAAATAAAGACAACAATAAAAGGTAACAAAAACGTGGAGAGAAAATATTGGCATTATTTGGACCCTGAATTGATTTCAGAAAGTTTTTTCGTATTAGCGGCTATCATGGCTTTTATGAGAATCCTTCTGATTTTTCAAATAAGTTACCATCTCGGACCTTTGCAGGTTCGTATTCGATTCTCGTTTCGAAAGGATAATATTATTTGATTTTTTTTTTTATGTTTTTTTTTTTAGGTCTCTTTAGGGAAAATGACCAATGATTGCGCTATGTTTTCTGTGATTTTTGCAATAATCATAATAGCTTTCACTGCAGGCAAGTAATATTTTATTTTGCTTTTATTTAACCTCTTGGATATTCGTGCTATAAGAATTATAACGTTAAGTTAATAAAATAAGTTTTTAAGCCTCTCTGGCATTCTTCCATTAAAGAAGTTTTCAATTTTCATTTCATAATAAATGTTCGAAATTTAAAATTAGAATCCCGAAAGAAATAATGTTTCAGAATTACCGATTTGAGAGAGCCAGGTAGTTTTAGTTTAAGGATCATTTTAGGTATATTTATATGATCCTTACACTGATATATATACATATATAGTATAACAATTTTACAACAATAATCTATAAAGCCATTATCTTTCATACAGTTCTTTATGGATGCGAAACGTGGCCGCTTACATTAAGGGATGAGCAACGTCATAAGGTTTTTGAAAATAAAGGATTGCGTAGAATATTCGGACCGAAGAAGGATGAGTTAATTGGAGTCCAGACGGTTACACAACACCGAATTGCGTGAACTGTATCTGAGGTGATTAGGGAGTGGGGTAGCTCAGTGGTAGGGTACTGAGCTTCCAATGCTAAAGATTCCAGGTTCGAACGCCGGCTCATGGCATAAAATTAATTTATCTGTTTCATTGGCCATGGGTCAGGAGACCCTCCTGGGGCACACCCAGCCTCTATAAAGTGGGTAGCCTTAATTAAATAATTAATTAAGGGGAAAAAACTGGCGGTTGAGCGTGATCTCCATCAAATCACTTCCTTGCACAACGGTTGACCAAGAAACAGTGCTTTCCCTAAATAGTACTGAACCCAAGACCCTTTATGAGTGGTGGTACAGTTATCTGAGGCGATTACATCGTGGCGAATCAAATGGGCTTGTAAAATTGTTGGACTTAGTAACGAAAGAATTTCTAAAAGGTTAATATGCGCATATTAACCTTTTAGAAATTAACTGTACCAAATGGTTAATGGGGTAGACCGAAGCAAAGGTGGGAATATTGTGTTAAAGCTCTGAAGAGACTGGGTTTGGACAGCAAACGGTGGAGGATGGTGTGTAATAAGCGATTGGTGGTGTCGGCATCGAACCTTCAGGTTTGCTAATAAGGAAGGGAAATGTTCAGCACTTCATTCTCTTTGTAATAAGTAACCCAGTGGTCAAACCAAGCTCGTAAATTAAAAATTATGAAAATGAACAGAAACATGAAAATTGACAAATTTATCAAAACTTTAAGGTTACGAAATTCTCCGTAGTTAAAATAATTGACAGAATCGAGAAAATATACAATATTGCAAAACTGAACAAGTTTTTGGAATTAAAATAATGGAGAGAATCAGAAAAATAAAGCCAAAATGTTAAAATGGAAAATTATAATAATAGGTAATATTACAAAAATGAGTGTTCTAGAAATGTATTGAATTTAAAAAAAGATATTAACTAAAATATATAATAAGGGAGTAAGAAAATAGAATTTCAAAATTATTTTGGGGCCATATAACATAAATTTGAATGTAAATTGTTTACTCGAAAATGAATTAAAAGTATGCTTCCAAAAGAGAAAATAATGAGGAATAATATTTAACTGTTTTCAATTGTGGTATTTCTCTCTTATTGTCGACTGACATAAATGTGACCAAAATTTTAGAATGGCCTGTATATGTTTATGAATTACAAATAATCAAGCCAGAGGGAGAGATACTTTATTTAAAGCAGTGCTGCCCTACTATATAGGGTTGCTCGATACACAGCATATTCATCAATCCTTTTTTTTTTTTTTTGGACATAGCACTTAATTATACTTAATCATATGTTTATATATATACAAATTCTTTTTCATATTATACAGCAAAAACAATATCAATACTATAATATAATAATTTTTTATTATAGTATTGATAATATTTCAGGCTTATGTAAATTTTATTCCTACTACGAAGACATGGTGCAAACTAATCCTGATACAGGAGAAGTGGAGTCAAGTCAAGTGAATTCATTCACGGGTGTTCTCGATACGTTTAAGGTTGTTGCCTTATATATATATATATATATATATATATATATATATATATATATTTTATAAATCAAAGTTTGTTTAATATAATAATAATATTCTCTTGATTCCTTTCAGACCCTCTTTTGGGGGCTTTTCGGAATGTCGTCGTTTGATGTGGCAGATGTGATTGTGGAGAACCTTGAAGACAACTCCTCAAATTCCACAACAACGAATGAACATCATCTGACAGAAGCTGTGGGATACTTTGCTTTTGCAAGTACAAACTGATTTCCAAATATTCAATGTCTCCTACCGGAATTGCTAATTTACCATAATGTCTTCCATCAAAAGAGCATATTTAATGTAAAAGATACATAAATTGGTCTATGGGCCAAAATCTCATAAAGATAAAAACCTTATGTGACCAGTTATCATTAATTTTTATAATGGTGTCGAGATGGTTGACCCTGATATTATATGAGAAAGTTGGTCAGGGGGGGTGGTCAAATAAATACTAAACCTTAAAAAATAGTATTTTTAATGATTATGTCCATATTTTGACCCACCTTGCAGTTCTTCATCAGGGCATGCCATGTGGCACTGCAGGAAGCAGTTGGTAGACTCCTCTTAATTTTTATAGTGCGTGATTATATCAATTATAATATTTTTTAAAGCAAGTTCAGGAGGGACTAAATAAGTCACTATAAGTATGAGTACAGTATTTAGCATTAATATCCAAGCATCCATTTGTTGGTGTGAGGCCTGTCAGTGCCTAAGAGTTAAGTTTTAAGGCAGAAAAAAAAATACATGAAACAATGAGGAAGCAAAAACAAAGATAATAAATAATAAAAAAAACTTGATTTTATTACTTACTTTTCATCTCAGATATTCTTAAGAAACATATTTTAGACAAGCAACAAGGTTTTTTTTTTTAAGGAAGGAGATGATCCGGTGTGGCGGTCATAAATAGGCTGAATAGTGGCAAAACTATTTTATTAAAAGCCAACCTTTCCACTTTACAGGCCTTTTTCAGGGCTAGGACAGACAAGATAACAAAAAGATAGAGAATTGTTGAAGTGGCATAATATTATGTAGTTTACCAGATACCTTGCTCTACTCCGTATTGTAATAGCTCCTATATTGGTGAAACCAAAATCCATCTCAAAACCCACATATCCCAAAATAAAACATCCATAACTTCCCGGAACCCTTCTGCCTCCAAACTATCAGAACATGCCTTAACCCTTAACCATTCATTTGATTTTGAAAAAACCTCTATTCTTGCCACTGTCACTAACCAAGAAAAAAGATTCAATTCTCTATCTTTTTGTATCTTGTCCGTTCTAGTCTTGATTGAAGACCTGCAAAGTCGAATCAAAACATTGGCTTTTACTAAAATAGTTTAACCACTATTTAGCCTATTTATGACCGCCACCCCGGACCATCTCCTTCCTTTAAAATGCAACGGTCAATTATTAAATATTCAATATGATTTTTTTTTGTAATTGTCTTAATTAATCATCTTGTACAGATGCAAAGCTCAAAGCTGGTTGTGTAGCCAGTAGACAACCACAGCAAAATTTTACCAGGTGCCTCCATCACACCCTTTAAAATGGCCAGTGGGCTATTTTCTCGAATTTTCGAGCAATATTTGTTATACATAGAAATGTATACTTTTTTTTTTTTTATTTACAAATTTCTTCTATATGAAGTTTACCTCAAATCCTTCTTTAGCCAATCTGTCCATCTCTACTGGTCCATCGCATCCTCCTCTGGCAGTCCCCTACCAGCCTTATTCTCCACCACTCTATCCTACCATCTAACTGGGAGTCTTCCTCTCCTTCTACCCTCTACCTCCCAATCCATAATCATCTTTGATATCATACCGTCGCCCATTGGTCTCACACGTGTATAATGATAAAAAAAAAAAAAATAAGCTGACTAAATTCATTGATCTTTGCACTTAGAGCAAAGGTCAATAAATTTATAGTCAGCTTATTATTTTTGTTTGTAATAACACAAAATAGGAATGAGGTTCAAAATAATAATTTCTACTAGACAGCTTGAATATATACAAACTCAGATGAAATGGAATGGATCAGAAAGGACAAATTTGGATAAAAATAGCTCTGTTATCAAGAATATTAAAAATTCTTTAATTTTGGGTTGACGGTTGACTGTTGTGAATAATGAAGAGGATTATTCAGAAATAATAAGGCAAAAATAAATAATATTTATTTTAACATTGGCGACGTTTCGACCTGAAGTTCAGGCCTTCATCATGGCTAAGAAAAGAACCAGATAACAAGGTATGAGAAACAAAAACAATGTAGGTAAAAAAAAAATATAATAGTAAAATGAAGTGGATAAAATGATAATTTTCTATCTAACTATTCTATCTACAATATCTTAATTTTACTATTTATTTTTATTTTTTATATAACTTCATATTCTTTTTCTCTGTTTTACATTGTATTCTAAGATTACCATTTTAGTACTTACGTCACCTTATTTTGATTATGTTTACTTCATTATTCCACACTTTGTAACGGTTATTATTATTTATTTCTTAGTTCTTGTTATTGTCATTATTCTACCCACTTCATTTTACTATCATATTTTTTTTACCTACACTGTTTATCTTTCTCATACCTTGTTATGTGGTTCTCTTCTTAGCCCTGAACTTCAGGTCGAAACGTCGGCAAATGTTAAATAAATATTATTATTTATTTTTGACTTGTTATTTCTGGCTGATCACCCCAACCATCCTTCTCTTCATTAAACATTCTTAATATTTTTGTATCTGATTTTGCCACCCTTTCTGCCAACAGCCAGGCTAAATAAAATTTAGCTTTAATTCATTATATGATTATGATGCACACAATTATTTTTGCAGCCTACATGATCCTAACTGTTATTGTGATTCTAAACATGCTGATAGCTACAATGTCGAATACATTCCAAAAAGTGACAGATAATCTTGACACTGAATGGCTTTTTGGAAGAACTGAAGTAAGTTTTTATTAGTCTAAATCGATGCTCATTTTTAATATTTAATTCAAGTCTTGACATTTTTGAAATTTCATTTGAATGTCCATTTCCAATGCTAATTCCAAAACCCAGATGTAGACCAAAACATGGATTCTCATTAAGACGGCCACTGACGATCACTGCAAACAGAAAAATGGTGTGACTAGAGGGGTGAATGGTGTTGAATTCAAGGATCCTATTGATAACCACTCCAAATGGAACGCTGGAGTGGAGCCACTGGAGAGCTAGGAATGAAGTCAAATTCAAACGTTTTAATGAGCATCATTCAACCACTGAATAGTGAAACATGCTCCTGCAGTTCATTTTCATAGCTCGTAAATATTACAATTGCAAACATTACTAGAAACATTTATCTTTGAATATTATGAAAATTATTTATTTTTCATATCATATTTTCACGAGAAATTTATCTTTATATATAACTTGGTGGTATTTCGCAGATTAGATCCTTTTTCTCACTCTCAGGAGCAATGGCTTTTATGAATGAGCTATCAAACGAACAAGAATTTTATGAAGAAGTGACAAATCAGTTACATCCCTTCAAGATTTCAGGAAAAAAGGGTTATGAAGAAAAAGAAACTTTATTTGCAAATAACTCAAAAACTAAATTCCCTACAAAACAAAAAATATCATCGAAAATGGACCATTATTAGCAAAAATACAGCCTACAGTGATATACACATTTTGGTTTATTACAATCAATTAATTTGATTCGACTGAGAAAAAGAAAATTATCTCTTCTATCTCATAATACATTGCATCAAATTATTTCCATATTATATTGTCAATTGTTCACTGACCTATATACTACGAGAATTATTTGCAGGGGATAACTAGTATTGCGAATTTGAACTATATTATATTTTTATAATTAAGATTAAATCTATTGCGTTAACTAGATTTTTTAATATTAAAATACATCTGTTTCAGGTTTATATGTCTTACATTGATTTGCCAGTATTGCCTCCCCCATTTAATGTAATTCCAACAACACATGCGCTAGTGAATCTCGTTAAAGGATACAAAACCAAAGCAAGAAACTTAATTGGGGTGGTAAATTTTATTTATTGTTGTTTTGAAGTGGATACTAATTAAATGGATTATTTGCATAAATATCCACTAAATTGTTTATATTAGAAGTGTTGCTACACTTTAATGGGTGGACGCAAGAGGTCTTTTTTACTTAAGTATAACCAGTTACACTTTTGTAACTTATTTAGAACTGTTACGGATTTGTCAAGTACACATTATTTAATAAATTATTACAATTGTACTAATGAGATTATAATCTGAATCATAAAAAAATTGTTTTATTGAGCGTGTGGAATTAAAAAAAAAAATAATTTCTTAAAATTAATTAACAATAAACAGGGCAGACATATGTTTTGTAGGCAAGAGCAATAACTTGTTGCTCCCCATTTTGTGCCACCTAATCTAATTAACGAAAGTCGTGTTGAAGCCTGTTTTATTTGTTTCTCAATATGTTTATTCCAGGAGAGTCTTTTATCCAGTTTCATTCCATGATATGTAGCTTCTTCTGTGCCTTTGAGTTCCTCATTATTATGTGTAAACATTGGGAGAGAGTAAAAAGTTGGAATTCCCTCTTTTTGGAATTAACGATCATCTCGTTTTCATTGGCCCACTTCTCTAGTAATTGCAGTACCTGTTGCAAGTGCTTTTCTAGCCCTTTGAAGTCACTACTTGTTTCCCAAATGATGAGGTCATCTGCGTACAGCAGAACATTTGTACCTGGAATAGTTTCAATGAGGGTAAACAGGAAGGGACTCAACATCGAACCTTGTGCGAGGCCTATATCTAGTTTTTTCTGGTGATATGTCAAGACAAAGTTTTTATATCACACCCTTATAAACCTTTCATGTAAGAAAGATATAGTCTTGAGCAGATATCCTGTGACTCCTTTGTCAACAAGCTTACTCACAAGCTTCTTTCTCCAAACTCTATCATATGCCGTCTTAAAATCTACGAATATTGTCAGGGTGCTCTGCTTTCTTAGGAAGCCGTTTTTTATTTCTTGTGTTAGATGAACTACTTGCCAGCGTGGATAGAAGATATTAGATCATATTTTTCTATGTATTTCTGAAGTCTTTCTGCAACAATTCTCTCATAGAGCTTAGAGAAAGTGCTTACTAATGCAACGGGTCTTAAATTTTCCGGTATATCTCCTTTTTTTTCTCTCTTCAAGATTGGTAGGACTTCTGCTTTCATCCATTCACACAGAATATGTGTTTTTCAAATAGTGTTTAAAAATGTTGTACTGTTTCTTTGGCCATATCCACCCGGTTATAAGAAATTCCAGACGTGAAATTAAACTAGATATGAACTGCTAAATAATTTTTAAGTGTGTTACTATTTATATAAAACAATTGTTTAAAACTAAAGTAACCTAGAAGTTTTATAAAATTCAAATGAGAATAAGAGGCAACTGTTGTCATATAAGCACTTTAATATCGTTTAAAAATTTTACTTAACTATGGCATTATCTTTATTTATTGATCGAAGAAATGATAGTATAGCTTTTATGAATGCTTAAATTTTGTTTTTCCAATTTGTTTAGTATTTTATTATTGGAAATATATATTAAGCACCTTTTATTACTATAACGCAAATAGAGAATGTTAGTGCACTCTAGGATAGAAAATAACTTGTTCAATGCCAAATCTTGGTGGTCCCATAAACTTAGAATTAAACAAGTTACATTGTATATATATTCACTAAATAATAATTACTCTATATCTTGTTTTCTTTATGTTACAGGACGTAGAAAAGGGAATAATAGAAGAACCGGAGAATAAAAGAAATGATGATTATTATGTTTTAATGTCACAATTAGTGCAAAGATATTTTAGCACCAAAAATTCAGAAAATGATTAGGAAATCGTTAATAATTTAAAAAAGAGTAGAGATCGGTCCACTAATTAGAAAACAATATTAAGCTACAGCATAATATTATTTCTCAGCATGGTATAGTGAATGAATTACAGTCAATTATTTTATAACAAAGCATATATAACTGGAATAAAGAAATGATGAAAAATGTTTTTGTCATTTATAAGTGTTTCCATTATTTGTCCGTGGTACAGACCCCTTTTTATTGAATTATTAACATCCGCCTAAAACTTCATAAATAGTTTCATCTCATCGTAACTTACAACTACTTTATTTACGAAAACTCTTGGAATTGAGGCGTTTATAATCTGAAGGGAGACAAACTTTGTCTATTTAGTTAGGTACTAAAAACTCATAAATACACATTTGCTTTCTACATATATCTTAAAATAATTTGATCCCAAAATCGAGAAAAAGGGTGGAGTTCAAAAATATTGAGACGTTTGGCGTGACCTGCATACACCCCCAAATTTCCAAAATAACTAGGTTATATAGGACAAACAGCCCAATATTTTTGTATGCCACCTTTTTTATCTATTTTGTGATAAAATTATCTTACGATGCAAGTAGAAAGCAAATGTGTATTAACGAGTTTTTAGCACCTAATTAAATAGACAAAGTTTGCCTCCCCTACAGATTGAAAACGCCCCAATTCCAAGAGTTTTCGTAAATAAAATAGTTGTAGGTTACAATGAGATGAAACTATTTACAAAGTTTCAGGCGGATATTAATAATTCGATAAAAAGGGGTCTGTACCACGGACTATTATATGCTTTTCATATAATTCACAATTTTAAACTTGATATTATTATTACCTGTTTCCTATATGTTATCCATAATTTTTTATTTTGTCATTTTTCTAATAACTTTTTACTTTTAATCTATTTAGAAACATTCTGATTTTACAGTGTTATCCTATTTGATCCTGGTCTTTATAGATGGATATTCCTAAATAGAATAGAAGCAAAAAGTTATGTGAAAATGACAACATAAAAATTATAGGTGAAATATGACAATATTTAGGAACAATAAGAAATAAGTATTAATAAGATGAAGTTTAAAATTGTGAATTATATAAAATGTTTAAGATAGATTATTATGAGTGAATATGTGTATTGTAATAATGATAAATGCATTGAAGAATATTCCTGAAGATGTAGGAGAACTCCAAAACGTTTAATATGTAAGCTGAAAGCATTTACACCAGAAGGAAGATTAAATATTTTCGCATACCTTCAAGATATATCTTGGGTTGAAATCTTGAAGTTGGAAACACTGTTCTAACCCAAAAATAGAAAGATAACCCAAAGATAATCAAATGTATGAACTAGGTGCAGATAGATTATGACGGTCGCATCTCCCATCCTGATATAGCTCCGTCCTCACCTTTTTTCATTAACTCTAATTATCTTTGCAAATATGAATCACAAAAATTTAGCACATTTTCATTGTTATGTCATTGAGAAATAAAAATTTAAAATCAGATGGTTGAGAATCAGTGGCGATTAATATAAAAAAGTTACATAGTGAGATTGAAGGGAACTATGTTTGGTAGAGGCTTCTGTAATATTTCTTACAACACAGCCTTGTAAGGAATATCCATACTTGTAAGGAATATTAACAATTAACCTCAAAATATCCGAATTAGAAAAAATATATATGTTTCTATGAAGTTTCCTGTTTCTATGAAGAGTTGAAATGGCTTTATCCTTCCTACCACCGTAAGTATTTCCTGGCATCCTTCCTCTTCCAAGTAATTCACTCCCGCCGTCCTTCATACATCTCCGAGCTCCTTCAATTCAAACCCTCTGTCCACTCCCGCAATACCAGTTCCCGGTCTTCAGGTTTATATATAATGGACAACCGAACCATTGTTTTCGATAAATCTTTTATTATTCGATCCTCAACCCTATGGAACTCCATCCCTCTCCACACCCGTCAATCCAAAACTCTTCCTACCTTTAAATCCCGACTGTTTAATCATTTCTTATCCATCCAGTCCTTATAAAATTGTAAATAGCTACTACTGTAAATATGTATATAAATTATTAGATCATTTTTCATTATTTTTACTTCATGTTTATTTTCAATTTTTTATGTTTTATTATTAACTGATTTAAATTAGAAAGTAACTTATAATTTCTTTTTTTTTTTTTTATTTTGACTATTTAATCAAACTATATTCTTGTTAATGTATCTCTGAGGCTCCTTAGCACACTTCTTTGTCTCTCTGTATTATTCTAAAGGGACTCGTCCCAGAATAAATAAAGCATTATTATTATTATTTTATACAATTTAAAAACAACAACTGATCTAGGTATAAGTGATACGAGATGAAATAAGTAAAGAAAAAAGTAATATCTTCAGGATATTAAAAATGTATATAGTTATATTTCTTTTTGCTATAGCAAATTGCTCATATCGTCAGTCTCATTCTTATTCAATAAGACTCTTTCCAAAGAAAATCCTAATCTCAATATGAACATATTATCATTATACCCTAACTTCTTCATAACTTCAGGACGGACTATCCCACCTTTTCCGACAGAAATCCATGCATCCAGAATTTCATTATAGAGATATATACCGACGGTAGGTGAGGTGTAGGGAAAATATGCCTGTTTAAAATCAGTAAAGCCGATGTTGAGGCGAGAAAACAATGCCGCGCATATTCCTAAAACGTTCGATAGATCTAAATCGACATCGGAAATCATCATTTCAAGAGAGTGATATTCGGGTATGTCGAGGCTGTCAAACTCTCTGTTTTGAAAAACTTTTCCAATAGTAAACAGCTTGGATGGTACTGATTTCAAAATAGAAATTTCGGAAAGTAAACGATTAAAAAGACTACTTCTCAAATAATAGGTTTTCGAACATGCCTCCTCCTCATTAGTATTTTCATTTAAGTGAACGCTATAAACATTATCTGTTTCTTCCAATGCCTTATCAGCATCCTCCTTAGAATATTTTTCTACATAATTTGACACATGTACTTCTTTGAAGCCTAATTCGAAAAGAGCTTCACGAATTGCAGTCCCAAAATTGTAAATAACATGTAGTCCTCCAAATTTTTCCATAAGCCCCATTTTGTTATAATCATAAGAGGAAAGGACCAAATTGTTCCATGAGTCAGAGCCTATCATGTCTGCTGTCAAATCGTCAGCTAAGACTAAATTATCAGCGAACGAGTTACCTTTCGAAACTTCTAAACTGTCTATTTCCCCCTTTTTAATGTAGTTATTTTCTTCGCATTCTTTTAAAAAATTTTCATCTACTGATTTCACATTTTCCTCTTTGACTTTTACTAAGCTGTTAAACAATTTATCGACTTCAAGTATGTTTTGTACATTTTTTTGTTTACTATTTCTTAAGAATTCCTCTCCTTTCTCAGTTAAGCACCAGAACTTTCTTTTCACTTCAGAAATGAGAAATATATGACCAAAGGACTTAAGAGACTTGAGAGAAAGCAAGGCTTCACTATGTTTTTCAAAACCAATATCACTGAAATCCAAAGAAGAAAACGAATTATTTGTTTCAATATAAGTGAAAAGTTTTGAATAAAACTTAGATTCCATGATGTCTAAAATGAAAATATCATATGTAATAATAAATTGAATGAAAAAAAAATGATTAAAAATATAACTGTTTAATTAAAATTTACAATATTTAAAAAAAAAATCATACATTAAAAAACTTTACATGATTCAACAAATAACAACAAATTCATTCCTTCTTTTCTTTGTAAATCCAATCTCAGTATATACCTTTAATTTCTTTCAAGGTATTCATTGCAATACTTAGTATAAAACAATTATTTTTAAAATACAAATTATTTTAAAATTCCATTAAAAGATTGGCTAAGACTTTAGTAAATTGAATTTCCACTCTTGTTTTATACTGACTTCAGGTGGATACTTGAATTTTTCATCTGAAATAAGTAAAAAAAAAAAAACATCAATATAAAATAATAACCAGACATAATATTTTTAAAAATAAAATAATAATAGTTACCTAAAACAGATGCTTCATTTGTTCCAGCTTCCTATACAGTCAAAAACCAAAAAATATTATAAATAAAAAATATTATAAATATTCAGGGAATGGATAGTTCTAAACAACTTATTTATGAGAGGCCAATTCCAAAATGGGATGCTCAATTCTAAAACGAGTCGAGTGCATTTATTTATCTGATTTTAGAAGCAATTAATCAAATTTACTAAATACCAATTTTTTACAATATAAATAACCTTAGAAGTTTCTGAATTTATTTAGCGTCCCGTTCAAATTAATGAGTTTGAAATTATCGAGAGTTGTCTGTATTTGGCTCAAGGTCTTAGACCCTTCAATAAATTTCAAGACTTTTAAGGAGAAAAATTCTCTCAATGTTCAATTAGATCAAACAGAGAAATGGATTCTAGGAATAAATTCCGTAGAAGTGTTGAAATATAAGTCATACGGAACTTGCCATATCAAAGCTCAATTGGATGGAAAGAGTATAGCTTACACTAATCCGTACTACAGACCCCTTTTTAATAAATTATTAACATAATCCGTACTACAGACCCCTTTTTAATAAATTATTAACAAACACCTATAATGTCGTGAATGGCTTCATCTAATCGTAACCTACAAATTTGTTATCAACAAAAATTCTCAGAAATGGAGCATTTTCTCACTAAATCAACTAACTTAATTAGGTAATAAAAACTTATAAATACCCATTTGATTTATAAATAATGTCCCATAAATACCCACTTGAATTGTAAGATAATGTGATAAAAAATCAAGAAAAAAACAGTGACCTACAAAAATATTGGGCCGTTTGGCCTATATAACCTCATTATTTTGACATGTTAGGGGCAAAGTTCACATCAAATGGCCCAATATTTAGGTAGACCATCATTATCTCGATTTTTTTATCAAATTGTTTTTCGATTCAAGTAGAAAGCAATTACGTTCAAGAGTTTTTAGTACCTAATTAAATAGACGGAGTTTGCCAATCTCCAGATTGAAAACGTCTCAATTCTGATAATTTTTGTAAAAATAATTTGGAGGTTACGATGAGATAAAGCTATTCATGATTAGATAGAGATGGGCAAATGCTAGTTACATTACCGAGTACCAAATATTTAACTCAAATTGAATCACTATTGCGAATTCAATCATTACTTCAGTTAATCTTCTGAAACCTACTCAAGTAGTAATAAAATTCTTTGGTACTCAAAAAAGGTCAGTATATGAGTAAAATATTTAGTACTCAGTACTCAGAGTATCATTTCAGAAAAGTTTTTATATAAAAGCTAACCAAAAAAAAAATTGAATTAGATTTATTTTCCTGAAAATTGATGAAAGAAAAGATTTGAGAACGATTTATTTGATAAACTAAAGCAATGTAAACTGGCTTAAGGTAGATCAGTATAAAAAATTTCAATACCCTCTAATATTGCTAATCAAAAACTTATTTTCTTAGCCTAATTTTGTCAAACAATAATTTCTGTTAAAAGTAAAGGAAACAGTGAAGCTTGTATGATGCGGGCAACAGATTTTCTTACTTTCACTTAGGTATCTTTTTTCTCTTATTCATCCCTTTCTAATATCAGGATATGTACCTGTAATCTTACATTGGAAATTGAATAACTGCAACTTCATTAATAGTTGTCCGCAATGGACGATTTTTATATAGTTTTGTAGGGAATTTCATTACCTTTAAAAAAAAACACAAAAAAAAACGGTATTTTTTTTTTTTTGGACTCAGAGGGCTCTGAAATGTATAAAACCGTTAGACAGACAGATAGACAGACCAATGGCTAAAAATGTGTTTTTCGGACTAAGGGGACTCTGAAACGTATAGAACCATCGAGAACCACATATCGGTAATTTGACCTGATCACAATACTTTTCTGAACTAGTATAGGTAAGAAAGTAAAAAGGGATCTGTACCACAGACTATATCCTAAGCAAAACAATTACTTACACTTCAATAATAAAAATTCAGAAACAACTGAAGCATTTGGAAACAGAAATTTCTAGTTTCTTTTCATTTAAATGTTATGAAATATTTTGCAGGAAAAACAACAACTAGCCAAAAACTCAAGTATACCACTATTAATAGAAATGAGAGTGAGTTAGACCATGCCTTTATAGTAACTATTCTGTTGGAAATTGCTGGTATTTTTTTTCTGTTGTGGGTTAATGAAAAAAAAAAAAGTGTGTAGTGTCATATTATCTTGTTAGTATTTAATTTTTAAAGATAAAATAATTTTATGACATACTTTAAATGTATATTTGCGATTCCAAAAAGTTTTTATGTCTACATTAGAAATATTGATTATGAGGAAACGATTGTCACTCAGTAGATTTTGAAACTAAAACTAATTTTGTCCTTTAAATCCAACTAGTTTTTCATATTTTCTGGTTTTAAAAATCCTAATAAAAATAGTTGTCGCTAAATCATTTCCAACTTCTACCTATGATCTCAAGTTTGAAAAATTGGAATTGAGTAATTGATGACTTTCTTATAAACGCAGTTAAATCGCTTGTATGGAAAAAATATTTCACCCTGATAATATTGTAACAAAAGTACTAATTTTAAAAAAATGTGAAAGGGACTTGGCTGGTTCTGAAATTGAACACCTTATTTTGGAATAGGTAGTTTATCTACATAAACAGATAAATTATCAATAATAATAATAATAAACTAAGCATCCATACAATGTACTCAATTGTATAGCCACATTCACGCACACAAAATAGAAAGCATGGAATAATCAAGAAAATATACAATCACATTACCTTGGGCCAAATGATGTTTTTGGATTTATCTATTATAGATAGCCATTCGTCGAGAGCTGACTGAAGTTTCCCAGCTAGTTCATCTTCTTGGAAAACCAGCAATGAAGAACACGCCGAGTGAACTTCACCTGTTTTATAAACAAAGTTTAATTTCATTCAGCTAAAACTAAAATCTAAAAAGATCAGTAGAAATTCGAATGGTCTGTTCATATGTTTGTAGTGCCCAAAACAAAAGAGTTAATTTATGTGGCAGTGAATGTGCATTAAGGCAGTGTAAAGAGAGAGAGAGAGAGAGAGAGAGTCAGATGTTTTTAGGAGATTGAAGGGAACAGTGGTTGGAAAAGGTGAAGAGACCTACGTACTTTGGAGGATACGTTAGTTCTCTCTTTTCTCTCTCTCTCTCTATCTCTGTAACTGCTGGAAGAAGCGGACTTACATGGATGAAGTCTTTGGTATATTTTGTATGTTATTCAGATGTATATTAGTTAGTAAATTTTATATTAGCTTTAGGTTAGTCCGTAAGTTCTTATTGTTTAGTTATAAATAGTTAAGTTTAGATTACTCCTTAGATTAAGTTTTATTGATTATCTATAGTCTATTGTTTATTTTGAAATTTCATAGGGCTTTTTATAGTCTGTTCGTCTAAATTGTATATATCAATAATAAATGTTTTGATTTTGATTATTAATTAATAAAACATATGTTAGGTTGATAAAGTGGATAAGTGCGGTTTTCACATGGTTGTTTATTTAAGCTCGCGTATATGGACATTAAGACGACCATTATTACATGTTCATAGTATCTTGAATCTTTCATTTTATTTCCCTTTTTCCCAAGAGACAAGTTATTGAACTCTTTAGTGTTATTCCTGATGCCTAACCATCACCCATCCCGATAATATATACATCTAGTGTGCATAGATCTAAATTTGTATTTAGATGTTATGATTGGCAAATAGCTAAAGCCTTGTATAAAAGAAAAGGTGTTATGAAATTTCAAACCTGTTATAGTATTATTACAGTGATTCAACCTGTTATAAAAGTGATTAAATTATTAATTAAAATAGAATTTTAAGATAAAATACATACCAACATATTTTTCCGTCGAAGAAATAATGCTACTTAATGTAGCAACGAGAGCTTCTTCTTCTCTTGGGTTTCCTTCTTTTAAGCTCCACATTTTTCTACTCATCTTTTTTGTGTTTTTGCTAGACCTTGATCTAATAATGGACAGGATAAACTAATTAGAAAAAATAAGTTATGTATTTCAAAATTAAACTAAAACATATTAACAAAAGTTTGTATTTCAAATTTATATCTTAACTGGTTCGTAAATTTAATATTTTTTTACTGAAATATTCACATGTAGAGTGAGAGATATTCTTAAAGCATCTTAATTTATATAAGTATATAGAACAGATACAAAACTTTAAAAGCAAAAACTTGATTTAAAATTAAAACAGCCATCCATTGGAGTCACCTTCAACCAATACCTGTCCTGGAATAACCATTTAACTGAGAAATATTGGTACAGAGCATATGATGAATATTTATCTAAAATTTCTAATTGATGTTCCAAGACCTACTGTTTAGGGAACATGGCAAATTTTCCATTAAATTTAAATTAAATTAAGAAAAATAACACAGCTGCGATCGCAAGCATACTGACTATATAAGATGTTATTGTGACTCCGCCATTACTGAAGCGTAGAGGCTCATGTAGCGTAAGAGATTCACTAGACTGACCAGTTAAAAATTCGTAATTCCACTGATTTGCTGAACATGGAGTAAAAAACTACAGCGGCCGGCAAGGGGCCAAGAAAGGAAGAGAGAAGATGAACAAGAAGACTCGGAAATAGAAGAAAAGAAAAAATGTATCCTAACCCACCTATATTTAAAGACTGTATAAAATTCTAGGGAGAAATACTTTATTAAAAGTAATACTGCCTTACTACATAGGGTTGCTTCGTACACAGCATACTTATCAATCCATGCAGACATTAATTTTATATTATAACATTTTTTCTATTTTCAATATATATATATGTGACATATCCTTCCTTTCTCTTTTTTTCTCCCCTTTCATAACAATACTCTTACCAATCATTAACAATAAACCACATTAAACAATAGACATAGCATAATAAACATTTCCCCCAGATCAATATAACAAAAAAAAAAAAAACTTCATTTTCCTTTTAAATTCTCAAACGCCAGGATCTCAATACAACATCGCACACATATATAACACATCAATTCCTCAAATGTAGACAAAAAGATAAGATGATTATTGACTAAATAAAATAAAGCAATCAATTTTACATCTTCACTTTTTTTGTCCATTAACTTCTTTAACTTTACAGTCCACAGCAATAAATTATTACCAGCTATTAAAGCAGAATTATTATGTCAATATCCCTGACAGCCGTGGAAGGGATTGGCATATTAAATTTAACACCTACCCATATCTCTTGCTAATATACTCAATTTTAAGGGGCTTTATCCTTCACTCCAATGTTAATATTTCCTTGTAATTGGTAATTGGTTGATTGTCGTGGATATTGAAGAGAAGAATAGTTGGGGTGGTCAGTCAAAAAGGAAGGCAAAAATAAATGATAATATTTATTTTTTACATATGCCGACGTTTCGACCTGAAGTTCAGGCCTTCATCAGGGCTAAGAAAATAACCAGATAACAAGGTATGAGAAACATAAGTAATGATGGTAAAAAAAAATAATAAAATTAAATAAATAGATATAAAGTAAAATGAAATTGTTAGAATAATGACTAAGAATTAAGAGATAAATAATAATAACCGTTACAAAGTGTGGAATGATGAAGTAGGCATAATCTACTTTATGTACTTCTTTTATTTCTTTCTTATTTCAGCTTTCTCAATTTCTTCCCTCCTTCCTTTCATTCCTTTTCTCTGTTTTTAACTCTTTATTATATTATACATTGTCTGTACATCTTGATAGACTTTACAATATCTCAATTTTTAACTAATCCATTCTCAATGTTTTAATTTTACTATTTATTTTCATTACTTATATAACTTCATATTTCTTTTTTATGTCTTACATTTTATTCTAAGATTCCCATTGTAACACTTTTGTCACCCTTTTTGATTATGCCTACTTCATCATTCCACACTTTGTAACGGTTTTTATTATTTATCTCTTAGTTCTTAGTCAATATTCTAACAATTTCATTTTACTTTATATTTATGTATTTTATTTTTCTAATTTTTTTATTTTTTATTATCTTTTTTACCATCATTACTTATGTTTCTCATACCTTGTTATCTGGTTATTTTCTTAGCCCTGATGAAGGCCTGAACTTCAGGTCGAAACGTCGGCATATGTAAAAAATAAATATTATCATTTATTTTTGACTTCCTTTTTGACTGACCACCCCAACTATTCTTCTCTTTAATATTTCCTTGATTTGATTATTACCTTTCCCAAACTATAAAAAACAATAAACCTTCATATATTCCTAAACTCTTTACGCTACATTCCTCCAACCATTCGCCATTTTTTTTTTTTTTTTTTTGCCTTTTCTGTTGGTTATACTTTATTGGACTAAACCTACTACCTTTTTGTCTGCAGAAATTTGAAAAATCTTTTTGATCATATGAAATAGTCCAAGTTTATCTTTATGATTGCACGAGTGGATTGTGGGCAAGACGCTTAAACTATTGCCATCTGCAAAGCAGGTACAGAAGGAAGGGGAGGGCTATACCACTCAGGTAATGGACTTACCTACAAACTGTGCACGGCCCAAGTTTACCAGCAATATTCTGAGTAGGCAATATTAAATTTTTTCTGCACTAGATTGACTCTATTTGTTTTTAATTCATACTTCATGGAGTATGAATTGAATCAATTATTTCTCCACCTCCTTTTATATGAATCCTCCAATGAAATTTAAAGTTAAAATGATACTTTATAACTAAGCGCATAAGAATTAGCTACACAATACGCATTTATTTATTTTAATTCTTCCTGTTCTTAGGAGATTTGTTGCAAGGAAAAAGATTATTTTTCGAGTTCAGTCCATAAGAGGTATAGATAAATCGGTTCATATTAAAACGACATAGATACTATAAATTAATAAATAAATAAATATATATGGATCTATTGCAATTTACTCACTGAAAAGATTTAGTTCGAACAGATGATGTGCTGCTAGTTTCAGAAGCGGTATCACTCATGTCATCTAAAATACGAAACATATATAGTTACGTTAAGTCTAGTTCACTATTACATGAATAAAAATATTTTTAGGATATAATTGGAAAACCCGAAATTCAAACTAATCTATCGATGTTTCACCAATTCAGGCATCGCCAGGGTAACAACTTACATTAGCTAAATGCAGATCATATATAACACACCTCTCATCAACCAAAAATTCCAATTATATCCTAAAAGTTAATTTATCTCTCTTTTTGTATTATTTTATTCATTATAAAAAGAAAACATTGTTTATAAATATTAAAAAAATTGTAATCGAAAAAAAGATAAAATTATTACATTTAAAAAATTAGTACACCAAATTAATAAAGAATAAAAATAAACGAAGAGAAGAATAGTTGGGGTGGTCAGTCAAAAAGGAAGGCAAAAATAAATGATAATATTTATTTTTTACATATGCCGACGTTTCGACCTGAAGTTCAGTCTTTCATCAAGGCTAAGAAAATAACCAGATAACAAGGTATGAGAAACATAAGAAGTGATGGTAAAAAAAATATAACAAAAATAAAAAAATTAGAAAAATAAAATAAATAAATATAAAGTAAAATGAAATTGTTAGAATAATGACTAAGAACTAAGAGATAAATAATAATAACCGTTGCAAAGTGTAGAATGATGAAGTAGGCATAATCAAAACAGGTGACATAAGTGTTACAATGGGAATCTTAGAATAAAATGTAAAACATAAAAAAGAAATATGAAGTTATATAAGAAATGAAAATTAATACATTGTCTGTACATCTTGATAGACTTTACAATATCTCAATTTTCTATCTAACTACTCCATTCTCAATGTTTTAATTTTACTATTTATTTTCATTTCTTATATAACTTCATATTTCTTTTTTATGTTTTACATTTTTATTTTTGTTATATTTTTTTTACCATCACTACTTATGTTTCTTGTACCTTGTTATCTGGTTATTTTCTTAGCCCTGATGAAGACCTGAACTTCAGGTCGAAACGTCGGCATATGTAAAAAATAAATATTATCATTTATTTTTGCCTTCCTTTTTGACTGACCACCCCAACTATTCTTCTCTTCATTATCCACGACAGTCAACCAATTACCAATTAATAAAAATAAACTATGAGTAAACATACCAAAGATGTAAGCAGTACGATTCTCTTTTTCAATCCTAACAGTTTTCAACCTTTCTACATATTTCTTAGTTTTATCTGACTGAGTATTAATATCTTCTGATAGGATGTTAGCAGTTTCGATGAGAGCATCTTTGATAATCGTATCTATATAACAAAAACACTTTAAATTAGAAAATGTTACGGAGGTGCATTTAGAAGTGAAAAAATGTTATTAGTATGACGTGGATTGAGTTTTTTGATAAATACTATGAAATCACATATACAATTACGAAATCACATATACAATTACAAAATATACATAATATTGAAAATCTTTTAATGAATTTTTTATTTCATTTAATAAACAGAAGAATAAGTTAAATTCCAAGGCAGCTAAAGTTTAAAATATTATTTGCAACCAAATAATATTAATCTAAGAATCATCAAACCTACTTTTCTCTATGTAGTTTAGAAAAATAAACAAATCTTCAATGATTATCAATATAAAACTTTTAATGCATATATTAATTTAAAAAATGATATAAATTTAAAGGACATATAATTAGGTAATAATATTTTTCCTGTAATATAATATAATTGAAAGTATTTTTTTTAAAGCAAAGCGACAAAAGGTTTTAAGGATGTTCATAGGGTCGGTAGCCAATAAAGATTAACAGCAATTGATTTCGAATATAACTAATTTTTTGTAAAAAAAAAATTAAAATCCATGCCATTACAACTAATGAAGGATATTGGATATTTAATAAACAGAAAAATAAGTTGAATTCCAAGGCAGCTAAAGTTTAAAATATTAATTGGAACCAAATAATATTAATCTGAGAATCACCAAACCTACTTTTCTCTATGTAGTTTAGAAAATAAACAATTCTTTAATGATTATCAATATAAAACTTTTAATACATATATTAATTTTAAAAATGATTTAAATTTAAAGGACATATAATTAGGTAATAATATTTTTCCAGTAATATAATATAATTGAAAATATTTTTTTAAGCAAAGCGACAAAAGGTTTTAAGGATGTTCATAGGGTCAGTAGCCAATAAAGATTAACGGAACTTGATTTCGAATATAATGCAACTAATTTTTTGTAACAAAAAAACATTAAAATCCATGCCATTACAACTAATGAAGGATATTGGGCTCAGTGCTAAGTAAGTACTTTTTCTTGATCAACGATTGAGCCAGGAGTTGATTTGACTGATATCACATTTAACCACCAGGTATTCCCCTTGATCTCCCTAAGAAATGTTCTATAGAAATCTTGAGACCGAGATAAAAACATGTACTTAGCTTTCCTTACTTAGCATGGCAAGGGGAGTCAAACAAGGAGATAGTTTGAGCCCGTTACTATTTATAATTTATATGGATGACGTGGCAGCCATCTGTAAAATAAAAACAGAAAGGAAGTTCATGGGGAGAAGAAATCTATGTCCGATGGTGATGCAGCTGCTGCTATATGCCAATGTTTTTGTTGTCGCTGATTCCGCTGAAAAGTTTCAGCAGGCGATGACTGAATGGTATGAGAAACTCTACCAGAAAGGAATGCAGCAAAAGTAAGATACTACAAGTAGGAAGGCAAAATGGAAATATGCATGTACACTGCAATGGAGAGCAATTAGAAGTGGTCTCAGACTTTACCTACCTAGGAACTGTCATAGAAAGATCAGGGAAAGTGGATTTAGAAATATTTCATAGAATAAGCAAAGCAAATGCAGTCTACTACCAGATTTGCAAAACCGTTGTAGGAAAGCGAGAGATAGACAAGAATGACAAGCTCCATATATTTAAATCTGTGAACATGCCAATACTTCTATACGGAGCTGAAAGCTGGATATTGACAGGCATGCAAGAGAGCAGATTAACTGCTGCTGAAATGAAGTATCTGCGAAGAACAGTCAGTAAAAAGTAGGAGGGACCTGATTCGTAACGAAAGTATACACCAGGAGCTTGGGGTCGCCTCATTGAAGGAGGCACTGCAAATCCGCCAATTGAAATGGTTTGGCCATGTGATTAGGATGGAGGAACATAGGTACCCTTTGAAGACAATGGACTACGCTCCGGATGGTATAAGACCTCGAGGACACCCAAGAATGTCATATTTGTAGTACATCGATAGACTTTGTAAAGGAAGAGGCAAAGATATCCATCTAGCCAGGAACCTGGCAAAGAACAGAGAAGAGTGGAGTTCGTAGCTGCTAATCTCCTAATGCTGAGAGGCACGAAAGAGAGAAGCTAAAGAAGAACAAGAAGTATTCCCCTTGACAATTATTTAATTAATAACTCCCTGTTTAGTTACGTGTTTATTAAGTGAACCCCAGAAGTGTCTCCTAATTCCAGGTTCAATACATGGCTGGTATAACAGTAGTAATGTAGTTTTTCTTTGCTCCATGGTGCCTTTTTTTTTCAAAACTATGACTACTATTGATTGGTGGCACCCTATTCTCGTTACTGCTTCCCGTGAAAATTCCTTTACTTCATGTAATGTTACAATTTTAATATTTTTTGGCAAGAACAGTTTTTGATGAAGGCATATTTATAGCTTTTATCCTGACATTAGTTAAAACTGAACTGAGAAACATTGTTAAAGTTTTCTTGTAACCTTAATAAGTAAAGATAAACAAAAATATTCAATGGAATCGGTGTTATCAACATAAGAATCAAAAGAAATAGTTGATGCCATTTCTATGACCGCGACTGCATATATAAATTTTTTTTCTAATGTATATAAAAACAGTATAAGTACCATTATCCACAAATAGTATGTGTATATTAGTCTTAGTAGTAGTTATGTTCCTAACATTCACGTAATTAAAATTTTATTTTTTGATTTGATACACGATACATAATTGCACATTCAAATAAAACATAAAATTGAAATGGTTACAATTTCATTTACACCTTTCTAAGATCGAAATATTGCCTATCAAAATCAGCAATACAGAATCAGATAGTATAACTTATTACACACAACTCGATTCAAACCCGGGACCAGACTTTAGGAGTACCTTTCTCAACAAACTACACCGCTTCCATAGTATTTTAATATAGCTTAGAAAGCAGAAAATAAATGAGGGAATAGACAAACAACCTTGGTCATTCATAGAGTAAAACCTTCACATTTTTGTTTCAGTATCTGTGAATGTGTCTAAATAAATAAAAATTCAATAACTTTAAACTTTACCAATCAAACTGGACTTTCCAAACTTCTTTGCAGTATAGATGGCTTCTTTCCAACATCTTGCTTGAGTATACATTTCTACAGCTTTATCATGATCCAACAACCATTCTGAGGACAGTATTGCAGCTTCTGAATATTTATGCGCGGATATTAACATATTACAAACATTTTCAGCATGTTTTTGCTGCTCTTCATTACTGAAAGTCAAATTAAAATTTAATGAGAATAAAATTATGAAATATTATAAATGATTTATTCAGAAGGAAAAAAATAATGTGCTGCATGAAATAGATAAGAAAGAATTTTACTAAAACATGAAATGAGCAGAAACTAAACTCTAATCCTTACATTAAATGTTTTTAATTTCTCAGATAAAATATATGAGAATAGTTCCAAAAAAAAAAAAATAACAAACAACAAAAAAACAAGGAAACATAAATCATAATAACTAAGTAGATAATTTCGTAACAACTATATAAAAAATCATCACCTAATTTTTTATCACCCCACTTTGAATCAAAATTAATTTTTGCTCAAATAGAGCGAGTTAACATTTAATAAATAAAATCTAACTTCATGTTTTTCAAACCTGTACACTCTGCTAACCTTAAATATCTTTAGCTTTCCAATGATAAATTATATATCTACATTACTACTCTAATTTCTATAAATTTGTTTTCAGCCTGAAAGAAAATTTTTGCATTTTTCTCATTTTGTTAATTATCAAATTCTTTCAAAGTTTATATTTGGCCCTTTTTTTTTATTGCTACTAACAAAGAAAGATGTTTTGTTATTTCAAATAAATAAAATTTAAGATAATTAAGAGGAACCCATTTTGAAAATACAGCATTTAAGTCGTGTACAACTTTTTCAATTAGAATAAGACTAAGCTTAAATTAAATACCATTTAACTATAGATTGGTGTAACCAGTTAACTCATAATCTTAAAAGTCATTTCACAGAAAACAATTAACTTTAAAATTGATGAAATAAAGCATTAATTGAGATAATTTTGGAGAAAAAGTTGCTGTAACATCTCAGGCATATAATTACCTAAAAAACTTAAGATAGTTACATTTTTGAGGAGCTAGGGTGTTACACATATGAATACACAAGCACACACAGAGACAATTTTCCGAAACATGTTAATTTAAAAAGGTAGTAATGTGGTTGAGAAAAGCAAAACTATGATTACAAGGGAAAATGTAAAAAATGTAGCCATTGATTTTTTTTCCTAAGTATATTAATAATTATCTTTATAAGAAATACTTAATTGAAAAATAACAAGTTTAATATTTTTACCTAAAATTTGAATCCATAACAATGATCATGCATTGCCTCCAATTACCAGCTCTTGTAAATGATTGAAGGGCTTTTTCTTTATCATCGCTGCGTAAATACATAATACCAGACTCCTCGTAATGTCTCTCCTTGAATAAATATGCGGCATACTTTGATGCGATAACTGAAGATCTGAAGCACAAATTTAAAAATTATTCATGTTTTAATTAATAATATTATAATATGTCTACTGTCACGCCATAAATACGAGATAAATAAAGAAAAAGTCTTTAAGACAACAATAAAAATAATTAATAACTAGATTACAAACCTTTTTAAATCATTTTTAAATATCTTCAAAGCAGATGGGTACAATGAATTATCTTCTATAAATTTTAGACATTCTTCTTCACACTCATCACAACATTTACTTATGTGCATCAAAGCAGACTCGTATCTCTTCAATTTTTTATCTATTACAAATCTCATGTAATTAGGTTCCATAGATTTCAACGAATTTAAGTAAGGGATATATTCTTTTGGATCTTTCTGTGACTTTCCTACAAAATGTGATAAAAAAAAAAATACATTTATATAAATAAATAAATAAAAAGTATTTAAATATAAAATGATGGATTAATAATAGCAAATTCTTAAGTGGGACAGATAAGTACATTACCAAACAACCCAATTTATTATGTTATTAAATTAAAAGGAATATAAAAATATACTGATAGATTGAATTTATTAATAAATAATGTATATTATATTAATTATGGGAGCGGAGTAACTCAGTGAGTTGGGGGACTGCTAAGCACAACGTCCCAGGTTCGAATCCAGTAAACATCAACTAATTGTTCATCAGCCATAGATCGATTGGCCCTATGATCGGGAGACCTTTCTAGGACACACTTAGCCTCTATAAAGTGGATATTCTTAATTAAATAATTAATTAAGGAGGAAAACCTGGTAGATGAGCATGATCCTGGACTGATCAATTCCTTACACATTGTTGGTCTTGAAACAGTACTTTCTAATGAAGTACAGAACCAAAAAGAAACCTTCATAAGTTGCAGTGGTAGATTTAAAAAAAAAAATCAATAATGATAATCATTATGTATAATTTATTTATAAAAATGAGGGAATGGTTAAAGGGAGTTATTAAAAGTGTGTTAATGATGTCACATATTGACTGACGAAAAGGTTACAAAGTTTTGGTCAATGCATGCATTTTTTCCTTTTGTTATGATCCTACTTTCAAATTGGTCTAGAAGATTATAATTTATGCCATTTGATATATTTTAAGATCTTTTTAGTACCACAAAAACTTGAAGTTATCAGTAATTTTCTGGGAACTTGATTATTGGAAAAATTATGATCTGGTATTTAATAGTATTTAGGGATACTAAATATAAATATAAAAATCCCCGTAGCACCACAACCTATGGGGGAGAATTAGGTTCAGTACTTTTTAAGGGATAAATATACTTTCTTTATACTTAAACAATTTTTTTTTTGTCCTTTACTTGAAGTCCTATATATTTTTAAGTATTTTCAGAGCCCTCAAATCAGAGCTCATCCAAATATCTTTAACATATTCATATTTTTTTATTGTACATAAAAATACAAAAAATAAAATGTATGTTTTTAGTAGATGCAGAATAATAAAAACTAAAAAATGTGAAGAAAAAAATCAAACCCTATATTATACTAGAACAAATATTCAATATAAAATCACAAAAAAAAAAAAATGGTTAAAATCAGTGATCTCTTCTCTTTTTGGACACATTAATGTTTTCATAATTAAAATACGAATCGTTCTCAGTACAACAAATTATTTAAATATTCAATACAAATTAACTTATTCCTATATGTAAAAATAATAAAAATTAAAGAAAAATAATCTTACCAGCAATTTTCAAGGCAGCATTCAAATCATAAACACCCAATGCTTCCATATACAATTTATTGGAATCGACAATGAACATTAAATGTTGCATTGCGACTTCGTTGCTGGCTAACTGAATCGCTTTACTCATTTCACCAATTTTAACTAAAGCACTCAAGATCGGAAAAATGTATTTCTTCCTTAAATCCTCAGTTGACATAACAGATAAGAGAGCTTCGCAGACGGACTTGACTTTAGAACCGTTGAGGAAGGAAGTATCCTACAGAGAAGGATTAGTATGAAAGATAGTCAGGATATGTACTCAATAATTATGTTAACCAAGTTTGCCGACGTTTTGGCCCAAACGTGTGGGGCATCGTCACGGCTAATAATTAAAAAAAATACAAAATTATATCAGAAAAATGGTAATTATAAAAGAATGTAAATAGGATATGAAAAAAGTGTTATGTACTGTGCATTATATGACACAAAAATCACAATATTTATTTAGATGTAGATTTAAATAAAAATAATTGTGGACTGATGGCTGACTGTAGTGAATGATTGAGGAGAAGATCAGCAAACAAAAAATAAATAAGTATATTTATTTTTACTTTTTTTTTTTACTGATCACCCCGATTAATCTTCTTTAGAATTAAATAAAAATAATTGTACCCAGTAATTAATTTAACTACCTAATTAATTTTAATAATATCGATAAAAATTTTAACATCCTTAATAATCATAAAGGGCACTACAAACCTTTTTCTTGTAGTATTGCTTATATAAATTTGCAGTGACATCTTCACCAGACAACTCAGTGACTAGTAGAGTGATCCACTGAGGGTCAATTTGGTTTACAAAATTGTTAACTTCGTCTAAGAAAAGTTTTTGATTATGGTCAATGATGAGATTAAGGTCTAATCTCTGCTTCCTCATTAGAGATAATGCAGTTTTAAACTGCTTTGAATCGATCAGCGTGCCAAGAGTAAGAATAGTAAGAGCACGAGGTTGTATGGTTTCAAGGTTCCCTCTGGGAGCCTGCAGAACAACAGAATTATCAAAAGTAGTGACAAGCCTGGAGCCTCTTTCCAACTTCCGTTCAGATATTTCGACATTCTGAAAAAAATAAAAAACATAAAATATTTTCAACTAGCATTCGTATTTTTTGAAAGTAAAATATAAATCATAAATTGCCTCTTACCTCCGAATCACTACACTGTAAAATCACTAATTTGTGTGATGATGTAGTCACTAATAAGTAAGGGTCTTTCAAAATGAACGAGGTAACCTTGCAAGTTATCGAAGGGAAGTTAATAGGGACGTTGTTTAAGTATAATCTAGACAACTCTGACAAACAGAAAAGACCAGAAGAATGCACTTTGATGTCATAACATGGTTCAATAAGAGATAAAGTCTCGGTGACGACAAGAGACTTAGTATTATAACTGAATAACTTCCCGTCGGTTGTTTGAATAACAAGTTTTTCTGCTCTTCTGTTGCATGTTATAATGTTTCCTTGAAATTTTGTAACATTTCTGAAACAAAACCAAAATATTTTTTTTTTTTAAATGTAATGTAATGTAAATATTAAAAATTTCATTGAGAAACTTAATTCAATAAAACTTTTCTTAAGATGAAGTAAGGTAAGGTGCAATTGAACAATATCATGAAGAAAAATATTTAAACACTCTCCAATGAAAACACTCTCTGCCAAAATTAATCTAATACATCAACTAAAGAAAAAGTCAAGAATTTTGAAAAATGATATCTCGCTCAATTCAAATAGAAATAAATAAGAGAAATGAAATGAGTAAGAATTAAATGTATTACTCATTGTTTATTCTTTAATTTAATTTGTTATAAATATATACTTCTTGATGGATTTTTCTTATTTCTCAAGGACAATTATTTCAATGAATTTTTCCTTTAAAAATAAGGAGAAAATATACCTTAAATTTAGGTAATAGTAAATATTGTATTTTATATATGTAACAAATATAAAGTAATAAACAATAAAATACCTCAATTCTAGACCATCTTGGGAGATTGACAATTGATGAATATGAGTTTCTCTTTTGACGGAAGAACAAAAAACTAAAATGTCAGGGCTAACCCATTCCCAATGAGACAGCGAAATCATCTCTTCAGAGATATTGTGCTTTTGAACCAAATCTGTAAGCATTAATTATATCTGTAAATGTGCTGTTAACAGTCTAGAAAATTACAGGCAAGCTAAATATAAACTAATAAAAATTTCAACTTAGTTTATCAATCATAGAAAAATAATTGTTAAAATCCTACCAGATAAAATTGTAGGACTTGATAGAGGGTCTTTGAAAAATGCAACATCGCCATTAAATAGAATCGCACACAGCATATGAGGTTGGTCCCTGAAAAATATTTTAAAAAATTTTGTTTAAAAATATTATTCCATAATATATATACCTTTTCCTAATAACTAAAAACTCTAATTACTTTTCGTGTTTTCTTTTTTTTTAAGTGTTGATTTTAATTTAATAAAGATAAGTATCTTATAAATTTTTTAATTAAAATTTTAAAAACAATTTCATGCCATTATCTTCATATTACATATTTTTTCCAATTTAATTTTAAGGCTTTTAGATACATTAAAAAAGTAAATTTGTTTCAAATGATCCTGATTTTCTTTATTGACATTCATGTTTTTAATCCCTCTTCTCTTTCCTTCTTACTTCTTACTATTATATGCGATATTACTTGTGATTTCAATATCATTTAGTTTTACGTAATTGTAAGATGAGTTTCCTTTGTAACAACAATACTTTTTTTTTCTCGAACTTGCGAATTTCTGGTCTATAACTAGCATTGAAAACTGGTGATTAAATTTTTTTTTAAATTCTCATCACAAAGCTCTCACCTATCATAAAGTAACTACACCTTATGGAATTTCTATACCTAGTTAAGTTTTATAATATTTCCTTCATGTATTTTATTTTATCTCCACTATGTTTAAATATTCTTTTATGTTGTATTCATAGCACTAAAGAAGACCTTAAACTTGGTTTGAAAAAAAAAATTTAATAGTAGATTTATTTTTGACTGCAGTACCATTTACTGCCTAAATTACTCCCTAGTTAAGATACAACAATTTATATTAATATAAAGGTTTTGATATGTTCAATTTAATAGAGAGAATTGGACTTTTCTCTAGATGCTCTCTTCTGTATTATGCAATTCAAAAATTAAATTTTTGATTAATCTATTAATATAATTGTAATTTTTTTTTAGTTGGATTAAATGTAGTGTAAAATTACGTTTAAGGCAAAACTAAAATACATTAATTTGAAACCTGTCATATTTTAAAGGTAATTTAATTTGATTTTAGCTTAGTCATAACAAGTGTAATGTGGATTGGTTACCTCCTACTAAATGTCATAAAATTGATGAGAGCTTAGAAGAAAAAAATTATGTTATCGAAAAATTACAACCTATAGTCCATCAATGAGTATTTAAATACTTAAAATATAATGAACAAAGCCTGGAGGTGAAGTAAATCAATAAATCATTGCTCAAACTGTGGATTTATTGAATATCCTCTATCCAATGCTTAAGATGGCTTGTCTGCAAATTTTGCTATTTTTGGAATTGTGATTTTCTGTTAAATCATTTTTTTAATAACATGAAATAACAATAACAGCACTACCGAGGCTTAAACTGAGTTTAACAACATAAAACCAATTTAAATAATAAATTAGCAACCTTAAATCGGCAACCATAATTTTAAACCAAGGTTTTTTCATTTCGACACAATTTCAGATATGCCACTTAGGCATTAAATCAATGATATTTAATTTTTATTCTTATTTAATTCACATAAGTTACCCATCAAGTGGAGCGAACATCACATGATTCACTGCATCAGAACAATTCAGTTTGTACGAAGACATTGGTGGAGGTATCACTGCTTCTTTGAATGATGTCAGCAAAATAGAATCTATAATACAAAAAATTCATTCCATCACACTTGAAACGATTTTGCTTAATGAAAAGATTAAATTATTGCTGTATTCTTAAACAAAATATTGACAAAATTGCCATTAACATGATGGGAAGTTAAAAAATTAATATATACCACAATAGTAATAGTACTTACTATTATCGATAACGCTAACATATGATTTATCCTCAGACTGCGAATGATAACTAGTACTGACCAAAGACGTCCATTCTAATATTTGTAAAATCCCTCCTTCACACAGAGCATAAATTCTGTTTGGCCGTTCTTTATCCCACCAAACATTACGCTGCAAATTATTAAAAAATTCTATACCAATCAAAGCATAAACAGTGACAAGGAAAATATAAACAGATACTTACAGTTAAGGATACAAATTTGAACTTCTGTTTTATATACCAGTGATAATTCCCAGTGACCCATAACATAACTTCTTCAGCATGGTTTTGTTGATTTTCACAAATTGTGCAAAGAATATTTGATCCTTCATTCCAAGAGATATGTTTTACCTAAAAATGGATAAATCATCGGTAACTGTGTAATCAATGTAGGATTTCAAAAGACGCCATGAGAAAAGAGCAACATAGAACAATACCCATTGCAATTAATAATTTATCTTTAAGAGAAAGCAGCAAGAACATAATTCAATGAGCTCTCCAATAAATACATTTTGATTATTTCATACTTAGAATCTGACAGCACCAAAAAAAAATTAAAAGAATATATAAGCAATATACTTTTGTGTCGGCTGGTAAAGTGAAGTCGCCATGTTTGAGACCATTTTTTTCCAGAAAAGAAACAACTTTTTTGTTCGGTAACTGCTGAGGAAGAGCTATCAAATTTCCACTTGGTCTCCAACAGATAGGTTCATTTAAACCTTAAAAAAAAGGGGGGGGAATAATGCATAAAATATTCTTCATTATAAATATATAAAAACAAAAATTAAAATATGAACAACATTTTTACAATATTAGTATTATTTTTTATAAACAATATACACTTGAAATTTCAGTAAATGTCTTTTTAAATGAAATATCTCACATACGTACCTCTGCTAGAAAAATGAGTATAAAGAGGAAAGTTCATTTATGGAAGCAATTTAGTTTAATTCATATAGTTGTTTGTTTTAAAAATGTAACTAAATCTAACCATTCAAAAGATGTATTTCGCTATCTCCAACAATAAAAACAGTGTGATCATCAGATTTGGTACCCATCCAACATGTTGGAGAGACACATTTCCTATGTCCAGTCAAAATTCTTTTGCACTAGCATTTTGAAAAAACTTCATTAATAGGAGGCCTAATGGCTTACAAGATATGATCAGGTGAATTATCTATTAGTTGGTTTATTTCTGCAGCTATGATGAAATGAAATTTTTTTATGATTAGTGTGTATTAAAATTACCGCTATAAATAAAATATCATTAAATTAAATTAACTGTTCAGACCGGAATCTTAAAAAGTACGAAGGAAGTCAACATGTTAGTAGTTTAAATTTATATTATCATACAACTATTATAGTATATCAATTGCATTTTATTTATACAAGTAAAAGAATTCATTTAATAATAACAAAAATATATTTACTATTGTACATTAACATATAATTCTATTTTTCAGCTATCCAATGTTACAAGTCATAATATTACACCATAATTACAAAATAATAAAATAAAATAAAGACAACATACCAGAGATATCTTCGCTTGTGCTTAGTAAAACTCCATCCATGTTAAAAATTTTAACTTTCCTCATATTTTTTTCCGAGCACCAGTAACTAGCAGCAAACATATTACTGTCCCCTCTCCATGTTAAATTAACAGAATGATTGTCTTCAATGAATGACGGGTCAACAGAAGTGGGTTTCGACTTAGCAGCATTCTTCCCTTCAGATCCATGAAATTGGGTTTCCTTTTTTCCCCAACCGACACTGATCAATTCATTTTCTCCACGACAAGAATCGTTGAGATCAATCTCAGCAAGTGAGAAGAATTCAGAATTCAATAAAATCAAAGAATCACTGTCACAGACAACTGCTGCAAGTTCTTCATCGGGGCTCCACTGAATATCAACAACTTTGCACTCCAAATCATGACTGATACTACAATGTTGCACTCCGTTATTGTCTATTATAAGAGAGTATATCTCACCATTTTCAAAACAAATATATATTGTATTGTACAAGTCTCTATACCACATGCCGATAGTCTTGGGGACATTTTTGTCAGGAAATAAACTCTCTAAATCGTAATATTTCGAAGCTTTTTCAGAAATCAAATCAGCAGAATACAATATATTTTTTGATATCACAAACACATTACCAAGTTTTGAAGATAAATCATTGTCAGCCGATGATTGTCCACTAACTATTAAATTAGTGTCTTCGAATACATCACAGTGTATTTTCAAGTTGAGTAGAAGTTTTAAGTTCTTCATTGTAAATGTCAACAACAAAACGTGATCGGAGGTTTTATAATGTTTAGTCTATACAACACATCCAAAGAGGTACGGTCTATACAGATATTACTGCCAAGAGTACAACTGAAACATGAAATGATATAATACGTCATTTCAACTCAAACAAAAGGTATATATTTTTTAAAGACAATACCAAATATTTATTATTAATATTATGTGTTGAATATTTCTCTCAAAATGAGGTCATTCTGAACAAATAAATGCAGTAAGTTTTAATATTCAATTTGATGAGTTATCTTACAGTTTTTATTAAAACCATTATCGATATTTAAAATGATTGTGATACAAGTAAGGGTGTAAATCATATTATGCAAACATCCATCCATCCACCCTAAAAGCCGATGGAACCGCTGCGCTATCGATTAATAAAGGAATATGCTGAATTCCATTCATAGAACAATCGAAGAGTTTAGGAATGGCCAGATGGATTTCCGATTCCCATAAATGAGATCAATGCTAAGTTTAGGAACTTGCCCGAACACAACTATGTGAATAATATTTTATTTTATTTTTATTTGTTATCAAGCGTTTTGTAGATATAACATGTAAACTTGCCTTATAGAGTAGATAGAAAATCAATTATAAAAACATTAGTATTCATTAAAACCAGGGATTGAAACTTTTTTAAAAATTTCCATTTTGACGGTTTCCAATGAATTCCAAGTTTGTTGTAAAAGTATAACATGCATTTATTTACGTTCTTAAAAAAAAAATCAATTAGATGAAAAATAAACAGAAAAAAATAATTGGGAGTAGATTAGAGTTATAATTTGTTTTAAATGAATTGACCGTGATCCAAATGTGTTGCTTGTTTGAATAGCTAAGAATAAAAATATTTTTTTAGAAATCGACAGAACTTTTAAATAAAAGATTTTCAAAAATTAAAGTTCTATAACATCTTGACTTATAAAGATGCAAGGAAAAAATTTCTAGCTTCTAAAGAACTGATAAACTATCGACAATAAAAATTCCAGTCATAACGAAAATTTTTAAAAATAAATTTTTTTTCCGTTTCAGCTCTAATTAAAACTGACCCTTATTTAGGAAACATCAGTTGAGAAAGATAAATTGTCTTTTGGTTACACTAAAATAATATAAAAATTCCTATTTAACCAGAAAGTTAAACAAAAAAAAAAAAAAAAAAATGGAGTGGACTAAAAACACTTTTTAAACTCATTTAATAAACAAAATAATTTGTATTAATATATTCCATAATATTAATTTTTTATAAATAAGAATTTTGAGGGTTTTTATTTTTAAACGTTGGTGTGAGATGTGCGTCCTCAATCTGCTTTTATTTCACCTTGTCTTTCTCTGTTCTAATGCTGCCTGAATTTGTTAAACGTTGACTAGTTAATAATTTATAATCGTGGATTGATGGTTGACTGTAGTGAATAATTAAAGAGAAGAATGGTTGAAGTGATCAGTCAAAAAATAAATAAATATATAGAAATAAATAAGTTTATTTATTTTTATTTTTGCCGACGTTTTGGCCCAAATTTCAGTCCTTTATTAGGTCTGGTTTAGACCAATTATTTACCAATAATTATTTAATTATTTATAGACCAAGACCGCAAGTTCTATTATTTACTATTGCTCTTGCGGAATCCTTTCGTTCGACCAGCCCTGATGAAGATCTGAATTTTGGGCCTCAAAGTTGGCAAAAATAAAAATAAATATACTTATTTAGTTTTACTTTTTTTTTACTGATCATCCCAACCATTATCCTCTTCAGTTTAATAATTTAATATTTTTTCGGATGTCTCTGTTTCCGGAATCTCCCAATTTTAAGCTGACGATTATTATTGTAAATTTTTATTTTTTTGTTACTTTTCATTAAACTGAAATGCCTGATAAAAAAACAAAAAAAAAACAACAACGTATTTATCAGTACAAATTGTCCATTATTTACTATTCACCATTTATTTAGTAATTGAAAACGTCTTAATGATTAAAGATAATTAGTTCAAATTAATTGTTTTTTTAACTGATCCAGAAAAAACCGCGGAATATTAAAATGCTCACCGTTTCCCGCCTTGAATACACGATTCAATTAAATTTCAAGTACTGGGTTCGGCAATCTTATCTTTGTATTGTGTCTTTGATTATCAGTTCCCTGTTAAAAAGGTTTAACCGAACATCCATTTGGCAGTTTCATTACAGCGTAAGGGATTTAAACCTGTTCGAAATGTCGTCTTATAAATTGTTTCTAGTGAATTTGTACGTTATATTTTTGTCTTCGATAGTTGTCGGTAGTGGATTTCATAGGTGAGTACAAATTTAGGTATTGCAACATTGTTAAATTCTGTTTGTAATAAACTCTATTCCTAGCATGATACTCGAAAACATTTGAATATTTCAGACTCATGGTCAAGTATTATTAAGAAGTGAACCATAAATTTATAACATATATTAAAAAAAAAATTGTAAAAAAAAAAAAAAAAATAATCTGAGCTCAGTTCTAGCGTGGCATTACTTTGTTACTTTTAGCATTTTTTAGGAAAGGATTCAATCAAAATTTATCGTTTTGTGGTCTGTGCTTTACATAATTGGGCGCCGAGTAAATTGGCTTTAATACAAATAAAAATTTATTTTTGTATTGTTCTTCTATTCTTTTAATTATTTTGTTTAAAATATTAAATAAAATGAAAATTAATAAAAGTCATTAAATCTCATTTTGACTTGAGGTCGAAGTTCTACTTTCATTGGTAAAATTCAACAAATAGTTAATTCACACATGCGTGAAAAAAAAAAATATATATATATGTCTTATTTTATATTTATAATAAATAAGTAAAATTAATTAAGAATTAATTTAGTCTGTTGACAAGGAATGTACTGTATTTAACCTCCATTTATATAATTTTTCTTTCCACTTCCTGAAACAAACTTGTGTCTGATTATTTTATTTACAGATGAAATGCACTGTTTGGGTCTTTTTACTTAAGCATTTCCAGTCACATTTAGTAACATTTACTTTTAGTAAAATAACAGTTACTATTTAGAAATCACTTGTCATAAAATAATAAACGTTTTATTCAAAATTAATATTCAACAATAGATAAACACAAAATAGATTAACTTTGGGAATAACAGATATTTAACAATAATTATTATTATTTCATTTAATATCCTCGAGAAGATTTTCTTTTTTTCTGTTTAATATTCCTTTCTTCATCATTTTGATGCCCTTCATTTGTGATGAGAAAATGTTATTTAATTTTAAGAAGTTATTTTTTTTTTAATTTCACACTCAATAAAACAATACGTTTATGAATCAGCTTACAACTTCATTAGTATAATCGTTATAATTTACAAATCTGTAACAGTTATAAATAAGTGACAACAAAGTTTTTGGCGCTACTTAAATAAAAAAGAGCCCATTATTTTTAATATTTATATATATTATTATTTTTTGATACATGGCTTTCTTTGTTTGATTATTTTATTTCCATAAGAACTTATAATATTTTTCATTGAAAAAAAAAAACCTTTTAAATCTACATGGAATACTACCATATAGGCCAGCTATGAACTAATAATATAATTTTTAAAAATAAATGAATTTAACAATAAAAGATATTTTCTTTTGAAGTAATGCAATATAGAAATAGAGTAAACACATTTGTTCCAAAGAGGTGTAAAAAAAAAAAAAAATGTCACGCAACGTTGTAAACGATTAATTCGAGTTTTATAAGAAACATTAATTTTCAATTGTTTGTTTACTTTTCGTTATTAGCATTGGAGGTAATCTTTGAAATGACAGCACAATAATCGGTTTTAATGAAGCACACAAAGAGAGATATGGCGAATAAAAAAAAACACCCTTCAGAATAAATTTAGTTGTAATAATGAATATTTTAACCATTATTTTTATAAAAATGACAAAATGCAAGATAGTTCGGTCCTTCTTTTCTACTCTGTTTCTCAACCAAATTTCCATTTTATTATTTTTTTTTTTTTGTAGCTATTGACGGTCTTTAAGGTTATCAATAAAAAAAATGGAAACAGTGTTTATAAATAAAAAAATTTAAATGTTAATTTGTTCAAAACCTCAAATCTCCGAAAGATCTTCAACGATTGCATTGAAATTTTGATACAATGTTATAATCAAATTCAGAAATATTTTTATATACGTTTCATTACATTACGTTCATTTCATCAAAATTGTGGCCGAAAAATGTATGTCGGTATTGACTAAGGCGCCAAAACGGTTGTACTGATTTTAATGAGACTTGGGTAAAGTATTCTCCTTGAAGTTGTTTTAATTGACAACATACTTGTCTGAAAAGAAGCTGAAAAGAATACTTCGATGGATTCAGAATTTGATTCGTGAATGACTCGAAAAGTACACAATTTTTGGTTCATTGAACCAACGAGTTTTCGAAAGCTTCCTGAATTATCTTCAAAATGACAAAAAAAAAAAAATCATCTTCGGTAAGATATTATATTTGATTTTTTTTTTTTTTTTTTTACATTTTCTTCGGTTTAAATTTTTAGGAGAGCTCTTCCATGACAATAGTTATATTTTTAGTACAATTTTGAAACGAAACAATTTGTACCGACCGAAGGAGCAAAGTGGGTTCGAAATTTTTTTTGTTTTTTAAGGAAAAACCAAATTGATAGTGTTACATCTCTCACCTGGGAAAACCCTCAAGTACGAATTTTCATTGCCATTGAAAAATAGAAAATGTTTGCCTCAAATTATCAACAAATGATCAAAGTAGGTTCAAAATTATTTTTGAAAAGCGTAACGATGGATTCACATTTTCTTCTATTGTACTATTTTATTTTGCAAGTACATATAAAAGTGAATGTACGAATAAATAAGTGCAGGGGGGGAGGATGGTTGGTAACATGCAAATTCATTTGTTTCCCTCAAAAGTTTAATTATTATGTTCGAATTTCTATCACTTGGTGAACACTAGCTTTTATTATTCTACTCTCGAAATCAAGAACTGAATTAGGTTAACTTTATTTTGGAAATTTTAAATCATTTATAAACCATTTTCAAATTTATTTTAAAAAAATAAAAACCATTAACGTAAAAACTTATGACTGATATTTTTAAATATTTTTTTAAAAGTGGTATATATTTTTAAATATCATCATGTCATAACGGTTTTTTGAAGATGTCCATATGTCAATGACATCTAATGTAGTTTTTAATTTTTAAAAATCTATTTTTAATTTTAATTAAATAGTTCATTTTTTTTATTCAATTAACCTTTGAGTTTGAATTTAAATAGACAATAATAATAAACGCTATAAGATTCCCAGCTTAAAAGTCGATCGCCTTAAAATAATCAAGATAAGATAATAAAAAGGTGTTCAAGAACATTTTGCAGTTATCTTTCATAAGAATCAAAACTTATAAAAATAATTATTTGAGTCAATAATATACCAATTGAATAATACTTAAACTTATATATTATTTTATGTTTTTCTTACTTTTATATAGAACATGCGATGTTGAGACAAATACTCCTCGTTTTAATAATAGGCACTATGATATTTGTTTATTTGAATACAGATTAAATAAAAGTCATAAATGTTAAAAGATCCTACAATTAATTATTTTGAAGTGGCGTATCAGTCAATTTTATATAATTATATAATTCAATTTGAGAAAAAATAATTATACAATAAAAAGTAAATAAATTGAAATTCTTTGGTCAATAAGTAATGAGACTAAAAAGCATGGAAGCATGAACTGAAAAAATTAAGGAAGAAATAGTAAGATTTGAGATAAAAGAAGATGAATACCTAGAAATTACAGAGATCATTGAATTAGATGAAGATCCTTGGAATAGAAAAGATGAACAAAGAAGGAAGGAACCGACAGAAGAACGAATAAAGAGTGAAAAAAATAAAGAAAGTTTTAGCTTAGGGGAAATTCAAGAAATAATTATATACGCGCGGTCCTTATTAAAACAAAAAAAAAAGTAAAAAAATAAATAGATGTACTTGAAAGAGAAAACATATTATTTTTGATTATGTTATTGTTTGTTTGTTCTAAATTCATTATAAATAACTAGTGTGATCGTATAAATAATTCGATTCATATATCGCCAATCACCCATCCATAAATTTTAAATATTAAAATATAATTTTAAAAGAAAAAAATCGTTTCAATTTATTGATTTCCCGCCACTTGCGGTGAAATTAATCTAGAAATTGGTGATTTTTTTTATATTTTTTAATTTTAAATATCTTATAATTAAAATGTAAAATTTTGAGTGAGGTACACATTGTTATTTTCTTTGTCCATTACGAAATTTCATACACGTATATATATATATATATATATATATATATATATATATAGAGAGAGAGAGAGAGAGAGAGAGAGTGAGTGAGAGAGAGAATTAACAAACAAAACGTATAGAGAGTCAAACTGTATCATTGTTAATAAGAGTGCGATTACGACGACCATTTTTTTACTTATTTTTTTTTTTATGTGCAGCACAATAGACCATGAATTTAAAAAAAATTGAGTTACGCAGAGACAAAATCTTTTTCTTCTAACATTTTTTTTTTAATCTATTTTATTTAATTAGAGATGAAGATATATTTTCAAAAGTATAGCTAAATTATGGGTTCGATGGATTATTATTAAGGGAGGTACGGATTGCAGATAAAAAAATTCATGTATAAAAAATAAATTAAATAAATAATAATAAATAGAGTGTTCCATAATTAAAGGGAAAGGTTTAGAAAGGTGACAGCAGCACTTAAGAACGGCGAAAAATCTTATATAAACAATGCTTAGAGTTTTCACAGAAAATTAGAAAATTGACGTTTTGTGTTAATTTGTTTTCTTTTAGTGTCACGTTAAATAGAAAGCGATAACTAAAAAAAAAATATTTAATTTAGATATCTAACCATTGCATTATTGTTAACTAGATAAAATTTACTTAAAATAAAATATGATTTTTTTATTTTTGAAACCACTTAAAAAGAACTTTTGAGCGAATAAACACTAAGCTAAGTTCTGTTTTCAAACAAAATCATGAATTATTCCCGATTTTTTAATTTTTTTTTTATCTTCCTTCAACTATACTGCAGATACCCCTCATTTAGTTAAATCTACCTCATTTCATAAGGCGCAAGTCCATTATGAAAGTCCATAATTAAGTTTAGGTTTATTACGAAATAAGTTGAGATTCACTTCGAACTTCGTAAAATACATTGAGGTGTTTTGATAACCTGTCACTTTAATGAATCCGTGTTTTCAACGAAAATTGCTACAATAAATTATTGCAAAG